GGTGGTACTCTCGGCCATGCTGAGCTCTACAATCACTTGCTCAACGTCCGCATCTGGGGTGTCAATGACAACGACCCAGCTCAGTCGTGGAACCGTCGTCGCCGCGCGATTGAGAGCGTCAACGTTATCATCGAGTCGACGGCTGGACCCGTCAAGGAGGTCCATGCCGGTCGTGGCCTGGGCTTTGGCATTGCTAACGCCATCTCGAGCGCGGTCGGTCGCAGAGCCAACTTCAAGAAGGATTCGCTACGATCGTGTGGCTACAAGTTTGTCGAGGAGCTCTTGGCGCAAGGAAACTCGGTCGATCAAGTCGTCGACAACATGTGGCTGACAGCTTTCGGCGGCATCGGTGTTCCTGTCACAACGGTAAGCTTTTCCCCCCTTAGCCACTGTGAAGGTATTGCGGACTAACTCTTGCTCCAGTTCTACGAAGTCTTGTCGTTTTTCTTGCGCCCCGAGAACGCCTCCATCTGGGCCGAGGTGCAGAACCTCGCACAGAACAAGGACGACGCAGGACTTCACGCATACGTCCGCGAGGCACAGCGTCTCACGAGCGGACAGCGCAACGTGCGTGTTGCGACGGCACCGGCCGAGATCGACGGCAAGCCAGTCCAACCGGGCACTGCAGTCGTGATGCTTCTTGTGAGTCTATGCTATTCGCCCGTTATTTGACCATGTGCTCATAATCATCTCCTTCTCTAGGGCGGCGCTGGACGAAACCCAGGGGAGATTGCCAACCCCGAAAAGTTCGACGCGAATCGCAAGGCCGAGGAGGTTTCTGCCTTCAGCTACGGCCAGCACGAGTGCTTGGCCAAGGACATTGCCACAACATTTGTTGTGGGACTCGTCAAGCTCGCCGCTGATCTCAAGCAGCTGCGCCCGGCACCGGGCCAGATGGGCATCGTCAAGACCATTCAAGTTGGCAGCGAAAAGGCCTATCTGAACGACAGCTGGTCGTACCTTGGTTTTGATGCTAGCAGTAAGTGCACTCCTCATGTCGCGTGTAATCGTTTGTTTCTCAAAGAGCAATGCTAACAACCTGAACAGCCTGGAAGGTTCACTTTGATGGCCACGGAAAGGGCGCATACAAGGGCGATGCTGCTGCGCCGAACAACCAGATTGACTTGGGACAGTACTACTACCTGCTCAAGCAGCGCAAGGAGAACTTGCTCAGTGGCCTCGGTGGACCAGCCAGCATCCGTGCTCAATGAGCGAGGATTGCTCCATTGTCTTTGAAGTTTGAGAAGGTCAGGTCAGATTGACAAAAGCATCGCCATGGGTTTTCCGAATTGATATTACTCGAGAACTCGAGATGGAGACATGTAGGGGCATATTCCGAGCAAGAATAAAACAAAGTTTCCCACAGGCTTGACTTGGTGATTTTGTAAATCCACCAATTAACTGGGTCCCCCACACTTCCGGGAGCTGAGCAGAAATGATGCTTTTCTCTAGCTGTCGGTGTCAGCCGGTGCGCATCAGAGTTTCGGGTAATCGTAGTTAGCGGACTTACCTTAACTCAAAACGCTACACTTTGGAGCTCGGTCTTTGACGATTGTCAGTAATTGAGTTTGAAGTATCACGCAGCTTGTCAATTGAACAGTTCGTCGTAAGAATAAACCGAGAAGAAGTTTTCGAGATGCGACTTTGAGGCTGAAAGGGGGCAGCGAATGCTAGCCGTCATCCGAATGAGGCAAGGAAAAGGCGAGAACCCCCAAGACGGGAGTTCAGGGGAAAAGTAGCGTAGATCGTCCTTGGCCGCTTGGCCAACGCCCATTCTCCGTGAATCGTGGGGATTTTTTCCAGGAGACAACCATGCAAGCTCCCCATTCCGAGTACCGAGAACTGCACACAGTATTGCCGCGTACCCGTACGGATACTCTACGGATAGAGGAATATTGCTGATGAGACTGGGTCACGTACGGAGTAGGGATTCTCGTATTGCCCCCTCGTTGACTGATTCTGTCGTTTCGGACGACTCCTGATGTGCTGCCAGTTCGTCCTGTGTCATCATCGCCCATCCACTTTCGCACTTTGTCAGCTCAAATCAATTTCGCTTGGAACCAGACATGGAGTAAGGGTGCTGTGTGTTGTGTGTGTAGTGGTTCCAGTGGAGACAAAGTGGGCAACATTTCGCCGTACTGATGAGCACAGATGGCGCCTATTTCTGTTAGTTTCCGCGGCAAGTTGATTAAACTCGCGCGTCACTTTAATTGCCGTTGGGTTACTGTCGGCCTCTTACACGGCAACACGGCCCCCAACATGGCCAGCGCGTGCCTGTTTCCGAGGAGTATCATCCGGAGAGGAATGCGAAGTTTTTGCATCATATAGCAGTAAATCTGCTGCGTCACGTCCTCACATGGCAGCCAAGAAAGTCAAAATAAACGTATAGCATACGAAAACAGAAACTTAAACGCAGCTTCTATAGGCTAGACACGAGACAGCTACAATTTAGACGACCACCGATTGGTAACCTGTACCGACTTTGACTGAATCATTGCAAAGACCCAGTGTCATCTCATAGTAATTGGTCTCCGTCTTGTAAGGCGCATACGGATACTGTATTAAGGAAGCAATCTGGGCTACTCCGTCGAATCCGTCCACAGGGAATCCCTGATCTAAAAACAAAAGGGCCAAGAGTTGTCACACCAGGCGCCGGCAACGTCCTTCGGGTCCCTCAACCGTACATGTAGATCTCGCCACAAAGGGAAATACGCACTCGACTCCTGGCCCACGGGTTTACATGTAGTGATCTCTCAAAGAGAAGCGAAAGCGAGCCAACATGACCTACTGTAGTTTGTACTCCGTGTGCCTGTAACCCTGCGTTTCCCGCGCCAGTCCAGCCCGTCTGTAGCATCAACCCACTAAAAAGCTGTATCGTTGAAACATTGCTGGATCCAGAGGCGAGGGAATCCATTTCGAGATGATATGAACCGTTATGGCAACCGCTAGTTTGGATGATTCCACCAATAAGGCAGCGTGGGTACATCATCATTCAAGCTTGTATATAAGGAAAGAAGATCAGCCTCTCTCGGCATTTCGCTATTCACATCCAGTCATTCGCAGCCCATTTTTCATTCATCATCTGTCGTTCTTTTCACTTCACCAACTACCAACATTCACTTCCAACTCCATCCACTATCACTACCGCCAAGATGCCTTCCACCACCCAGATGCTCTCCGCCCTGGCCGTCACGGCCGTCGCCGGCGTCCAGGCCGCCATGGGCCCGGCCTTCAGCACCGGTCCCGTCGCCTCCGACTCCTTCATCCGCGAAGCCACCTCCACCCTCGTCCTCCCCGCCGCCCCCTCCAACAACAAGGGCAGCGCCTCCCTCTGGGTCGGCATGGGCACCTCCAACGGCGACCTGATCCAGTCCATCGCCGACAACTCCAACTACGACAACACCGGTACCGACAAGTGGTCCATCTTCGCCTACACCCTTCTCAGCACCGGTGCCAACTCCCAGATGCCTGTTCAGACTGAGGGCACTGACGCCTCGGAGGGTGACAAGATCACCATGCACTGTAAGTTGCCCTCTTGAAATTTATGAGGTTGTGGCTTGTTGCTGACGAAGAATCAACCTACAGACAAGTTCGATGATGCTTCCCAGAACTACACCCAGACTGTCTCCATCAACGACAAGGTCGTCGCCACCCTGTCCACCAAGGATGGTGAGGCCCAGGGCTGGGGCAGCGCCGTTGAGTGCGCCGCCGAGGACTGCGGCACCGTCGGTGCTCACTGTAAGCTCACACTCCCTACCTACCCACCTATCATTATCATCCATCGTCAGAACAGTGCCTAACAACTTCTTACAACAGCCTGGATCAACACCAAGATCATCCTCGACAAGGCCGATGCCAACTACATCAACACCATGGGCAAGGGCAACGGCGTCACCGGCGACATGTCCACCAGCGACGGTGGCAAGACCTGGACCGTCACCACCATCGATATCCCCGAGTTCACCTTTGGACAGTAAATGTGCTAGGCCACTTCAAGAGCTGAGCTCGTTTGCCTCTGGAAGGGAAAAGTTTTTTCTTGTATTTTATACCATGCCTTCACACATACAACGCATCGCTGTACATACCCTGCTAGCCAAGATACCAAGTTGCGACTGTACAATAGAAAAAACTTCAATGATCAACAATGCAACTTGCACATATCTGACGCCCCGCATCACTCATCTCGCATAATCCACTTCAACGTGTGAGTACATGTAGTCGCCCAGTGACGGCCCATTTGTGTACAGAGGGCTTTGCAAAAAGGGTTGATTCTTTGGTTTTCTCAAACATGATTTCCATTCTCAGTTTGCACTTCAAGTCCCGTGGTACGTTGCCACCATTTGTGCTTCACTACTGTTGAAATCCCATCGTGAATCTGTGATACCCAAGTGCTTCTGCCAGTGCAGGTCATAGTTCCAGCTCATTCTCCCCCGCGAAGCTTAATCCTCCATTCGAACATGCTTCATTTCTTCGGCCTTCATAATGTGTTCGAGTGGCAGAGCAATTAGGGGCCTTGAGGCTATTCCACGGCAGGAACAGATAGATTCCCTATTGGAAGAAGCCTTCGAATAACTCTCACTGATTCCCAAGAAATATCGACGTTTTTGACCTAGGCTGGCATTGATGGAACCATCGAAGTCGTCTTCGGAATCATCCGTCTGATATTGATGAACGCGAGACTTAGCCCTGGGAGATTTCGTCAGTGCGAGGATTGATGTAGATACAATCCACGCCAGGGATCAGGTAGGAAAGCCACGTCAGTTCCTCGATGCAAAGGTCCAGCCGGGCTCTGCACCAGAGGCGACCACAAGACGCATTGTGACGGCCGGCAGTCTGTCTGAAAGCGGGGAAAATGTTAGCTTTTGGTTACTTCAAGAGAGGGCCAAGGGCGGGAAGTTGACATACCTAGGTTATGCCGCTGGCAGAGTCCTATCCAAAAGCCTTACCGCCCTTCTTCGAACACCTCTCTTTCTATAAGAGTTATTGCCCTTGGCCAGAGATCAGCCGGGCTTTGAAGTAAGGTACGTTGTGGAGCGGATATTGATGATGATGTGCATACTATTCTTGAAGAATGCCAGTGCCTGCAGTCCAGGCTTGAAGTATTTGAACATCTTTGAACATGTTTCGAGCATTGTTGGCGGAGTGAAGCAGACTGCCTGGTAGACCCAGAATGTCGTCATGGAGCACATGAGCGAGGTGACGACTGCAAGAATAAGAAGCGATTGCTGAAGGATGCGATAGTCGTAAGTCGTTTGAGCAAAACATCCTGATCCAGTTGTCCGTGAACTAGACCAAGCCGCGCGAGTGTGGGCATTGCCGGTCGAGGCGGCGGCAAGGGGCGGTCGGCAATGGCGGTCGGCAAGGGCGTTGAGCCATTCGACAAGGTCACTGGCCCTGGCTTTCTCTGGCCCTACAAAGAAGCGATATTGCTGTCCCTGGGAACCCTCGGGCGGCGTCTTCATAACGGCCTCCAACCTCCTCTTGACGGCGTATCTGGCCGTCAAGATCTCCCGCGGCACCTGGGAGGGGCCTAAATAACTCGAGGGGATTCGCGACCGAACCCCCTCAAGCCATCGTATGAATTCGGCCACGTCCCTCCAGGTCATAACCACCTCAACGGTAGCAATGGTGCTCGCTGAGCTCGTGGCCAGTGGCGGGCCCATAGGCGAGAGGAGAAGCAGTGTTGGTATCTCCGCCTGCAAGGGAAGAAAGATTGCCGTGGTCTTTGTACTCTCCGTTTTCGGGGAGAGCTGTCGGGCCAAACCCCTGGCCGAACGGAGCGGTTGGTGTAGGTAGCCCCTTGGCACCATTCCAGCCAAGTACTGAGGTCCCTTCCCAACGCTGGAATACTAGTCGCCGTACCAACATGAAGAAGGCCGACTCAACCCGACATAATTGCCCTGAAGAGGGTTGAGAGGGTTTTCGAGCATCGCTTTGAGCATAGCTTGGAGTAGGCGAAGAAACAATGATGGCAATGGCCTTTCGAGCACACCGATGGTCGGGAGATTGCCGAGCGCATGGCCGATGATGAGTCCCCTTCTGCTATTTCAGCTCCGCCACCGTTGTTGATAGTTGAAAATGTTGTTGGACTTGGTGATTTGAACATTGTTTGAGCAAGACTCCAGGGCCAGGTAGTGTTACCAACAGGCTCTCCTCAGAACAAGGTGAACTTGTGGTGGACGCCACCCTTGTTATTCTCGCCTCCCTTGTGCCCGCCATCTGTTGACAACATAGAGTCCGTCGGAGTCTGAGGAAGAAAATGGGCCATTGGTTGAATTCTCTGCCATTGGGGCAAAGATGTAATTCGAACTAGATTGCGAACCGGGATTAGTCCTGTCTCGGGTCTTCGAGGCCAGAGGGAGGAAACTTACCATGTTCAGAACAGTGACATTCATGAAAGGTGTGATAAAGATGAAGCAACACCGCCGGTCTCAGTCTTGGAAGCCTCAGAGTGTCCAGCCCTTGGGCTCATATCGACTGTAGGCTGTCTGTGAGGTGCATGTGAGTGCAAACGGATCTCATTAGGCTAAAATAACCTCACAGACAGCCTACTTTGCGGGACATCTTGGAGCTGGCTGGATTGGTAGTGAGAAACCTATACAAAGTCAGTCTGATACCATCTCGGGTGACAGAAGCAGGGTTCGCATACCACATCTGTGTGCAGTTCATCGTCATGCTGCTGCTCTTTGCCATGCAGACCGTCACCCAGTCAACGAGTCTCTGAATCAGCTGGTAGCTACAAGTGACAACCTGATTTCTGCGGATGGTGATGGTGACGACCAGACTCGACGGAATTTGTTGAGAATATGCCACAGCGCCAGCGCTGAGTGAGACTATTGTTGGCTGTTGGTGTCTCTTGTAGACAGGAAACAAATGCTTCGAGCCAGCTCCAAGTTATGAAGCATGTATTCGAGCAAGCAACTTGGATTCATCGAGCTCCGCCGTCCGATAGAAAGACTTGCGATGGAGTTAGCAGTTGCTCGGACGAGGATAGGAAGGGACGGATGATGAGTTACTTACAGCTGACTTGGTATTCTCGAGGTGAACAATTATTCCAACAATGAAAGTGAAGAAAACAGCCCTTTTACAAAGAGCGCTGAATGGGTATGAAGGGAAGGTGCCGATTTCTTCCGTCTGACGGCAAAACTTGCGATGGCATTAGTAATATCTCAGACGAAGGAAGGGACGAGGGGATAAAGACATACCCATTTCTTGGTGCTGGACTCAAAGCGTCCAAGAAGACAACTCAAGTTGAGTGAAAAAAGACATGAGACCGGGCTCGAGGTACCAAGTCCTTCCGTCCTAAAGGAAATCTTGCGATGGCATTAGCGGCTGCTCGGACGAACGAACGGGAAGAACACAGATGAAGACCTACCATCCTGCTTCGAGTTGAATTGGACGAAGAATTCGAACAAGGAATGGACAGAGTAAAAGAACTCCCCCGATGGCGGCGTTAAGAGGCGGTAGGAGTGGTGGGAGGGGAACCGCTTTGAGCTCAAGGTCAAGGACCTGAGTCGGGGTGGAGAGAAAAGAAAAGAAAGGAAGGGTGGGTGAAGTCGGGGAGAAAGGGCTGCCTTTTATAATGGGGAGGAGGGAGGGTGGGAGAATCTCAAAAGGGTCGTTCAACCGCCCTCACGTGATGTATGATCGTCTCAAAGACCCGACGGAAGGAGCAAAACGGACGAAGTGAGGGAATGGACGGCTGTGAAGCGCGATGAAATTTCGTCCAAGGAAGGGGGTGGAAGGTTGCACTAGAGGAAGGAGGGCCTCATGATGGAGTAGGAAGGGGCAGTTGAGCATCTCACCGACATATCTAAGGTACGGAGGCAGTGATAGTACTCAAGGAACTACCAAAGTTCATTCGGAGAAATAAGAAAAAGATGGGTGGCTATGAGGTTGATGATTATCTGGGAAGTTTTACGTCAAGACCAGTACCTAGGCATAGATGCTACGTGGCTTACTGATTCAAAGATGAGGGCATCCGCATGCATGCTTCCTCGGAATGCTCTGCAATTATCATGGCATCAATCTAGAGAAATACCATGTTTAGTGCTTGGGCATTTTAAGCACCTGAGATGATGCCACAAGAGGCCTTTTCTACCCCAAGTCCTTATCAACTGTGCTGGGAGCTTGTAAGCTGATGCAACAACAAGAGCCATGGTTATTTAGATTACTGTAACTTTTCTCGATTCAAACTATCCCAGGAGACGAAAAGAAATCAGACTTTGCATATCTTGGTTCCAATTTAATATCTTCTCGTGACAGAGCTGAGGTATCACACTGTGGCTTCGTAAGTGACGCTTAAAGAGAGACGATGATTGGCCAATTGGGGAATGACATCGATGACGTAGCTCACTGGTCAACCACCTCGAAGCCCCAAACTCGCTCCCTTCCCTTTGTCTATTTGATTCAAAACACCATCGGCATCCTCATGATCCTCCTCTAGATGCTCCATCGATCACGCTTTCTCAATCTCGGCCTTCGACCCTCTTTCCGAGCTTCCATCATCTCCACGACTCCCATCCTCCAGCCCCTCAACCACAGCCATCGACTCCCCCGACGAACAACCCTCCACACCACAACAATGAGCTGGATGGACTCCTGGTCCCGGCCAGGCAAATCCCAAGCCACGCCCGCACCCTTCTACCTTCTCCCCAACGGCGACCAAACACCCTACTGCCGCACCTGCGGCCGTGTCATCTCCAGCCGCAAGACCACAACATCAACCACATCCTCCAGGTCAAACAACTCCAACAAGGACAAATCCTCCGAGGCACACAAACCAACCGCCGAAGCAAAATATTGTTCCTCTCGCTGCCGCGCAAAGAAACCAAGCCGTCTAGACAAGGAAATCGAACAAGTCTTCGTCCGCTTCCTCCAAGGCGAGGAAGAAATCCAAAGCGATGCAAAAGCAAAAACAAAGCCCAAAAAGACAAAGGGCGACACACGCATCCTCGTCCCCTGCGACGTCGTAGAAGAAACCTTCTTCGGCGAAAGAAAAGCCCCAAACCAAATCTACGGCCGCGGCAAAAACCGCGCCTCGCGTGTAATCACCGCTAAACCATCCTCCTCTGACAACGACGACGACGACGAGGGCATCTCCCTCCGCGACCGCCGATCCTACGACGAAGACGCGGGCGAGGATATCATCGATGAAATGCTAGGCCTAGACCGGAGCAAATCCACGGAGCTGGATCCCAGCGTGCAGGCAAGGCTCTCGGTGCGCAGCGGGACGAGGGTGAGGCCGCCGCAGGCGCAGAGCCAGGTGAATGGGAGCGTTGGCGGGGAGAAGGGACGGGCGGAGAGGATTGAGGAGACGGAGGAGATGAGGGAGAAGAGGGCGGAGGGGCAGAGGAAGGCGCATGAGAGGGAAATGGTGCGGTGTGCTGCCAGGAGGGGCGTTGTGTTTGGGTTTCTTGTGGGTGATGGCGAGGAGAGGAGGAAGTGTGAGGCTGTGAGGCAAGGCAAGGTGGTTGAGCCTAGTTTTGCAAAGGGGGATTGGTCTATTCGGTGGCGGGAGGATTGAATGATCGGCGTTGAGACTGGAGGAATCAGGTACATCACACATTGCATAAAGTAGACAAAAAGATGAATGAACATGAATTCTACGCTGTATTAATTTTGTTTCCCGGTCGTGAACATACACATATACAAGCTCAAACGCTCCAGCATTCTCTGCTTTTTTTTACTCTAACAAGTCTCTTCTTCAAGTCTCTTCAAGTCTTTACAAATCTTGTGACTCTGAACTCAGGCTCTACGCTTTTTTACAGGAAGCTGGTGGCCAAGGTAATAGCAGTGGTATACACCATGCCCACAACGCCGAGGGTCATAAGGGCGTAATCGCAAATCTTTTGTTTTCTCGTCTCGGCGATGCCCTTGAGATGCAGGTAGGGCGGGTAAATGTAGACCAGGGGCACACACGCAAATGAGCCAATGAGCGCGACAAAACGGTCGAGGTTGGCGGAGCCGGCAATGGATATGGCGATGCAGAGGGCGACGAGGGAGGTGCGGAAAGCGTTCTTCTTCCACTTTGTCAGGAGATCCTTCTTGCCTGAGCGGTAGCCAAAGATCTTGGTCTCGATGATACGCATGGCGGGGAAGAGCTGGACGGGGTTGCCGACAAGGACAGCGAGAGCGTACATGAACTGTACGGCGTTGACGAGGCGGCTGTCTTGCGGGTAGTTGTCGATAATCTCAATCTTTGTGCGGTCTCCAAAGGTAGCGTAGCAGAGGGCGCCGACCGAGGTGAAGACGCAGGTGATGAGGAGCATGACGCCCGCCAACAACGGTTCAAAGTGCTCCGGCTTCTTCATGCTGGCCTGGATGGGAATGATGAGGCCGATGCCCTCGAATGTAAAGATGGAGGCGCCGATGGTGAGGGTGTAGGAGCTCGGGTTGAAGAGCTTGACGGAGGGATCCATGCCGCGGGTGGCAAGAGCCGAAATATCGTACCACCAGATGTATCCTACACCGATGATGATGAAGACATCAGCGAGAAGGGCAGCGGGGCCGAGCTTAGAGATGTTGCGGATGAAGGCGAGGGGCACAATGACGATGGCCTGCAGAGCAATGAGGGCGGTTGAGTCGAGGGGGTTCGCGCCACCCGTGACTGCCTTCAAGAATGAGAACCAGTTGTCGGCAACAAACACAAGACCGGTGCAGACGAAGCCAATCTGCGAGAGCGTGATGGACGCCAAGATGAGGGAGCGCATGCGCGGGCCTGAAATTTCCTTGCCGAGATCACCATAACCACCGCCGTAACGGGTGCGGCACTGCAGGAGCAGGTGGAAAGCAGCCATGGAAATCGCGGCCACGACGAGCATGGTCAGAGAGGAGAACAGGATGCCACCGTTCTTGAAGGCCTTGGGCAAGAACATGATACCCGTGCCAATGAAGGCCTTGAGGGTTGTGAAGAAGGTCTTTGTGGTGCTGGCATCGCCGGCCTTTTTGGCGAAGCGCGAGGACCGTCGTCTTCCCAGCAGCGGACGGGTCTCGTTAGGTGCACCGCGGGGTCTGTCTTGTGCCTCCTCTTCATCCTCGTCGTCCGAGACAATGGCCTCCTCGTCTGAATCGGCGAGATCCTCACCAGCGAAGGAGCCGTAAAAGTCGAGGAACTCGACAAAGTTGCGGGTAATGGGGAGGGTTGCAGCGGTATAGTTGTGTTTCTGCATGACAAACTGGCGACGGAAGCCCTGGGGCAGAAGCATCTCGGCGGCGGGCAGATCGGACTCGTGGCCGGACTCGGTACGGCGCGGGTGGGAGAATGTCTGGGCGCGCTTCAAGGTTTGTTCCCTCGCCGAAATCTTGAAGAGGTCGCGATGCATGTCGCCGCCGGGGAGAAGGAGGGAGGATGCCTCCTCGACGTTGTCGCCGTCGTCATTTTCGGTGGCGGGGAGGTTCGGGGCCGAGTTGGAGTTTATGTGGGCGAGATCACCGTTGGAGAGATTCCGAGTGCCGTCGAAGCTCGTGCCGTAGCCTGAGGGGAGGTGGTTTGCGATTACGGCACTGCGCAGCCGCTCCTCTGTGGATGAGGGTGTGTCGGACATGGCGATGTTTTTTGTGGTGACGATTAGAAGTGGCGGTGGCTTTGATGATGTGGTGATGATGCTGGTGGGTGGAAGGATTTGGGGTAAACAACAACGACGGATGCTGGGAACTAGAAGAAATTGGAGGTCAAGTCTACGCTTGTGAGCATCCCCGGGCTATGCAAAGATGCAATTGAAACGATGAAGAAAGATGCAGAAGACGTGGAGAGAGAGCCGAACACTGAGGGAGGGTTGCCTCGGTTCAAAGTTGAGTGTTTGAGCTCGCGGACTACGAGGATGCGGTCGCAGCTCTAGTCATGGGATCGTGGGGAATTGGGAATTGGAGAGGATGGGAAGAAAGTGTGAAAAGCTTCAACGTTGTTTTTCAAGGTCGGTCAATGTTTGGTGTGGACACTTGACTTAGGTTGGTGAAGCTCGAGCCGCTTGCGGACCCCACTGCGGATTCATGCATGGGAGGGTAGCCGAGTACACAGGAAGATAGAGAGATACTTGTGATGGATAGAATAGCTAGGCAAGAAAAGATGAGAAGACGGTGGAGAGAAGAAGTTTGTGTGAAGTCGTCGTCTATCGCGGGGGTGGGGGAAGCGACAAGGTGGGAAAAAAAGAAAAAGGAACCAACGAGAGAAGAGCGGGAACACAGGAAAGACCCGGTTCGAAAAGTTGCAGACGAGGAGGAGCTATGCCGCATGGGGTTTACTGCGTAAGGGCGTCTCTCACTCACACTTTCTCTGCTCTCTATGTTTCTCTCTCTCACTCTCTCTCTCACTCTCTCTCTCCACACTCACCCATGAGACCAAGGATCGTGAGAAAAAGATACGTCAGTCCGCAGGAACAAGCGCGACTTCTGGGGCCGCGAGAACGACACCAATGGCCACCAGAGGGGGGAGCGCCTAGCTTGACCAACTGTTTAACCTGCCACGCACCACACAACTTTTCGCCTGTCGGTGGATATGTTCAATGATGAACCCCCCGGACAGGAGGAACTGCTGCCAGGTTCTGGCGGTGAGGCAGTCACATTGAACTTTGAAGGTCGCGAATGAGTGATGACAGACAGGACTGAAGAAAAGAGTTCGACACTTGGACTTCTCTCACGGTCCCGTCCTTGTGGGGTGAGACACCAAGCTCAGACAGGGCCCAGGGGAGAGACACGAGATCACGTTACCCTTCACAGACCTGTCTCGGTCTGCAGTACGGAGTAGATTGCTCGTCATCATGGATCTGTCCCAGACATGTCTTCTACATGACACTTGCTATTCTGGGCGTTGGAAATGCATTCCTCTGCCTTTCTGTATGTGTCAATGCAATGCATCAATGTCACTCTTATTCTTCATCATGAAATTCACTCAGTGGCTCACTCTCACTCAGTCACTCACTTTCAGGTTCTCACACGAAATCTCACAGCGGGGCCGCCAATGACGCCACCCGACGGACCCCTTGAAAAAGAGACTAAAAAAATGAGAAAAGTCGAGGCCTTGCAGACTTGCAGAAGCGAAATTCAAAAACAGATCCCAACCACACAACCCAATGCCCGAGCAACGATCGGGTCTTGTCCGATGCTAACCAGCGGTCAGCATCACATGGTCCATGCCATCCAGGTACTGTGAGGACCAAATCGTCGCCTCTCACTGACCCACGTGGATTTATTTTGATGGATCACAGACCGCCGCGGGAATAGCCTCACTCACTCATACATCTATCTACTGACCTTACTCATACACCGACCGATCGAATGAAACCTCAAATGGTGTCATTCAGAGCCCTTCTTCACTCATCGGCCAGTGTCTCATTTCGTCAGTCTCGAGTGAGACCAAGACCTCGTCGCGGTTCCCTCTGCCGAGACACATGTTTGCTTTTTGCCGCTGGAATGCTCTTGTTTCGCGGAAAGGGTTTCTCTCCCAAATCCGAGACCTGGACTGGACCCTCAATCGCCCCCTTTCGAAAGGAAAAGGCATCATAAGATGGGCGACCTCACTGCTGCATAGCTGCTTGCAGACTTCTTCGCATTCCATCTTCACAACCTCACCTTCAATCCAGGCAAACACGTGCACCATGCGCCTGCGAGCAGCTTCGTGAAAAAAAAAAACAGCCAAGGCCAGCTGAATACTTGATTCTTCCCTTCTCATATGCCTTCTAGAAGTCTAGAACTAGATTTCGAGGCTGAAAACGGGGGGTGGGTTCTTTGTTTTTCATCAGCATTCCTCATCCACCCCAATCTGCATCTCGACCCGACGCTCATGACCCTTTCCCGGTGATGCTCAACACAATCATCGTCGACTGTCATGCTCACTCTGCACCACCACTACTACTGGCACTGGGAATACCCTTCACAACCGTCAGCACACTCAATCAAACACACAGAAGCATCTCGGCACTCACAGTCATTGACCTTGACACACGTGAACGAACTCGCGCACTATCCCAACAAAAAGTCAGCACTCAGCTCAGTCTACTCCCTATCACACCGTGGCAACATACCGCAGTCGGTCCCGTCCAGTTGAGCCCTCCGCACTGGCCCCACTGAGGTGCCGTCCCGGATCCTCCGGCTGCCGTGGTCGTCGTCGCTGCCGCTGTGGAAGTCCGCAGCGTCGTAGATGCACGGCTCGTTGTCGCGGGAACCGTCGCAGCAGCTGAAGAGCTGACCGGTGTCTAGAGTAACAGTCAGCTTGTCTACACCGGCCCTTCGCTCCTGTCGATTCTTACCACGAAACCGAACCACTTGAGGTCTTCTTCCGGAAACACATCAATCGAATGGGTCACGCCCGTACCCAGGAACGTCTTATGAATGAAAGATCAACATGTTGCCTCAACCAGTGTTCAGAGCATCAAAACTCACCTGCAACTTATCCCCAAACACGTACTTGGTATACGGGCTCCTAGGAAAGTCCGCCGTTGACGACTGCGGCGTCGCAGAGTACCCAAACACCCCCGTCCACTCCTTGATCGTCTCGTAGTAGTTTTGCACGTTCAACGTCTCGTCCGCCATGCCGTGGTAGATTTGCATCTTGGGCCGCGCCCCCGTGTACCCCGGGTACATGTTGTACACGACGTTGGCCCACTGCTGCTGCGTCCAGATGGACTGGCCCGTTGAGCACGTCGAGTTCCAAAAGTCGGGGATGTCGTCCGCGGACATGAAGCAACCGGCCGGAACGCCGGCGTAGGCGATGCCGGCTGCGAAGACGTCGGGGTACGTCGCCGCCAGGACGTTCTACGAGCTCACGAGGATCACCTATCAGCATACTTGACAAGGAGAGGACACGAGACTGTGAGCAAAAGTCAAGAACATACCGTCATCATGGCACCAGACGAAATGCCAGTCGCATACACCTTACTCTTATCCGCCCCATACTGCGCAATCACAAAGCTCACCATGTTGGCAATGGAGTTACTCGCGCCACCCCCGCCGTGCGTCAGCGTCATCTTGCTCGCCACGTCCCAGCAGTTGTCGCGCGTGTACGGCGTCTGCGGATAGATGACGATATATCCGTACGTCTCGGCGTACCGCGCCCACTGGCTGCCCTGGTAGTACGCCTGCGCGCTGCCGCTGCACCAGTGGATGCCCACCACGACGGCGGGCTTGGCGGCGAGGTTCTGCGGCACGTAGAGCCACATGCGCGTGCCTGTCGGGTTCGAGCCGTAGTCTGTCACCTCGGTGAAGGTTGCGCGGGGGACGACTTCGGCGCCGAGGGCTACGGTGAGGAGGGTGAGGGCCCAGAGGGCCATGCTCAGGATGGACTTCATCTTGGCGATGGTTTGATGTGAGGTGAACGGGTGAACGACGAGCATTTCCCTTCGCGGGATGCGTGATGAGGGTTCTATTGGTGATTTTATCTATTCATCGCCAAGTACCGTCTTGCAGGTTTCCGCAGATATGGCCTGCTTCAATGGGTGCTCCGGATCGTAAGCCTCCGTATCCGTGAGCCAAGTAGCATCGCGGCGATCAGGCTTGCACACCCCCCGCCACTCCTCGGCTGTATCCGTACCACTCTTCCAGTCGAGGGTTTCTTTGATGTATGTTTACCAATACTAAGCTTTCGCCCCTGTTTCTGCCCTATCCTCCCATCCCTCATCCCTCTCCCATGTAGAACTTGTTCGTGACCAAGGCCGGAGATGCGGCCGCCCCCCTCCTTGCCCCTCCATCACGGTGGTCGGCCCTTGGATCCCATACCTATTCAACTCTACTCGGAGGTATCTGCCGACTGCCTCCTAGGAAAGACGACAGGAATTTTCGGCTTGTAGCTTCATTCAAGGCGATGAGGTATGCAGAAAAATCAGCATAGTCAACCTTCTCCGATGATGATTGAGCTTCTCGAGCCGACCCCGCAATGTAGCCCTCAGCGCGGAAACTTCTTCCGCCAATCGCTTGGGCGGAGATTCCCGTTCCTGGGAATTCGACTGCGCTGAGGCTCCGCGGTCAATTTGGGAACCAAAAATATCTAGCTTGGATACGTGGTATTAGTGCTACCCAAAAGTGAAGCTTATTGACGAGAAGTTTCTCGGTTTCGCATCGCTGCTCGTCGAGCCGAAGTCCCGGGTCTGTCGATATTTCACACGCTTTTCATCTTATCCAAACAACTTCTAGTGTTGCTTTGGCGAAGACTCTACATTTGAAAGACGAACTGATTTCATTTGTTACTCTCCATCAGTAATCTTGAGGCGTTTGTCTGCAGGCTCATCTTCCATCCCAAGCATCTACTAGAAAGCAATGTCTTGTGCCTCGTCGCCTGGACCCATACCCCTCGCACCCGATGTGCCACACAAGCCCCAGAAAAGCCTCCATACATGTACTCTTGAACCTCAGATCACATCCTTTCGACGCCTGATCAGAACCTTCGCCCCAGGATTCGCCAGAGTAGAGAACCCAAAGCGCATAGGCTCAACGGTACTCTTGTCCACATCATCAGCCAGCTTGAACTCATACTCGAGCAAGATATGCGACATGATCAGCTTCGCGGAACTGGCGCCGAAGAACCGACCCGGGCACGTATGAGAGCCGAGCCCGAAGCCCATGTGCTCCGGCGAAACGCTCGCGAGCTGCGCGTTGTGCTCGTTGTTGCCGCCCTCGCGCATCCGGAGGAAGCGTCGGCCGTCAAAGGTTTCTGGGTTTGGATAGATCTCCTGCGATTGTGAAAGTTAGTCATCAGGTTTCAGTGGACGGTCGGCAAGAAATATAGTGTCTTACGGGATCCCACATGTTTGCCGATGATACAGCAACGCCGGTCGTCTTGGGCAGCACGGTGCCGTCGCTCAATTTCACGTCATCTTCCATCACACGCCTCCCAAGAGCCACTGTCGAGATATCAGCAAAAGAGCGATAGCGCAGAAGGAGAAGGCATACCTGAAGCGATGGGTTTAAGACGCAGCGTCTCTTTGAGCACACTGTCCAAAAGCCTCAGGTTATATAACGTCGAGCTCTTCCACCCATCCCTCGTCTCCCTCAGAATCTCCTCCCTCAAAGCCTCCGTCACCTCTGGATTCACGCACAAATCCAGCAAATTCTGGGACACCATATCCGTACTCGACGCGTTCGCAAGAATCGACAACCCCAGCTGCTGAAACGCCGCATTCTGCGCCGTCCGATCCTGCTGCTTCCTCGCCAGCTTCTCGATCCACGCCAACGCGTTATCAAACACCACACCGCCCATCACCGCTTCCTGTTCTCTCCGCTTCTGCTGGATCGGCTCGATGGCCTGTCGCGCGGTGGAGAGCATCTGGCGCAGCTCACGGCAGCAGGGGAGGAACCAGTGCACGAAGCGTCGGATGGGGGCAGGGTAGGACCGGAGGACTTTTGCGGCGGCCATAGCTTTTTGGGGGTAGTTTATGGTAATGCTGAGCCATGTTGGGTCGCGGCAGAGTTCGGGGCCGAGGAAGACTAGAGCGGAGACGCGGGCGACGACTTGGGCGATTGTTGGGGCGAGGGTGATTTCGTGCCATTCTGAGGGCGGTGTTAGACAGGCTGCAGTGAGGGTGATGAGATCGATGGGTGGTGGTTAGGTATACCTTCGTTGTCGGTGAAGACGTCTTTCAGAGCGCTGGCTGCTTCGTCTGCGAGTGGTTGGGATAACTTGGCTGCAAGGTCGCGGTGAGCACAACTTGGGAGACTTGTTGGGTTCTTCAGACTCACCAACGTCACTCTGAGTGAGGTGAGTTCGAATCATCTCACGAATGAGCTCGCTTCCTGAGCTAAAGTACGGCTCGAAGCCTGGTGTCCCAGCCTGCCAGTAAGCCAAGAGAAACTCTGTCGAGCTTAAGCGGTTGTCATTCTTCACGTCGTGACAGAATTCAGGCGCCAGGACTGTGAGGGTGCTGCCCTGGCCTGTAAAGACCCTGAACGGCTTACCGCCGTATTCCTTGGCCCCTTTGGCGAGGAGGGCTCTCCCGCCAGTCAGGTATTCCTCCTTGGTCTTATTGATGACTGGGTAGATCTCGACATCTTGAAACTTGTGCCGGAGAGGTGCCGCGATGACTGAAGCGATCACGAGGAAGACTAGCCAATAGAGACCAGCATGAGATGCAGGGAGCGACGAGGATAGCTTCAAAGTAGCAAACTCTGCCCAGCTGGGTGATGTGGTTGAGGCGTTCGTGTCCATAATGAAGTGATGAGAGCTAGAAGTGATGACGGTTTGAGGGCGGTTTGGGACTGGAAGCTCTTCCCAGTACAGGTGGCTGTTCACGAATTAAAGCCCAGGCTTCAAGACTCACATTCACAAACTCTTTAAATTTGATCCATTCCCTATCAGATTGAATAAACCTTTTCCTTCAATCCGACTACCACTTACTTTTGGCTTCAAATTTGACCAGGCTCAATGTACCTGATAAACTTATTGTTCAACCTTTTCTTGACGATCCTCGTTTGCGAAGTTTACGGGGTGTTAAGAAGTACATGTTTATCCTTCTGTCAAGGAAATGATTGAGTTGATGAGCAAAGCTACTGCGGGGATGTGGCTCGGTCCGAAAGTTTCGCGGGGATCATCTTTCGGACCGCTACATCGGCTGCTGAAAACATCATCAAGATAAAATATGGTGCCGTATCCCTCAAAATATACGCATGTTCGTGTTGGTCGATAAAGGTTGTTTGCAGATGTCAGGTTGAAGAGAGAGAGCATGACCGCCGTACTCAGTGCCCGATCCAAATGCTTGTTCGGGTGTGCTACTAGAAGGCGGAAACCCGGCATCATGGCTGCCGGCCGGGACTACAATTGGCGTCAACCCAAGTTTTAGCTCCGCGTCGTCGGGTCCGAGATCTAGTCGGAGGTTTTCCGTACGGACATAATACAGCGGATTTGTAGCCGGCTTTACTACGGATTATCTCTTGGCTATTGTCGTAGTGCGCTGGATATCAACGACTCCTCTGCTCCAGTCGAGTCTCCATCCGGAGCGTTACAGTGGTGCCCGGAGCGGTGACCAAAGCGTCAATTTCTTCTCTCGATCGGATGGATGACTGAAAAGCAGACGGAATCTTCCGCGGTGCAAAGTCTGCGATAGCCCTTGTACCAACGGACCGAAAGAGACAAAGTGCCTCACTATATCACTATGTCATTGGAAGTGATGATCGACGGCTGCGCCGACTTGGCTTCGGCCGGCGGGTCCCCCAGATGGGAGAGATTACTGAAGGGACGTGACATGGACACCGGGTTTTCCGAGTCAGTCGGACTTTGCGTTCCTCACGGCTCAACTCCCCCCTCTTGGGGGCGCAAAACATCATGCAGCTAAGTCACGCAGCGCACCGAAACCCCGAATACCCCTCTGCACTAAATCTTCGGTAAGCCAGCGCGGGTGATGTCTAAAACCTCATGTTCCATGGTTGAGAGAAATCCAAAAGTGCCCATTTTGGGGAATGCCAAGGTGTCATGTGTGCAACGTCGTAGATGGGAAGAAGATTAGATGATGCCGAGGATAATGCCGCAGGTATAGCCCTCACACACGTCTCGTTTTGGCAGGCCGCTCTGAACGTCATTCGTTTCTCGATATTGAGGGGATTAAAGGCCATCTGGACGCGTATGCAGGTAGGATCCATAAGCAAGAAATCAGCAGAAAGGAAACAAATTGATTCCGTTGTAGAGAACTGTCAGTGTCAGGGCGTTCGAGAGGGTCAGATCTACAGGGACTCCCGCAAATGGTTGCAACGAAAGAGGCACCGTCAGGTTCATGGGTGTTGCTTGTCGGGCCGCCGCGCGACTCGAACGATCTGAGGGCCTCTGTCAGCGGATTTTTGCGTGGTTTGTTCAGAGTCCTGACTCTTGAAACATCAAACTTTTTCAGAGAGGCAAGGTGAATGGATCCGCACGAGAAACAACGAGGGAACACCCGTACGGTGATCTTTGAAGCTCTCGAAACACATCAGACTTTTCTCGAGTTGTGAACCTGTACGATTACTCAACAACCCGTGCTCAATAACGACCTTCCATTCTCTTGGGAGAACGATTTCCAGCTCCTCCGTCACTAAGCCTACTAACGCTACCAACGTTGGGTTTCCAAGGCTCAGACTACCCAGCCCCCGGGTAAACCGGCGTCTCCCCGCACGTGGAGAAGCGTCTCCTTGCATTTAGTGACACTGGGGAAATGCACTTCTCCAGTTTCTTCCCCATCGCGCAGGCTACGCTAATTCCACACTCGGCTCTTCTCATCAGCAAACGCCTCCACTATCCAAACAAGCTTCATCACAGTTTTAGAGTTGAACTGGCTCTAGATCCGTCTTCTCTCCCTTGCTTGCCGCGCGCGGCCCAGCTTCCATGTTCACTCGAGAGCATAGTGACACGACTCTTGCTCACATGAGCAAAAGCCACAAAGTGAACATGACGAGTCCTGCCTGCCGCCCGGTAGAAGACTCTTCCGCTGCGATCAACCCCCGGAGAGCATACCCCAACCTGGTCGCCTTCTCCGCACTCGCCATTGCCGATGCATGGTTATCCCCTCAAGCTAACACGTGTAGTCTACCAGTGTGGGGAGAAAAAGGCAGGTCACTATGCCTCTTTCTATTGCTGTCAGAGCTTCTCAGATTCTCGCCTTGAATCAGGCATAGACCGCCCAGTGTTTGCTTTTGTCTGGAAGGTCGCCTTGTCCAGTCATGCCGTGGCTAACTGCCGTCACTCCACGCCGACCGGCACGCCACCCGGCTGGGATCGCCGAGGGTGGGCATCGATTTGTTACTAGTCTTCTTGCCAGGGTTGGGTTGAGATGAACGACCTAGCATCGTCACATTGGAGACTACCTGACTTCTGGACACCCGGTCAACTACAGTACATCCTCCATCCGTCATTATAAAGAAGCCATTGAGCCCCGACACCTCCGGATAGACGATCGCCAGCCTCGAATGGACCTTGGAATTTGTCCAATTCAACGCCCATTCGCCGACATGAAGTCCCTCAACCTTTCTGCGATGCTGCTGGTGCCGGCGGCCCAGTACGTCATGAGCGCTTTCGCCGACGACTGCAGTGCTCTCGCCAACAACTTGAAGCTGCCAAACACCACCGTCTGGTTTTCCACACCCGTCTCTGCCGGAACCAACATCACCTTCCCAGAGAACCACCCGACTTGCACTCGCCCTGGACAGGTTGTCGAAGTCGACATTTGTCGTGTATCTATGTTGACCACCACCGGACCCATCAGCAACGTCAGCATTGAGGCCTGGCTGCCCTCCAACTGGACCGGCCGTTTCTTGAGCACCGGCAACGGAGGCACCGGCGGCTGTATTCAGTATGAAGACATTGCCTACGCTGTCTCCAGAGGCTTCGCTGCAGTCGGCGCCAACAACGGACACAACGGCACCATTGGCTCACCCTTCCTCAACAACCCCGGCACCATCGAAGACTTTGCCTACCGATCCCTCCACACCGGCGTCGTCATTGGCAAGGAGACGACTAAGGCTCTTTACGGCAAGGAGCACACCAAGTCATACTACCTTGGATGCTCGACTGGCGGTAGGCAGGGCTTCAAGGAAGCCCAGGACTTCCCTGACGACTTTGACGGTATTGTGGCTGGTGCACCCGCCTTCGCCTTCAACAACCTGACATCCTGGAGCGGTCACTTTTTCACCGCCACCGGCACCTCTGACAAGCCGACTTTCTTGTCGGCGGATCTCTGGAACGTCGTCTACAAGGACCTCCTCAACCAGTGCGACGGTCTCGATGGCCACGTCGACGGCATCATCGAGGACCCCGACCTGTGCCAGTACCGCCCCGAGTCTCTCATCTGCGGCGCCAACCAGACGGCAAACTGCTTGACCGGCGTCCAGGCCCAGACGGTCCGCACCGTCTTCTCCGACCTATACGGCCAGGACGGGACTCTTGTCTACCCCCGCCTCCAACCCGGTGGCCAGCCCACCCAGATCCTGCTCGCCGGTCGCGCGTTCCCCTACACCACGGACTGGTTCCAAAACGTCATCTACAACGACACGACCTGGGACCCGGCCACCATCGGCCCCAAGGACTTCGCCGCCGCCGCCGCCCAGAACCCCGGTGGCATCGAGACATGGAAGGGCGACCTCTCCGGCGTCAAGGACCGCGGCACCAAGGTGCTGCACTACCACGGCCTCCAGGATCCCATCATCAGCAGCGACAACAGCGCGCGCTACTACAACCACGTCTCGCGCACCATGGGCCTCACGTCCGCGCAGCTCGACGAGTTCTATAGGTACTTCCGCATCTCGGGCATGAACCACTGCAGCGGCGGCCCCGGCGCCAGCTTCATCGGCAACAAGGAATCTGCCGTTGCCGGGTTCGAGCCTGAGCGCAATGTTCTCTCGGCCATTGTTCGGTGGGTTGAGGAGGGCGTCGCGCCGGACTCGATCCTCGGCACTGCGTTTGTCAATGGTACGCAGGGCGGCCAGGTTGCTTTCACGAGGAAGCACTGCAAATACCCAACGCGTAATGTGTACAAGTCGGGAGATCCCAACTCCCCTGATAGCTGGACTTGTGTATAATGTTTTTCTTCTTGGGCTTAGTCTGCTTCTGACGTACATATTGCTCACTGCACATTACCATAATATGAATGACAAGATTACATGTACTATTATTCCGTTGTATCATAACAGTGACAAGTAATGTGGAAACTCGTCCCCTGATTGTCTTCTTGTGGCGGCTCCTTCAACGTGAAGTTGACAATGTTCAAGCTGAAAGCCCGAACCAATTGGTAGCCGGTTTCTCTTCCCGTAGGTAGAGGGAGAAGGAAAGAAGAGGAAAAGAAATCTCGACTCGACCTCGCAACCTTCTGAAAGTGTCATCGTATTCCATTGAAACAAGTACAATGTGTACGCGCAAATACCACGTGATGACATTGCTCTGCACCAAAATTACTATGACGGGAAATGTTCAAAAGAAGAAGCTATCCACACGCGCTCATCACTGAAGGCGAGAATCGTACCGCTCGGCCATCGACTACAACGGACGGTGCTTCTTGGAAAATAGAGTCGCACTTCCGACTCTATGAGGGCATCAACGTCAAACCCACACCTTTAGGCAGCCCATTTCAATTACTAAGCTCTGGTTCCCCTAAGGAAAGAACGTGCACTCTTCTCATCGAAATGAAGGCTTAAGGGAATCGGGAAAAAAAAAAAAAAAGGAAAGAAAACGGAACATTGAATGCATTCGACTTTGCTGTGTATAAATGTCAAATTGCCTCCTTCTGTATCCCAGGTCGTTGAAACGCAGGAAGATAGCGATAATGTGATGCATCTGATTCAACCTCTACCCCTAATCCGTGCTGTGCAGTCTTATCCATGAATCAGGAAATTCTCCGGTCTGGAGTTTGAATAGGCTATCATAGCCAACTCTAACAGGGTTCCTAGCAAGTTTTGACTACCGCCTCTTGTTGAACATTGCCGCATATAGTTCAAGGTTTCCTCACCTTCAAAGTTTCTTTCTCTCAACTCGCGTTCGCTTCGCTGATTGAATGACTACGATAGTTGCCGTCGGCAGTACAACACACACAGACCATGTTCCTTCTTACCAGGACCTTTTCTACTGGTCGTCTCCATCTTGGCAGTCCACAAAGGACACTACTCGTGATGACCTATGATGGGCAGACATGAACAACACGAACGGAACGGCTCCCACGCGTTTGGATCCGGCATGGGCCGCTGAGAGCAACACTGCACGCATAATCGCCATCGTAACTGTTTTTCATCTCCTGGCGCAGATGAGCGTTGCGCTACGGATATACGCCAGAATATGGGTCATCAAGGCGCCTGGGTGGGACGATGCGGTCATGGTCATGTCGGCGGCAAGTACACAGCATCGAAGTCCCAATATTTGCTGCCCACAGAGACTGACTTGATCGAGTTTGTAGCTCTGTGCCTGGGGAGGATGGATCTCATTCGTGATTCAGGCGCGGTACGGCCTTGGCAAGCACTTCTTGACCATTGATAAGAAGTATGACTACGTCGTGTTCAACCACGTTGCTTTTTGGCAGGCCATCATCTCCGCCGCCGGGGCTCTCATGTTTCTCAAGGTTTCCATTGCCCTGAGTCTCTTGCGCTTGAGTAAAACTGGATGGTACAAGTGGGCATTGTGGTCAACAATTGGTAAGTCAGCCACAGTCATTGGCCCCTTCTATCAAATACTGACAGTCCAACTAAGCTCTTGTCTTCTTCTACTCGATTGGTGGCATGTTCCCATTTTTCCTTCACTGCAAGCCCATGTCAGGATTTTGGGACAGGAACACGACACCACCTCCAAAATGTAAGGATGGCAATAACATCAATCTGTTTGGTATCATCAACACAGGTAAGTCAGGTTCCCATATCCTATGACTGCAATGTCGTGATATCATCGCTTACCAACTTTTAGGATTCAATATCTTCACCGACGTAATTCTAGCCACCCTGCCCGTGCCAATCATATGGAACCTGCAGATGAAGCGCAAACTACGTCTCTACGCAATTGGGATCCTGAGCTTGGGGTACTTGTGAGTACCATATGATCTAGTGTCATAGTTGTTCGGATCCCGTGACTAATGGGGCCCTCAGTGCTGTCTCGATGGGCATAGTCAAAGCAGTATACCAACTCAACAACGACAGCGAGCCTGATAAAACTTTCAACAGAAGCATTCAGTTCTGGGGCTTGTAGGTACGATTACTGAAGGTGTTATGTCTCTTAGCTGATCAAGGGTCTTCATATTTAGCCTGCAGCTGCAGGTTGGCATCGCCGCGGCATGCGCACCAGCCTTGAAACCTCTCGTCAACAAGTTACTCAGCCTCTCAGCATATAACCAGCATATTCCAGATGTATGTGGGAAGCGATCACAACAGACAGGCTCTGGACCGAGAACGCTCGAGTACGAAACCTTCCGCAGCCGTAGTGCCTGGACAACCAGAAGCAATCAATACGAACTCGATGAATGGGCCCTGGATCCACGATACGGCACACAGACGGGTGAGATGAGACTCCCAACTATGCAGCCTCCAGTAGGCGTCATGCTCAACGAGCCAGATCGGAGTAAAGCTTTACGGATCGAAGAAGAAACCGCGATACAAGTACAGGCCAGCAACTTGCAAGGGATCATCAAGACTACGGAGTTTGCTAGGAGATCTGAACACCTTGAGTAGCATTTCGAACCGTCAATGAGCGGCATAAGCAAAACCTATCCCCCAGATAATTCGGCATTTGATTGCAGTGAAAGATCAGGTACACATGGGCGTTCTTTGTACCGAGTTAGATTTGCTTCTCTTCACACCGATTTGTAAATAGTTCGTCAAGGGCGCTTTACTCGCCAGTATTCGCAGTCTAAAAAAGACCCCCTTGGAATCCCAAAAAAAAAAACAGAACATACTTCATGAATACTCATCACCGAGTGATGTCGGAGTGCGGCCCGACGGATTAGACAAAAGCTTGTGCCATGAAGTAGTTCTTGCGATTGCGTTCCGATGGGATGACATTCTGTTATCCTTCGGCCGAAATTGGTGCTTTTGTTGACAAGGTCCTGGATCAGGGGCCCTTGTGAGCCGGTGGAGTGAGGCGCTGGCCTGTTGTAATGCAGCTGGAGCTTATTCCTTGCAGTAACATTAAGGATACGCGGGATGGGATCCCGTTGAAGCACGTCTCCGACCCTGGGGAACTTAGCAGATTCTACATCAGATGACAAGTGGACTGTAGAAAGAGGCGAGCTTCCGGGTATTGCGGGCTTGCTATATCGGAGGACTCCGCGGTTTAGTTAGAGGCGTGCAAACGCTCCCACCGGTTCGTTATTGATTTCACTCCGTTGCTGTCACGAGACTCATGGAAATAAATCGGCAGCATCGGGAAGACACTATTGCCACCAAGCGCTGGAAGTTGTACTGTATGCTCTATCTTGACGTCCAGAACAACGAGATAGAATAGGAGCTTACGCATTGTGTCTTCGACTTTGATCCTTCTTGATAACGAGATTATCCATTATTTCCTGATATAAGGTAATTACTGGAAGTTTCTCATCAACAGGCCCTCGAAGCGGCACCAGACTCTTTCAAAGCTCTGCCAGCAGCTTTGGTAAGAGGTACTGGTTGTTATACTCCCACAAAATAGTGGTGAATTGCGCAGACCATGCAGCTCCCGTGTAGTATGTGTTTCTCTGACCCTGAAGAGCGTACTGCTCGGTAATATGGCCAGCTGCCAGCTCAGCGCCAGAAACGCGCAAACTCACGGCACCATGATTAGCCCAGGCCTTCACATTGAGCTGCTCGGTGCCGAGGTTCGGGATCGTGCCCGCGTCAGCTAGCAATTGGAGGGACTTCCTGACCAGCGCTTGCGCCTGAGTACTGTCGTAATCGGAGGAGCCGGTAATGAGCACACGGAAGTTGTCATCGCCGAGGTAGTCGAAGCGACCAACGAAGGGAGTTTCGGGAAGGGAGATCCAATTGGTGGGAACGTTGTTCGTGAGGGAATAGCTGATAGGCAGGGAAGGGTTAGAGACGATGCCGGCGTGAACAGTAGTCCACTCCCACTTTGAGAAGACGGTTGTCTCCTCATCGCTGATATCAATGCCATCGAAGTTGGCAAGTGTAGGCTCAAAAGAGATGAGGAGTTTCTTGGCTCGAATGAGTGTTTGCTCGCTGTCGGGACCACGGACAAGAGCCTCCACGCCATCTTCGGTACGGGAAGTCTGGATAGCTGTGGATGAATAAAGGACATCGTCGCCGAGGAGGTTCGCAATAGCATCGTAGATGTCTTGGTTACGCCTGGATACAGGCACGAAGGAGCCAACCGTGCCCAAGAACGACCGAGTGATGGGTGCGCCGAAGCTCTGCATGACATACAAGGTAGTCTGGTCGGCGATGTTGCCCAATCCTAGGCCGGTGATCTGAAAGATGCGAGGAACAGCAGCCTGCAGATTATGCTTCTCGACGAAGTCGGAGAACTTCAGGGTAAGGTCTTCAGGAACCCCAACGGTCGGGTCTGGGAAGTTTGCGTAGGAGGGAAGAATATACGATTCGTACTTCTCGCATTGCTCGAGATAAGCCTTCAGGGCAGCTGTAGCGTCCGCAGAGGCCGGCAGGGAATAGTTGGTGGTCTTTCCTGTCTTGAAGTTGGCATACGTAGTCGTCAATGCCTGTCTCACAGGAGTCTGCACCGGAATATTGAAGCGGGCGAAGAAGTCACGGGCGCCGCCGTAATCTGTGTATGAGTTCACGCCAAAGTCGTATGGATTTCCTGTCCCGGGATCCGTGAACGTTGCCACATGACCACCCTGAGTAAAAGTTAGCTTTGCAGTGCTCATCAGGTTCATTTGTTATGGACTTACGATCCGGTTCTGTTTCTCTACGATAACAATTGTCTTATTATTATCTTCGCGGAGTCTCACGGCTGCGTGAGCTCCAGAAGCACCTCCGCCTAGAATGACAACATCTCTCTCGATAATGGTTGTCCTGTTGCTCGTCGGTACGATTGCTGCCGACGCCATTGAAAGAGTGCCAAGAAGGACTGCGATAAGAGTTGACGACATGCTGGCCCTTAATACCGGTACTTAGTATTAGTGGCGACATAAAACAACGAACATGCAACGTCTATATCGGTCGTCACTGATGAGCTTGCAATGTTAGCCGAGACTGTGAGTGCAACGAACGAGTTCGAGAAGATCCGCGTCTGTAAATGAGTTCTTATGTAGGACACAGGTGCCGTTTTGCTACGCCACTTCAACGCATCGGACGTTCGGAGGTGCTGCCGTTGGGAGGACTGGGTCTGGAGACATGAGATGCAGAACACGGAAGTGATCCCGGCTTAGCGTAGAAGATTAATTCCACGTGCAGCAAGGTCACCGCGAACTATTTGCTGGGTTATGCGAATGGGGAGACCAGATGCACGTTGTTCAACAAGATGACAGGGTCCAATCACGAAGTGGTGCTTCCCAATTGAGGTTATGCATGCGTTGCGGCGAACCCAAGACTCATCCCTTCCTAGCCTGCTTGAATATTGCTGACGAGCATAATGGTGTACGTAATGACACCTTGGATTCCTTGATGTGAGTGAAAGGTATGTGTGATGACCTGATGAATCACTTAGTTGACGGGCTTTGGAGAAGGGAGAGAACAAGTGACAAGTTCACTGAGAATCTGTGGAAAGATGCCATAGGCCTCATTGGTAATCAAAGTCTTCGGTATGGCGCATTCGGTCACTGACTGAGCCGTTACACAGGTTTGCCGAGATCAACCCACATAAACGGCAATCAGGGGCCATATCTGTCAATTGATCGGATGAGGCGATCACGCCAGTAAGTTTTGATTCGGCAACCTTGCCCGAAATGCCTCCACTCTTTGGAGCAGGGGGTTGATCGCACGGCTGGAGCTTGCCGTTGCATTCTGTTCCTCGCCATCGGGCTTGTGGCAAGTCAAGGAGACGATGAGAGTTTGCAAGTAAGAATAGCCCCTTCGATAATTTTTAGGGAGGTCATTGTAAAACGTAAAAGGTGTTCGCCATGGATTCGATATAATTACAGAATTCTATTACATTAAATGTTCAGTGACACTTGGTAGTGTGTATCGCTTCTCTCAAAAGACATTATTCCATCTATATGCAAGCGCCCCGATTCCTTTGGACAAGTGAAGGCATGTCAACTAGGTATCTAGTAGCCGGCCAAAATCTGGGCAGAGATCTTCTCGGCCAAGACATAGACAGTGCTCTGAGGGTGGCCAGGAGGCAGGAGCGCAAAGCTGCTAGCATCAACGACTCTCAGACCACTGACACCAATGACCTTGGCATCCTTGTCAACGACAGCCATGGGGTCGTCAGACTTGCCCATACGGCACGTGCAGCTGGCGTGCCAGATGGTCATGACAGTGTTGCGAATGTTCTGGAGGATCTGGGCATCAGTCTCGACCTTGGCACCGGGGAAGTACTCCTTGTTGTCGGCCAAGACGGGCTTCATGGCATTGGAGGCAAAGGCCTGGCGCAGACGCTTGAAGGTAGCGACGGCGACGGCAACATCGGTGGGGTCGGTGAGCCACTTGGGGTCGATGAGAGGCAGGTCCTTGGTATCGGCGGACGCGAGGGTGACGGTACCTCTGGACATGGGAGCAACGAGGCCTCCGAGAATGGTGGCGTACTGGTAGCCGTCCTTTGGCTGGGTGAGGAGAAGGTTGGAGAAGTCGCCGACGTAGCCGGGGGCGGTGAGGTACTCGATCTCGGGCCAGTCAGCAGGGAAGTTGCTGTCGAGGATGGCAGCAGCATCAGAGGAGATGAGGTCACGAGGAGTCTTTTCCCAGCCGAGGAAGTCGCAGACGGGGTTGGTGAGAGGGCCAATCTTGCGGATGGAGTAGTCGAAGGCGAACTGGGCAGCAGTGTAGATGAGGTCGTTAGCCAGACGGGTCAAAGTTTGAACCTTGACGCGCCACGTGGGACCAAAGAAAACGTGGTCCTCCATGTTCTGGCCGACACCAGGACGCTCAGCGACGATCGGAATCTTGAACTTGTTGAGCTGGTCCTTGGGGCCGACACCGGAGACCATGAGAAGCTGGGGGCTCTGGAATGCACCGGCGGACAAGATGACCTCCTTGTTAGCCTTGAGGGTGTAGGTGGTGATGCCGGCGTTGGAGGTGAGAACAACACCGGTCGCCTTCTTGTTGCTGTCAAAGAGAATCTTCTTGGCTAGAGACAGCTGGTAGACCTTGAGGTTCTTGCGGCCGATGGCCGCGTTGAGGAATGAGGTCTGACTGGACTCGCGCTGCTGGTTGCTGGGCTGAATAGTGTCGGAACAGTACTGCGCACCCATGAGCTCACCGCTGTTGAAGTCCTGGGCCTGGGGAATGCCGATCTCGTTGAGGGAGGGCTCGAGGTACGTGCTGAAGGGCTGGGCGTAGTTGGCGTAGGAGACGTCAAGAGGGCCTCCAGCAGCATCGAAAGCGTCAAGGTTGTACTCTGCGCTGGCATTGGGGAAGCGAGTAGGGCCGGGCGGGGTGAACTTGACGCTCTTCTTGAAGTACGGAAGCAGGGAATCCCAGGTGTAGCTATCATCGCCGATAGCATCTGCCCACTTCTGGTAGGACTGCTTGGTACCGCGCTGGTAGATCATGAAGTTGCGGGCGGAACTATTGTTGTATTAGCATCTTTCTTCAAGACGGATGAAACTGCAGAGGACTTTGAAACTCACCTTCCACCGAGACACTTCCCGCGAGCATAGTGGATCTTGCGGTTGTTGGCACCGGTTTGCGGCTGTGTGATGAAGTTCCAGTCCACCAGAGGGTTGGTGTCGAGAGGACTAGCTCCAGCGAAAAGGGTATCTCCAGCGGGTGTCTGGCCGATGAGGAGATTGGTGACCTCGTAGAACGTGCCGGCTTCAATCACAGCTACCGTAACATCGGGGTTGGCGCTGAGTCTGTTGGCCATCACAAGGCCGGCCGTGCCACCGCCAACAATGACATAGTCGAAAGTCGCATCCTTTCCAAGACTTCCTGCGCTGGTGCCGAGCTGGCGCTTATGCTCGGCGTGGAATCGTGCCTCCTCGTCAGCCGGGGCGGCATGGGTCAAGCCCAATATAGTAATGAACGTGGAAACGGCGTAAGTGACACGCATTTTGTAAAGAGAGTATAGGAAAAAATTAGACAAGAAGAGAGTGAACTGTCGACCCGTGAGACTTGGAGGTTGATAGACAACATCTGGAAGTAAATAGGATTAACAAGACACTTATAACTGCATGACATGTTTGCTCCATCCGATCCCCATCCCACCGGACGCTGTGAGCCTTGCCCGGAATAGATCCTGTCGCGAGTGTTTACGAGAGCTAAAGTCCATGTTCAGCTAGACTGGAGGCGGGCGCTAGAAGATCACGCTTGTTTTGCTCACGCTAGACATAGTCTATTGCGTTCCTGGCTAAGTTTGTTTGCATTAGCGCGTGAACAGACCGCACCACCGCAGAAATTGGGGCTTACACCGATGACCACCGTTCTTAGGGTCTTCTGGTCAGACAGCGGCTTGCTGCTTGGACCCTTTTTGGTATTTCCACGAACAATGAAGATTGGTTCAAGGACATGTTTTCCCATGATCTCCAGGCACGGAAACGTGGGCAACGGGAGCTTGCGGGGGTGTAAACATGACGCTAGTCAGGATTTGACTTTTGACTGCTTGCTCAGGGGAGAGTCGGGCGAAGTTCAAAGGGTCGCTCGTCCGAACCTTGACAGCCTAGACGCAGGTGAAAGATCGAACGACAGACTTCAGGACGACCTGCAAGCCCAATCTGGGATTTTGGCGGCTGTTGCCGACCAATTCTTGCGAATTTAGCCCAGTTCTGAATGGGCCATGATGTCAACGATCCGTTCTTAGTTTGGGTAGGCCAGCAGACTGCGGAACGAAAATCGCCTACCTGGGCCCAACTAAGGAGAGAGAGCAAGTTGGATTGTTTCATGATCCGCCGAGCCTTGTCAAGTCCACTTGCTAGATGTGTAGGTGGACCAAAATCTCAAATATTCATGTTAGCGTCGATCTTGTTCAACGTTGAGAGAATACCTGAATGGACGATTGTGAAATTTCGCCCGTTAATACTTGCAAGCGTTTAAGCTAGCTTCATGGAAAGGTAGTGACAGAAATCTTGGCCTATAGCTCATGGAGACATGGTATCTTCGGGTCAACAGACCAATGCTGTCATGATAATGGCGACCGTGCCACATCCCAAGCATGCGCTGGTTAACGTGAATGATGTGTTGCCTCGTGTATAACGAATGAAGTTGAGGCTGCCGGTGTCACTGCTGTATGCTTGTAGTGCTGACTTCAAGCAGGGTTGTGAAAGATTTGCGATGAGACAGTTCATTTATGCGTTCAATGGAACGCCTAACAGCGACGTTTCCTTCCACAGATTCCAATTCTCCAGAATGCATAGAGGTGGGAATGAGCACATATAAGAATGAAGTTGTCCCAATCTACCTACCGGGATGACTTTTAAAACGGCTCACTGGCATCAAATATGACTGGCTCCCTTTGAAACCTTGGGTTTGGTGAAGTTATTGAAAGTCGAAGGAGAGATGAAAGTCCTCGCTGTAAACGGTTTATCACGACTCAGGCCAATAACACAAGATCAGGTCGCTCCAGAGTGCTAAGGGCTTGGTGCGCTGGAGTGAACCAACCTATGGGCTGGCTCCCTTCGCTACATGTACCCAAGGACGCGGAGTCATAGACTTCTCAGATTTCTTTGCCGCAACGATCGCGAGGGTCTATTCATTGTAAAGTTTTCTACGATATATGATCCGAAGCATCAAGCGCTAGATGCCTGGTTTTCTAACTTCGTACTTATGTACTCAAGGTAGTCTAGTGAGATTGCGTGAAGTTATGACTAAAGGGGCTGCATGTACCACTTTCGCAACTGGACCAGGCAAAGTAAGTTCTTCAACAAAAGTCAAACCGACTTCAGCCCGAAGTCATTGCCTTCGTAAAGGCCCTTCACTCTTGAGTTGACATGTAAAGTAGATTCTCATAGAAAATCTGCCCAAGTTTTGAATAAGTGTCCGATAATCAATTAGACAACTACCACATTGAACCGAGAAAGGCAACTGACTTTTCTTTCGGTGGTGAAAAGACTGAAAAACCCGCTTACCTAAGTTCGTCGGGTTAGGCTCAGCCTTTAAAGGAACAGGGATGCAGCTCGCTAACATCTGAGAACCGACGAGCTGGTTTTGTCCCATTGACCCCTTAATCAAAGGTCCCAAGGAGCTCCAGCTCAACTTGACACACTAGCACAGCGCAAACATTGCGCAATTGGCTAAGATTTTCAACCCTTTTCAACCTCCGGGATGGCATGGCCTCACGCGTTATAAGCTAATTGCCTCACTTTACCTCATTCTTCGCCAAACTGAGCAGTCACTGGTGGATTATTGGGTTGCTGATGGGGCCAACAACCATGTCGTCTTGCTGTAACCGGCTGCTTCTGATTGCTGGGTGAATCGGGCGGGCCGCGTTAATCACTCGGTTTCGGCATTCTGCCCATAACTTTCTTGGGTTTAAACTTTCGTGGAGATGCCTTCAATCTATTCCAGAAGCTCTGCCCCTGGTAGTGCATCGCGAAGAAGGAAGTTTGCGCCTATTCGGCTCGTGTATCCTGTTTACTAACCAAGTATGGCCGTCTTGGCCGAGCCGAGGGGGAGAACTGGCAGTGGTGTAAATAGTTGAAGGTCCCCTAGGGGGCATCTATGTGTGCTTTGCTTGTCTGTCTATCTTTTGATTCAGTTACTCTCTTTTTCTCACCACGTTCGCTTTCGCGACATTCACTCTTTTTCTAACAAAATCAAACATTCTTTTCACCTGGCTGGTCCATCTACGATTCACCATTCTTTCAAGTTTCGAGTGACCTAGCCCACAACATCCAATCATGAGAAGCGCCGGCCTTATTTTGGCGGCCGCGGCGTCCGTCCGCGCCGCTTGCTCGTGGAAGAACGTCCACACCGGAGGCGGAGGCGGCTTCGTGCCGTCCATCGTCTTCCACCCGACCGAGAAGGGAGTTGCATATGCTCGCACCGACATTGGAGGTCTATACAGACTGAACGCCGACGACTCGTGGACCCCCATCACCGACGCCAACGGATTCGCCGACGACGCCAACTGGAACCGATGGGGTATCGACGCTCTTGCGGTTGACGCCCAGGACGCGAACAAGGTCTACATTGCTACAGGCATGTACACCAACGACTGGTAAGCACCGCTGCAACTCTCAACTTCTCATCCCGCATCGCAGCTAAACCATGGCAGGGACCCCAAGAATGGAACATTTGCGCGCAGCTCCGACAAGGGCGAGACCTGGGAGACTACCACCCTTCCCTTCAAGGTTGGCGGCAACATGCCTGGCCGCGGAACTGGTGAGCGGTTGGCCGTCGACCCCAAGAACTCGGAGATTATCTTCTTTGGTGCCCGCAGCGGCAACGGTTTGTGGAAGAGCACAGACGCCGGTGAGCAGAATTCCATCCACGAGCGCACCGCGCCCCGTCTCTCCACGATTCAGATTTCTGACAGAGTGTGATTGATTAGGTGCGACTTTCTCCAAGGTCTCTACATTCGAGGCCGTCGGTACCTTCCGCCCCGGCGCCGCGAGCGATGCCTACAACGGTGACCTTCAAGGTCTGACTTTCGTCACCTTCGACGAGACCTCCGAGGTTGTCAACGGCGCGACCTCGAGAATCTTTGTTGGAACCGCCGACAACACCACCGCGTCCGTCTACGTCAGCACTGACGCCGGTGCCACCTGGGGCCCTGTCGATGGCCAGCCCAAGAAGTTCTTCCCTCACAAGGCTGTCCTTCAACCCGCCGAGAAGGTCATTTACTTCACCTATTCCGACGGAACCGGCCCTTACGATGGCACTCAGGGTGGTGTTTGGAAGTACGATTTGACCTCGAGCAAGTGGACCGACATCACCCCTACCACTGGCAGCGATCTCTACTACGGCTTCGGTGGACTCGGTGTCGATATGCAAAAACCTGGAACGATCGTTGTCGCCACTCTGAACAGCTGGTACCCCGATGCGATCCTCTTCCGCTCCACCGACTCCGGCGCGACCTGGAAGAGAATCTGGAGCTACGGTGCCGATGGCAAGGTCGCGCCGCAGTACACAATCAGCGCGCCCAACGCCCCCTGGATCGAGACCAACTTCCTCGACATTGACACCAAGAAGCTTGGCTGGATGATCGAGTCCCTCTCCATTGACCCCACCAACAGCGACAAGTTCTTCTACGGTACCGGTCTTACCCTGTACGGTAGCAACGACCTGACCAACTGGGACAAGAACAAAACCATTACCATCCAGAGTCTTGCTTCCGGTATTGAGGAGATGGCTGTCGGCGCCTTGGCCAGTGCCGCCGAGGGCCCTGAGCTCTTCTTCGCGACTCTTGACAACAACGGCTTCACCTACAAGACCGCCGCCGATGTTGACAAGGCCCCTCAATCCGCCTGGACCAACCCTTGGTGGGCTAGCAGTGTCGACGTCGACTTTGCCGGAAACAGCCCCAACAAGGTTGCCCGCATCGGCAAGGCCACCGACTCGCCTCAGCTCGCCCTCAGCACCGACGGCGGTGAGACCTGGTCCGTCGTGAACTCCACCGGCAACACCATCACCGACGGCTCCGTCGCCTACTCCGCCGACGGCGATGTCATTCTCTGGTCTTCCAAGAGCGCCGGCGTCCAGGTTATCCGCAACGCAGGCAAGCCCGAGAACAGCACTCTCTCCGCGAGCAGCGTCATCGCCAGCGACAAGAAGAAGAACGACGTCTTCTACGCCGGTTCCAAGGCGACCTTCTACGTCTCCACCGACGGCGCCGCCACCTTCACCGAGGCGCCCCTCGGCAACGTCACCGAGATCCGCTCCATCGTCGCCCACCCCGCCACAGCCGGCGAGCTCTTCGTCTCCACCGACTCGGGCGTCTTCCACAGCACCGACTTCGGCAAGACCTTCTCCTCCATCTCCGGCCCTTCCAACGCTCACGCCGTCTCTGTCGGCAAGGGTGAAGGCAGCGCCTGGAACCTGTACGTCTTTGGCGAGGCTGCCGATGGCAAGAAGCTCTACGCCAGCGCCGATCTCGGTGCTTCGTGGATTGACCTCCAGGGCACCTACAGCTTCGGCGCTCTTGACGGCGCTGCTCTTGTTGGTTCCGCCAACGAGGCCAACGTTGTTTATGTTGGTACCAACGGCCGCGGTGTCATGTACACCTCGTGCCCTGTCTCCAACTCCACTGCGGCCCCGGCTGCTGCGCATGCCAGAAGGCACGCTCGCAGCAGACCCATGCGTCTTGGAAGAGCTCCCCACCGCCACTGAGCGCGAGGGATTTGTGTATAGAAAGCTCAATTCGATTCATCTGTAGATTCAGTTTATAAGTCGGTCAGTATCTGTAAATAGACTGATAAATTTCAAACATTTCGAAGATCGTCTGTGAGCATAAAGTGATACGCCAGCAATTGCTCCATGACAGCCCGCGCCAATGTGAGTCTCAACGTGTTTCGATCATAGTAGCCGATGGGATGTCGTTGTGAGTAGCTAACGGGGCACCCCACGATTCAGAGTAGTTTACCTATGCAATATGCAGGGCTCCTGAATCCTTTAGGGCTCTAGCGGCTGTCTTTCTGGGGACGGGAATTGCTGAAATAACTCAAGGTGTCCGACGACATCAGATCGCCTCAAAATGAACGTTAATCCGCCGCATCATTTCTGAAGTTAAACAATGGCTTCCTTGACAAGTGTATGTACAGAATCAAAAGTCGCAATCCTACCTCCTCGTCATCAGATCTTCATCTCGACCATCCTACACCCGAAAAATGCTTCCAGATATGGGCAACCACAGCAGACGCGTGGAAAGATTCTTTGACCACACCCTTGTACCCTTGAGTCCGCGTACCTCATGACAGTCCCGCTTGCTCAGGACGGAGGCATGACCACTTGGGTCCTCGTTGACAAAGATCGGCCACCTAACAAGCGGGATATCTTTTGCTCATGCGAAACCTTCCGCAAACGATGTATCGTAAGCGATAGCACGGGAAACGTGACGGAGGGTATTGTACATGGAATCGCCAGTGTCTTCTGCCCAGAAAAGTTTCGCGGTCGCAGTTACGCAGCTCGTCACATGAAAGAGCTAGCGACGGTTCTACGTGGATGGCAGGCCGAGAACGGAAAGGTCATTGGAAGCGTCTTATACTCGGATATAGGAAAGGAGTACTATACCAGGTTGGGTTGGACACCAAACCCAGTCAATGGGCATCTAGTATTGTCGCCCGCAATGATGGAGATACCTGCGACTTCGCGGCCAGTCTTCGAGTCGGAACTAGAGAGTCTATGTCTCAGGGACCAGGCCACGATACAAAGTGACATGGCCACACCCAGTGCGTCACGAAAGCGAGTGGTCATTTTACCAGACCTGGATCATATGTTATGGCACATCCGCAAAGAAGACTTCGCCACCAAGTACATCTTTGGTAAAAAGGCAGTGATGAGAGGAACAATCGCTGGAGTGCCTGGGAAACAGGTCTGGACCATCTGGGTTCGTCGCTACTACAGGCACCCAGATGATCATAGCATCAAGGGGGCAGATGATAAGAATGTTCTTTACATTCTCCGCCTTGTGGCAGAAGGCGACGAGACTGCGAACAAGCCACGTGAAGGAAACTTTACGACACCGATGGAAGGATACGCAGAGCAAGCTGCTGCGTTGAGAGCTGTGATGCAGGCTGCACAAGCGGAGGCGGCAGATTGGAGGCTAGATCAGGTGCAACTATGGGATCCATCTCCCATGGTAAAGAGCCTTTTGGATCAAAGCGACCTAGATGCTGTCCATGTCGAGAGGCAGAGTCATAGCATTGCTAGTCTCTTGTGGTTCGAGGATGGCGAACGTTTGGGACCAGAGGACGCTCCGATTTTGATCAACAATGAGCATTATGCGTGGTGTTAGGGAGAAACAAAAGTCTTAGTTCGCAGGCAAGCTCCCCATCACGAAATTTCGATAGACGGAAGGCTTTGGCGCCGATTACACAAGTACGATAAAGTAAGTCCTCAAGTAATGGGATGGCTGGGAGGGACATCAACGTTTCAGAGTTTGTACAAGTTTGATTCCTCAGGTAATATGTATATGAAGTTAATCTCCATCTCTAACCATCAAAGGGTTCATATGTATCACTGATGATACTGATGCATCACAACCGCTGAGAGCACAATTTGAGACTTAGCAAGCAAACTTGGCGGGTCCTGGAATCGTGTAGTTCGTGACGACGGGGTAGTAGATGTTGATTGTGATACCGGGGTCGGATCCCTGAAGCGATAGTCAGTAACCGGTTTACCTTACGTGGCTTGATGAGAATGATTCGACAACATACCTTGTAAGCACCAGGGAAGCTGACAGTCGACGGGCTCTTGGCCGCAGTCCCGCCAACAACATTGATCTGAGCACACTCCATATACAGCTGTGCACCCGGGTAGGAACTGGCGCCGTGCAAGGCAATCATCTCAGCTCTGAGAAGGTACTGTCCGTTGGCAATGCACTTGGGAATAGTAATAGCCTGCTTTCCAGCATTACCAATGACGCGCTCCGTTCCCCAGACACCACTGCTCAGACCATCCTCTTGGATCTTGAACCATCCCGCGCCAGTACCGGGATCGGTCTTGGCGTCGGTGACCTTCTTCATGTAGGCCAGAGTCGGTCCTTTGTGGCTAGCGTCCATGACATCCTCGGGTCCGCTGGTCAATGTGTGGCGCCAGACGGCTGTCACTGTTGACCCGGCCGTGACGGTGATGACTTTGTCGGTTGACTTTGTCGGATTCGGATCACCGTTGCAGGCGATGTACTGGGACGTGACGTCGGTTTGAGGGCCGTCATACTCGGGAGTACGGATGCCTTGAGAGACGCCGCTGTTGACTCCATCGGCCTCAAGGGAGACGAAAATGGTGTGAGCCTGGCAGAGGCCGGCGGCAGCGAGGAGACCGAGAAGCTTCATGTTGTGAAGGTATTGCGTTCACTTTAGCATTAAGTAACCAAATATGACCACCGCAAGACATGAGAAAGGGAGGTCACTGATCATTTTATGTCGGATCTGCCGTGAACAAGGTCCATAACGGGCTTTACGAATATCTCAACCGCGACGACGTTCTAGGTCGGCGAGCACGGGGCAACCCCTTCCGGCATCCCACGAGCGGAAGGTCATGAGGTGGTGGCGAGAACGGATTGCATCGCTAAGTGAGACTGACAATGGAATAAAGGTGCCAATGCTAGCTCGGCGGGGCCAGTTCATCCGGCATTTAGATTAAGCTCATTTATCCTCCGCGAATCGCTTGGCGATAGTGTTGTATCAAGCCGCCCCTAGTCTCAAGTAAGTGGTGTTCTAGCCAATGATACTGGCACCCACCGGCAGGATTCAAATGGGAGGACCTCTTGTTGGTCTTACCGACATGGATAGGATGGTGGCTAGTTGCGGATTCCGGACACCGTGAGCTGGGAACTCGGGACTGTTTCCGAAGACCAGGGTGAAATACACACGCCGTAGAAAAGAACTCTTAACTTGATACGATCAGGGAAAGCTTGAACAAGCGCTGTATATCTCCGTTACTACCAAGGAGGTTGCAAAAAGAACTCCATTGCTCGACGACGCAAGCACTACCCCGGCATCCCTCGCCGTGCACTCAATGCCGGCGTCCCGATCCATGAGCCATACGATCAACAACCAAGCCGCCTACTGTGCTACCAACAACGTTCTCCCAAGTCCTAGACGGCTTCTCACCATGCTTCCCAGCAACGGCATCAATCGCCCCGGCTCCCGCCGCCGCCGTCATGACTCTCGCAGTCCGGTTCCTATCATGTCGCGCCAGCCCAGCCTCAATGATTCCGGCACTAGCAGCTGCAACAGCGGCCTGGCCCCAATCGGGCCCGGAGGTGGAATGCCTCCGTTTGCTTCTGCTGTGTGTGTGGCTATGGCGGCGATGGTGCCCATGCTTGTGGCTGTGATGACCGCGGTCGCGCTCGTAGTCGTAGACGTCGGATCTTGGTCGCGACCGCGGACGCCTCTCTTCATAGTAGTATTCTCTATCTCTTGGTCTGTATCTGTCTTCTTCGTAGACTTCGACGCGGTCTCTGCGATCGGGAGACTCGTAGTGTTTATGCGCGACGCGGACTGCACCGGCGTCCCTTGTTGGGCTGTATTCTGGACTTCCAACGCTTAAGTCGGAGTACGTTGGTGAGTGGTGCCGGCGGCGGACGGGATATTTGTCCCGGACATCGTAGTCGTTGTATGACATCTTGAATGTTTACTGAGAAAATGGAATTCCGAGCGCTTTGAAGGTTCAAAAATCAGAGCCCCATCGGCTTTCTTGGGGGTATCATAAGGGAACCAGCTTAAATACCATGACGAAATGCAATAAGTCGGGAGGCCAAGGGCAGTACGTGCCCGCTTATCTTGCCGACCGCCGAAAGTCTTGCGGGGAATGGAGACCTCGCCCCTCAAGACTACATATGAAGGGATTCTGATGTAAGGTTTTGGCTGGATACACCACACTTCCAATCAGGCTACGTGAAAGTGCATCTTTGATTCAGGTTTAAACCACCTTTTCAGTGGTAAAGTGGAGCGAATGCTCTTACGTGTGGTGAACCTGCATGATGTGCGTTCACTGCCAGCGACTCTACGCTGGATCAGGTTTTTCGGACGCCGGGGGTTGCAGGCGCAATGGGGGTATTCGTCTTTCGTACGCATTGCCAAAGCCTGATTCTCGACCAACCATGAATCAGGGAGGTTGTGGCACATGTTATGTATTGGCAAATTTGGTCTCTAACGGAGTTTACTCCGACCAAGGGAAGCGCAAAGCCGTGGTTGCTGATGCTGCATTTACCATAACCTACATCGACTTTGCAGGTTGAAGATGCTGGCCTTCAAAGGTCAAACAGTAGAGATGAGCCGTGAAGAGAGAGATGGATGTGACTCTGGTGTGCTGCAAGTCTTAACTTTATGACGTGAAAGTGACAGAAAGTTATCGCGGCAAACACGCCGTAGTGGGTAGCGATCGGCCCCACCCGGAGTTCCTTGGCTCCATGTCCGGTCCGGTCGGCTCCAGGCTCATCGTGTGTTTTGTGACATGCGGAAACAGAGAGGACGTGGACTGAGAGTATTGAAATTCTGGCCGTTATCTTGGGCGCAACCGCCATACTGAGATAATCCTACAATCATTCATATTTACTGTGACCACTAGGTCTCCTTTCGTCATAAAGTCGTATATCATCGTCTTATCCATGCTTCCCCAGAATTCCTTGCTCACCATCCCCGCAAAATCAGGTCATCTGCATTCACGGCCCAGTTTTGGTGGCGAGGAAGTCCGTGATCTGCTGAGACGGCGGACCACGTTCAGGCGAGGGGTTACTCCGCGTCGGCGCCATGGACATCGTGAGCCGAAATTGCCTCGCTAGCTCCTCGGACTCGGTCATAGTGAGGCACTCTTCCAGCCGGGCCACATCCTGGTTGTCGGTATCGCGAACGTGGGCAGCCAAGTCGACCCAGAGAGCCTTCAATTCGGGTTCGAAGCTGCCGTCGTCGACTGGAATCGCTTGAAGACGACAAATCTTTTCTTTCAACTAAACTTATGGGTCAATTTGCCGTTGCCGTCTTGCATGGGCGTCAAGGATGAACTTACGCTTTCACGGACCGTGTGATTCCTGGCGCTACGAGACTCGCCGTCGGCCAGTCGATCTGTGAGGATTGGAAGAAGGACTTGTTCCTCGCTGATGCAATGTCTGGCAAGTTCGAGACTGAGCTCGTTTCTCCATCGGACTTTGTCTTCTACCGTGGTTGATGTGAGGATATATCGATAGGCCTGCTCGATTTTTCGATGGTCATCCTTGATCGCGTCGCTGAGTTTCGTCATGATGTTGGTGTTTGGTGGTTGGAAATTGAGGTGAATAGTGATGAGACAGATTACTTCGAAGCATGAAAAACAAGCTAGCAAAACGAGATCGGGGATAGTTGCTGAATTTGAAGTATTGGTGGACTGCAACTGGAGAAAGGTGAGCTTGTTTTCTCGCGAACTCTGATAGATATGGTTTAAAATGGGATCCTTCATCTCACCAGAGAGCGGGAATCCCATGCCTAAGTAAGCAAACCCACATATGACGTTTCGGAGACTCATGGCCGTGGCGTCTCACCAGGGGCTGATCCCAATGTGATATCCGACAGACACAGCCATGTCTGCCCAAGCCCAAGCTTGCCAAGTAGTCTTCGATAAGCTGTCACTCATTCACTCACTCCAGGCACAGCAAGGGAGGGAGGGGTCCTGTCAAAGCACCTTGGTGGCAGTGGTGGCTTTGCAGGCTTACATACAGGCTGCAGCATCCCGAGAAGCAAAGGAGATCAGTGGGCCACCTTCCAGGCCCCCCGAGCTCCCGGCGCGAAGTGGAGCAGCCGCTCCGGAGACGTGGATTCATGGAGTGAGTGGTCCGGCGGTTGGGTTGGGCTGGCGATTCCGCCCCCAAGGCCCCCAGGGATGACTGACCGGCATTCAAAACTGCCTATTGCGGCATGGTGGACCACGCATCTGGTTGCGAATCCCAGACGGTGATTTGTTTGGCAACCATGAGAGAGAGTGTGTGTGCCCTTGGGCCTAAGCCCTGTTTTTTCTGGTCCGCCACTCTATCATCATCGCGTCACCCCAAGCCGTTTCCGAATGATAGGGTTTGAGATCCTGGCGAGCTGTGTCGGCCGTCAGACTGTGCCACGTGGGCTTTCAACCTGCTATGGAAGTCCAATGTTAAGTGTGTTAATAGCACCGAGAGCTAGCGAACAAACGGATCAAGGTAAAACCGGTATTATGGCAACTTTGTTACCATGGGGCGTACGTCGGCTTTGCCACGACAGGGAGAACAGTATTGCGTCGCCGACCTTCGTGACCTAAAGCAACCACCATCTAAGAAACGCGACTCTGACTATGTCCTGCGCAAAAAACTCCGACTTTCAGAAGAGACACTCAAAGTCCCGTTTGGTCTTAAGAGCTGCGTTCGGCTTTTCGGGGAATATGTCTGAGACAAGAAGGCACCTTTGGTGGGCTAGCTCGACCCCAGCCATCAAACGGCGAAGGGAATACGTGGCAACCAACGCCATCTCGTCAGGCTCATCGTGGGGTAACAAGCCACAAAAGAATCAACGAGCGAGACATGGCTCAATTCTCTTCGCCTTACCACAACTCTTCCTTCTGTGGTGTACCTCACCAAGTGGTCACCTAGCCACACCACCCTGAGGCTTGTCATACTACGGTCAAATATTAGCCCGCAATTCCACCGCTCACGCCGCAGATCCTCGGTGTAACCGGTTTTTGATCACAAAAGTGCCCATTTGTACCTATTCCGGCGCCTTTGCCTCGCAAAGATACCTCAATTCCTGCCCTTAGATCCTGCCGCGAGCCAAGAACCTGTCCGGGATGTCGACATGCTTGCATCGTAGATACTCTGCCAAGTTCTTGCTCAGGAAATCGTAAGACGAACTAGCAGAGACTCCCCGATCAAGGTGATCCTTCAAGAGGAAATGCACAGCTATCGCCATGTCAGTCCAACGAGACACAAGCGATCCTTCGCACCAGACAGTACAGGAGGACTCACCATGGAGATGTGGAAGCTCGAATCGAAAAACCGGTTTTCCCTTGTCATCCTCTCCCAGCAAATCACGAATCTTCCCGACCGTCAACACCGACCTTAACCAATCCCACTCGTCGGCATTCCGCACAAAGAATCCAACGTTACTATCGGATCCCTTGTCGCCCGAACGCGCGTGTACGACATGCCCAAGCGGCGCTCTTGTCGTCGGTCCCAAGGTCGCGACATTGATCGGGCTTTTGGTCTCGTACGTCGGCTGGTCGTACAAAAAGTCCACCGTGTCGCGAGGGGGCTCAATGTCGACCTTTTGACTCTTCCACGGTAAATGGCACACGTGCTTTGCTGCGCTTTGTGGGAGAATGCTAACCCAGTACTCATGGTACTCCTTTGGAATTGCTTGTCGCGTATCTAAATGGAATGTAGCACCGGGGTAACTCTGCATGATGTTATCCACAATTGGCTTCAGGAACTTTAAGGGTGACAACGCTGCTTGGTCGCGCGCTTGTGCAAAGATGCGCAGGTCAACCGTTGCTGCATCTTGGTTTGCGGGGTTCTCTGGACAAGAGCCGTTGGTACTGAAATTGAGACACGAGAAGGACTTTTCGTCAAGAACGTGGCGAAGCTGACGCTTAAACAATGCCGCCTTCTCTTTGATGTCGAGGCCGCAAAGAAAGTAATGGGCTTCAGCTTGATATCCGCCTTTGGCTGTAATTCCAACCTTTGTGGTAGGAGGAGGCTTCATACTACCGACGTTGAAGACCCGACTGTCACGATGTCAGTGGGAGTTCTGATGAGCATCACAATGGAGACATACACTTGATTTTCTCCCACCTGCGTCATCTTGATGTTGTCTAGTATGGCCGCGACATCCGAGTTGTAGTAATATGGACCTTGGATCTCGTAGAGGAGCTGAGCTTTGCACGTTTCCAGAGTCACCATACCTCCAGTCCGAGCTTGCTTGTAGACGGTAAATTCGCCAGTTTCCTCGACTTTGGCAACTGGAAACCCAATTTCGACAGATGTGCCAGGCAAGCTTTTGAACCCAGAGAAGTTTCCGCCCGTCACATAGGTCGTGCATTCGATAAAATGACCTGCAACGAGGGCGTACGCCAGCTGCGAGTAGTCATCACGCTTCCAGCCGTGATGGTAAGCTGCACAAGCAATTGTTGGGGAGGCATCGGCTACACGGCCGCACAAGACGATGTGAGCCCCTTGCTTGAACGCTTCAACAATTCCCCAGCAGCCTAGATACGCCTGAGCGTAGATGGGTTCGTATGGCCAGTCCTTGATATTCTCGCCTAGACTTGTCAGCATCTAGCAAGCTACGGGATTGGTCGGGTCATGAAGTACCTGTCGTCAGATTCTTAAATCCTTCTCCCGACTTCAGCCCTTTTTGAACAACATCAATCACCTCGTCGCCCTCAATCCAGGCAACTTTAAGCTTCAAGCCTTTCTCGCTAATCATATGGACTAGAACATCATGCAGCTTCTTCGTATCACTTGCACCAGCGTTGACAGCAAGTTTAATCCGCCTGGCATCTAAGTACTGCAGCGCAGGCTCGATCGCCTCGAGAAATGAGGGCTCAAATTCGGATGAGTTTGTTGGATCAGTCGCCTTTGCGACGCCCCTTGATGTCATGTTGTATTCTGACATCCAGTCACCTACAATGTACTGGATGTCTTCATCTCGAGCGAGCTCGGCAAGTCCATGGCGTCTATCTGCTGCAGATCCGGAGGCCGACGCTATGCGCGCTGTATCGTTTGCGCGAGATGTGAGATGACCTGGGAGATTAGTTCTGAGAGGCATGATCAAATTTGGTTGGCTCGCGAAGTAATAAGGTAAGGAAGCTTCTAACTAGGTTCCAAGTAATCAATAAGATGTATAGCGTTGCTTCAGTTGTAGATGATACGAATGGTGCGTTAATCATGAGATTCTCGAGGTTCCAGCTGGAGTCCTTTAGCCGTGCTCCCCGCACCGGCGAGCCGTGTCACCTCCGCATGAGATGCAACAAGCCTCGGCTTGTCCGGCTTTTCAGATGTTTCAATGTGCCCCGAGCGTCGATCGATAATTATTTAGGAGAATTTTGAATCAAGAGTCCTGACTCAACTACACTAGGCTTCGAGGTGGTTCCGTGAACTGGGCCTTTATCTGCGTATGCTGGTCGAAACATACAACTAGCAATGGAGACGGACATGATCTCTCATGGACTCAGCGGTAATAACTTCAACATCTGCCGAGTAAATACCAAGAAAAGCGACGGAATACATTATAATATATCATGTTATTTGCAATCTAATGTCATTCATGGTCGTCGGTGAACTCAACGGCCCTTCCTATTTGTTGTAGACACCATAGCTGCCTCATAGGGCAGTCTTCTTTTCCTCCTCTGTAATGAGGCCATCATGAGTAGGCGACTCCTTTCGACCCACGCCTTGGTCCGAATGTGAGTGAGTTCGCGAATTTCCCTGCTCCAAAGTCCCAGCAGCAATGGCCTGAGCCTCATCTGCACCGATTGTGACATTTGGAGCATAGGCCATCTTGCCTTCGTTGCGACGATGCGCTGGGATGAAGACGTTGAACCATCGTGGCACTATGAAGCCGGCCAAGATCAAGATGAGCGCGACGTGACCGACAGCGAAGCCGAGGATATGCAAGGGGTCGTAGCGGAGTTCATAAAATGACGGGTATGAGAAGCCGTAGACGATAGCTAAGATTGGCCCTGAGATGTACCGAAGTAATACAGGCCAAAATGTCGGGATGTTCCAATTCTTTCCGCTGCCGATGACGACGTTGAGATCTCTGCGAAGCTGGTTTCCCTTGAATGTGCTGTTAGTAGACCTTTCGTCGGGAGAGAGACGGTAGAGAACTTACGGAGTAAAATGCCAAGTACCAAAATTTGCTAATGAGAGCATTCTTCCCCCAGAATCTCGGTGGTATGGAGTCAGGAATTTTGCCAATGACACTAGAGGCGATACTTCCGCCGATGAAGATGCCGAACCCAACGCCAGCCCCAGCTCCTGAGTGCACAGCATGGGCGATAGCCACTCCCAGGACCATAGCTAGGATGTAGCATGTGTTGTAGATAACAAAGGCTGGCTTGCCGACTTGTCCGATGACATCTTTATATCGGTAAACACTTGTCGATGAAATGCATTCGGCAAAGACAACAAAAACTAACGCAACATCATTCGTCCAACGGTCAATGCCCGTCAGAAGATAGTAGCCGAACTCTGTGCAGTACGGAAGGCACAGAAGGAAAGACATGATAGTGAGAGTTGTGACAACGACAGGCCGGCTAGCCTTGATTCCTGCGTCCATTACCAGGGTCACGATGGCATCCAACATGGCGAATGCTGAGCTGTAGCCTAGGACCATGAGAGTGAAGAATAATGCTACAGCCCAAAAGTTGGCACCAGGCATTTCGGCCACTGCCTGGGGCAGGGTGAGGAACCCAACGCTGAAGCCTCCGATGGGGTTCTCTGGGTCGGGTCGCATGCCGAGGTACCCAACAACACCAAAGACGGCGAATGCGGCGATGTTCTCAAAGAGCACATTGCTGCATACAATCAAGATTGAGTCCATGACTGCGTTGGAATATTGGCGGTTGTATGAGGCGTACGACGTAAAGTACCCGAAACCTACTCCAGTGCTGAAGAAGACCTAATCGACAGTCAGTTTATCGCTCATCAAATACATCCCCAGAAAGCATCCCAAGAAGCGGATCGAAGTACAAAATAGAGTGGTTGAAAAAGGGCGTCCGTACCTGACCACAAGCTGTCTGCCAGACCTGACCTCGTGCGAGTTGTTCGCCTCTCCATGTCGCGAAGTAAAGCTTCACACCTTCACCCGCATTCTCAAGCGATACTGACCTGCCAATCAAGACAATAGTGACAACAATAGGCAGGCCCATGGTGAAGTACACGACGCGACCCGTAAGCCCAACCCCGCGGAAAATGGAGATGTACATGAGGAAGAAGGTGAATGCTGCCCATCCGGTCGTCTCTCCCAACAGGGCGGTACCGGGATACTCGGTGTAGTTCAATACGCTGGTACCATCTGCTGTAAGATTGCCCTCAATTGGATCCACGTTGGCAACAACCTTTCTATTGAAGAAATAATCGGGCTCGTTGGTCCATGGTAGCGGGCTGGTGAACGAGTGTCGGAAGTAGCTCATGATCCACGCTAAGTTGACCACAAAGTAGGGCGTGACAACAAATCCAACGTAGATTAACGAAAGTCCCAAGCCTTTCAGTCTCTGATTCACATTTGCGTAGGCCACAACACTACCACCACGGTAGGCTTGTCCAATGGCAATCTCGAGTACGAGAACCGGGATGGCAACAATGAAAACGGCCATTAGATATGGGATGTACCACTGCAGGCCGTGGTTGTTGTACACCTGAGATGGGTACCGAAGGAGGTTGCCCATTCCGGCACATCCGCCCATGGAGGCCAGAAGAAAGGAGGCTCTCGAAGGCCAAGCATCACGGCCGTCCTCCGCTTTGTTCGGCGGAGGAGCGAACCAGCACCCGACTTTCTTGAGCACGTCCATCACCACGTGTTGATGCTTGCGGCCCGAGAAAGACCCAGGTTCGATCCGGTCCGACGGAAGAGGCCGGATGTCGTTCGGCGAGAAAGCGATATCAAGGTAGCAGCTCTGGTCGTTCACATGTGAGTATGAAACAAAATATGAGGTGCGAATGGCTTTGGATAATGGAACCCTGAGGGACAAGAGATCGCCTTGCGTAAGATAGTCCGAGGTGGAGATGAAAAGGACAGGAGAGGAAGAAAGCTTTCTCAGTGCCTTGGTACGTACCAGATCGCTCGTCGATGCTCGTCTTCTTATTGAGTTCGAGCAATATTGAACGTGACCCGGCTGGACTGCAGAACTTTTCACTTTTTTTCGCCCGCCGCCAGGAGGCGTTCCTCCCAAGCACGCAATCTTGCTTTTCTGTTCACGTCTCGTGGGGTTCACGAAAGACCACTCATAGGCGCGGCGCGCCGTGGCAAGTGGGTAATGGCCATGAGGTCTTGGAATTACATAGGACAAGAGATTTAGCGAATCCTCCATCAGCCGTTTGTCGTGGCATCGCGGGTGGGAGCTGGGGGCGGAGACGCGACACTATCCCGGTCTCCCAAGGCTCGGCGAACTTGGCGACAAGGCCCTAGGGGCGCGAGAGGCACCGGTATCCGTCCGGCCAAGACCGAGGACGGAGCCAAGGGCGTCGCTCGGTCGAATCACCGGAGCGGGATGACGCGAGTACCCCCACCGTGCGGTGTCCGGGTCTGACATACAGATTCGCAAGGGGAAAAATGCTGTTGGTTTGTGGTTCGGCTGACCGTATTGTTGTGAGACCTTGACGTGGGGTCATGGTTGAACGGGGCGCAAATGAGAAGTTTGGAGAAGATGTCATGCGGAGAAGGAAATATCACTCAATCACTGATATTTTCGACATTGAAAGCTGCCGTTCATCTGTCAATGTCGGGAACTTCTACGCAAGGCTCCGTTAGACCCTTACAATCCGCCTACCGAATTCTTTAAACAGTTGTCGTTGAGGCTCGGACCCGTGAGTGCCCTGAATTTCTTGATCCAGAGCGAAGAGCCTTGACCATTGCATTCATGAGGCATGGTATGATGGAGACTGGAAGCCCACTCCGCTCGACGTGGCTCTAGAGTTCTTCACGCTTGTGTCAACCTGTCAAGCAGGCATCGCTGCAGTGCGTCAGTCTTAGCTTCGGTGCATTTCTGCAAAACCCCACCGCAAGTGTCCTATGCTGACATTCGCAGTCTCTTAACCATGGGTAAGTCAAGTAAATCACATTTGCGGCTTGGATACTCAGGATTCGGAACACGTGGGGTGATGGGACCCTTCGACTTGTAGTGGACCTCGACTCCAATATTGCTTCTCGGAATCTCTCTGACTTGGCGTTTGCTAAGCAAGTCAAGGTTTGCTGCTTGTACAACGTCAGACCATTGGCCCACTTCATAGACGCGAATTCTCGAGGTCTTTTGATTAGGATAGTTCATACGCGGGTTTGCAAGCAAGTTTCAATGAAGAACCAATCACGTGGCGTGCGCCGCGGCATTCGGACACACGAGGGGAGAAGGCTTGCGGATCTAAGTACGCTCGCCATCGTCTTATTAGATAGGAGAGAAGAGAAGCTGTTCCCTTAGATGAAATATCACAACATGAGCTGGGAATTTTTGACTGTGGCAACTTCCAACGCAAGGAGTCTCAGGAACAATTTGAAATACAATATCTATGTATACATTTACAGGGCTGTAAGACTTGGATAGTGATGTAAGTTTGCTTTTAGGCATGGTCAATCAAAGACGGACCTGCCTCGATGGGAAAGGTCAAGATATTGTGAGGTCCATCGGCCATTAGTCCGTTCGCTCCGGGCCGCATCTGCGAGGCGGGAAGCCAAAGGGTCTTATTCGCATCGACCCACATCAGATCGGTCCAGACCAGAGCATCATCCTGAACAAGGATGGACGAACTTCCGTCCGGCTTGACCTTCCAGATAGCGAGGAGGTTGGTGTCACTGACATAGATGTTTCCATCTCCGTCAATGGTGGTGCCCCCAGTGGAAGGGGTAAGGGCGAAGGGCTCAACGTAGTTTCCCAGGTTGGCAGCAAGAGTGCTGTTTGTCAAGGCTCCGTTGACGTATTCGGTCTTGACGCGGTACATGCCACCGTTGCAAGGCTGATAGTACAGATAGACACCATCAGGGGACACCTCAATCTGATCGAGGCCGACGGAGAGAGTGCTGGTGCCGCCCTGGTACCCCGGCACAAGACTACCGTTGTAGGCCATGGGGAACCAGGCCAGAGCCGAGCTGTGACCTACGAGTACACGCTGACCTTGGCCAGTGGTAAGATCCATCACTACCAATGCACCAATTGTGTCGCTGAGATAGGCGTAGTTTCCATTGAATCGGACATCGTCGATGACGCTACCGGTTTCCGTAAGGTTATCGAGATAGTATGCCTTGTCGACATTGTTGGTCTCGAGGTTGACGCCAACGAGCTTGCTAGATCCATTGACAAGATTGCGATCACTATCGGTGGTACCACCGTCGACGATCCAGAATCGTCCATCGGGGCCGATACGAGCACCATCGATGCTGACAAAGGCCTTCTTGGGGTCCAGGGTGGAGTTCGAGGTCCAGGAGTTCCACTGCGTGTCGGGGTAGAGAACAGTTGTGCCGTTGCTAAGAAGCTCCACAGCTTGAGGCGCATCCGTCGTAGAATATCTCTGCGTCAAGAACTTCCGTCCATCAGTCGAGATACTGATGCCTTGAGTTGCGCGGTCCAAGGTAATGGCGATTTTAAGACCGGGTGCAAGAGCTGTAACGAGCGGCGCTGTTGACGCCAAAGTGGCCAGAGTAAGAGAACTAATCCTCATGACGAATTCTTTGTATATAGAATAGAAAGATATTTTGGAGTGGTTCAGAATAGCAGGCTACCTAGGTAAAGTTCCATGGTGTCCAAAGACAACCTTATATACACATCGTCGTAACAAGCTGGTGTACTCGTAGATGACGCGTTGGATATATCTCCAGCCCCATCCCCCTTTTTCATGGCCTGTCGTTAGTGTTCAGCACTGAGCTATTATTGAGCTGATTATCAATCAGGTCTTTCGCGTACAAGTAGGTTAGGGCAAAATCTGTAGTCTGGATCAATCAAGATGTTAATTTGTAGCCATAACATGAGGCGACGCGGAACAGCCCGCGATGCTCGGATGAGCCCCACGTTCGCGGTGCGGAGCCACTCGGGCCTCTAGCCGTACGTTTACCGGGCGCATGAATAAGGGGATCAGCAGAGCTAACCAATTCATGGAGTTTCGTTACGCCGTAGTACTGTAGGGCCAGTTCTCCTTCCTTTTCTAAATGCTAGCTTCTAGATGGGAGGGGTCAACAGCCGAGGCGTTCGGCCGAGGGCAGAAATCAAGCTGCATACATGTAACAAGAGATTGCGCTGTCGTAGTCTTCCTTTCACAGCGCGATTCCACCCATGCCTTGCTCATTCTTTCCGGAGGAGCCGTAATCATCATAAAGAGGCAAGAATATGCGACTATTATCGCGCGTTCTTTGGCGTAGCTAGGTAGGAGAAGACGGAGAGGTCTCGGTTAGCTTTAGGTCATGATTTCTCAACAACGTAAGTATGAACAGAAAAGAGAGGTTACTGTACTCGGCCGAAACACCTACTGTGAGCCTCTAAAGTAGAGAAAATGAGCGCCGGGATCTTCGCCAGAGACATCGGCTTCTTCAACAGTAGACCAATCAAATTCATGTCACTACGCGCAATTCGAATATCACCACACTTTGCTAACATCACGAGACTGCTATTTGTTTTTCGTATTGTGGACGGAATTTGTCAACGAATTCGGTAGTTGCAATAGAGTTTTGAGTATACTGGAAGTAAGGACTGCGAATTTGCGATCGCAGGCAGGCCAGAAGTGATAGGTCGAATAGGAAATGTGAGTATTGACAACTCTCCTCTCTCTTTCTCTCTGAAGGTTTTTTCCTGCTATGACACTCAATTTCCTCACGACGAAAGCCAAACAATGCTATAGGAATACCAAAGTAACTGAGCGTAGTGTCTGGATATATTCTTGCAGTGCATGGAATTCATAAAATTCTTGAAGTTTGGTTGACCGCCTTAGCATGGTGCGTACCCAAATTGGACACTCCAATCATCATCGGTGTAAGCTTCACCAGAAGACCACCAGTATTGGACATCGACGTCGGTGCATTCGTGGTAGATCACTTGTACACCATCGGCAATCTCACTGAATGAACTAAGCTCCTTCTCTTCCAGAGCCTAAATCTCGTCAGTAAAAGCGATACTATCTTCATCACACAGAAGTGGGGAATAGATCTGGTGAGGAACCCACGTCATTGCACTCCCAAGTCGCGCTTTTCCAAGCACAGCTAACGCGGCCACACTCTCTCGGACCAGCAGAGTTCTTCGGTTTTCCTTGAACCTTTCTGAGATAATCCATGGTCGGCTCATATCTGTCGGTGTGACCCTCCTCCAAGGTCTGGCAATCGACCCTGGGAAACGTGGCACGCTTCTCCACGTCACTACGGGCAACATCCGAGATAGCTTCAAGGTCGAAGCCATTCATCTGGGCCATCTGAGGATTAAGACTCCCAAGAGCAGCATAGACCTCTTGGATCGTTCCCTTGATAGTGATGTTCTCCCCGTCTGGAGTCTGAAACTCCCATTCGGGAACGTACAGCCCGTAGCCCTTGGGGACATCCCCGGGAAGAATAGCCTAATCACTTAGCTCTCACTTCGAAAGACTCTTCTTGGGTCAAGCTTACAGCAATAGCCATGGTGGCTGCTGACCACAAGTAAAGAAGGCTGGCGCGCATGGTAGGCATTGCTGTCCAAGCTAGTTTCGGTCAAAGCTCGTATGTGGTGACTTGGATCTTGTGATGATATCAAAAGATTTCATAAGCAGAGAAGAGCTCTCGCTATTTATAACGCTCGAAAATCATGAAGCTGTAGATCACATCTTGACAATCAAAACTCGTATCTAGTATTGCTTGATTCCTTTGAAGGACGCAATCGCGGCAGCCCATGCAGGATTGCCTACTAGCTCCAACTGCTGCATGACTTCAATCCTACATTGAGACCATACTACTTAAAAGAGCAAAGCTAATCAGTCGATCGTCAAGGTGGGGTGGTCTCGTAATCTCAACTCTACTATACGAGAAGTTGAGCAAACCAAAAGACAATTAGCATACTGTGCGGCGCTGGTCGGGACTTGGTCTCGCAATGGGCATGATCAACACAAGGGTTTCCGCAATTTCTACTTTTTCCACGGCTTCAAGAAAAGAGAGTCTATGGATTTGATCCCCCAACGCTTCCCTACATATGCTGGGGGTGCATGGGCCCTGAAGGACTGCTCTCGTAGGCCCTCTCAGCAGCTATGATGCAGCCTCTTTGCAACCAAATCTTCAAAATCTCTATCGAGTAAAGTAGCCCAGGGGATCAGAATTATGATAAAAAGAATTGGAGTAGTAGAATTGCGCTGTCGAGAAGCATCGGAAAAGTCTAGCAGATTCAAATGTGCGGGCTCATGCGTCTAGAGCCGCCAACAATAGAACCCGTCAAGGTATTCTAATCTTCCTGCCGCTCGGGTGTCACAAATTCATTAATCAAGCTGCAGGATGTCGTAAGGAGCAAATAGACTGATTTGTTTGTTGATTTACCGATGCCAGCAAACGTTGATAGTCACAGTGAAGAGCACGGTGGCGTGCACTTCAAGTAGGTCGAGACAAGCGTCATGTTACACCTATCATCTGCCATGATTCCCGCGGAATTTCAGGCGTAGAAAGCATCTACAAGCCAACTCTCACGTCGTCCTGATGAACTTGAAGAGATTGAAGCAAGGTTGAGAGCTGTTTGCTATCTTGTGGCTGAAACATTCGTACCCCACATGAGGAAGCATGCGTTTGGTCCAAATATGATGGCTGCAAGCTGGACTGAAATACTGCAAGTGGTGACAAACGGAGTTTCAACTGCAGCCTGGTGATGGCGGCTCCAATTTCTAAATTTTGTTATACAATTACATAAGCGGGCTGTGCTTTTTTTTAATCAGCATCTATATACCCATCTGAACCTATTTTCAAGGGTTGAAAGTGAACTTTTCAGTGACACTTACGTAGCTATTCACTCTTGGGCTGTGTGTTTCTGTTTTTGCTTTTCTAACGGTACTTAGCCATGTTGGATAGGTATGACTCGGCTCGCCGTATACGATAAAGAATGTCAAATTGAGCAAGTCCCCTTCTGTTGGTCCTGTTCTGAAGCTTCATACGTCATAGAGCCTGCTTCTGCGAGCAGGTTTATTGACGCATCAATGTATGGAACCCGGCTATGTTTGCTCGACTTGAATTGAAGAACTTTTTGTCGATAAGCTTTCAATGGTTTTCAAAAGACCTTGGTCACGCTGTTGTCCGAATACATGCATGCTGTGGGCATGATGCCATTCAAGCTTTGGCGTACCTTAGCTGGTCATCAAAGTACATACAAGTTCACAGCATCGCATTCCAACCCTGTGACATTCTGAGATAGCCGTTCGAGTTCTGTGTGTATCAAAAGGATACCGCAGATACTGGGTCGAAGATTCTGCGTAGTTTCCCGGTGTACTCTACGATGACTTAACTTAAAAAAGAAACGTGTAGGCAAGTTTACACTGTTGAGAGATAACCGCGTACAAATTTTTTTTCAAGGACTGTGCCTCCTGAAGTAAACAGGGCCTGACATAAACTGCCCGGAAAACAAAACTCTGTTGTTATCAAAACACGCTAACTTAACCAGTAACGACATGAAACCTTGACTATAGGCAAGTAGGCAGCTTATATTTGCTTAAATTGTCTCTTGCCGCTCGCTTGGCTAATGGTAACCTAGGATGACAATTCAACAGGACGACTATCTCCCTCGACTTCGGCAGCTCTGCTATGCGATGAGAGCTCTACCGGAGATGGCCTTATTGCGTACATCTCTTGGGCCTCTCGATCATGATTTGGAGACTCCGTTTTCGAGTCATAGTTCTGCCTTACGAGAGATTGCCCTCCGCTCCCAGCGGCAGTCTCTCTTTGTAGCAGCCGAGCTCCCCGTTTTTGCTTTCTCTTCTTAAGACACATGAACCAGCTACAACCAATAATAGCCATAAACAAAACCACAACTCCAACTACAATACCAGCAATTGCTCCTCCAGATAATCCTGTCTCTCTGGCGCCTTCAAGCTGACGAGATGGAAGTTTGCCGTAAAGTGGGAACACAGGATGATTGATAATAATTGGCCCCCCACTGGGGAGATTCGAAAGGAAGACTTTCTTCCAAGATGTTGTGATAGTACTCTCACTTTCTCTCGTAGTTACAACGTTGTTGATCCACACTTCAGTCGGAGTACTCAGGAGGCTTGTACATTCCCGGTGAGGGATGCCACCATTCGAAGCACTGAGACAGCCCCAGCCAGAGGGACAGCACCAAGTCTGTGCATGAGTGTTTCCACTCGTCTCTGTGACATACGTGGAACACGCAGTTGTCCACCCGCTGATGCACGCAGTGCCTGGGTAAGCCAAACTTGGGATATCACCTTGATTCGGAAATTGTTAGTAAGTATACGCTTGTGAAGGCTAACCCTTTGACATGTGGTAGTGTATGTGACATGATTCAAGGGGAGCCTACTAAACTCGTCGAACGGTCTCCAGATATTTATGTAACTCTCGGGAAGACATTGTGTTGGCACCGATGTCGTTGTTTCCCCTACGAATTGTAGACCATAACAGGTGAAGCCAGATGTTATATCTTCACTTTTGGCTTCCACGCACCGGATAGCTCGAGGTAGTATGAAACAGGTACTAACTTTCGGTGTGAAGGGTGTTGTTTGCGGCTGCAAGGTATACACGGTGGAGAGCTGATAACCGCCTGTGGAGTAGAAATGGGTTTCCACTAAGGGAGTGTAAAGGGTGGACGTGACTGTCATGTCTATCTTGGAAGTTTGAATCTTTCAATCAAATGTAACACGATTTCATAGTCAATTCCACGTGACACCAAAAAAATTGAAAATCAAACGTTAACTATACTTGTGACCGGGTCTCGGGGTTATGTGGGTTTATGAGTTCGGTTCTTCAGAAGTCAGCGATCCGGATGTTACACCACATGGAGATCCGCGGAGAAGGAATTACACGTTATCACCTACATCTGATTGGCAATGTGCTCGTATCAAGATGTTTGGGACGAAAATGAGGTTATCTAGTTGCATGAGGCGGTGTCAGGTAACACCGCACGATCATCACGGGGACCCACCCGTAGGAATGCAATAGTATCTCAGGGAATGAGCAAAATAGTCGGACTTATTCTTGACTAGACTACGTAGGTGTGTGAGCTGGGTTTCGTTCTGGTCCAGATGCTTCGAAATTTCCGGGTCAAATTGCAAATCAACCAGATGCTAAGATATCCACGTAGCGCCAATATACTATGCCTTGTACCGAAAGCTTCGCCCAGTAAGTCTCTTGGTTCCAGCTGTCGCAGACGGATGCAATCTCTCCTCCCTTTCAAGCCTTCTATTATGCATCTCGATGTAGAGCCAAGTTGCCGAAAGAATGGCAAATGCAATAACAACTAGGATCATGCTGATTATCATTCCGTTCTTGTAATACGGGCCGTCGCTTGTCTTAAAGATCCAGGCTGAGATGTAGCCTGATGTGTTCCCAACTCCAACAACAAAGCCGCTCCCAATGGCTCTCTGGAAAGGCGTCTGCAAGTTTTGCATAGTCAATATCCAGATCATGGGAAGAGTGATGAAAGTGCCGAAGGCGATGAAGTACAGCGCCATCATGGTTACATTTGTGCTTTCGTGCTCGTCTTGTCTCAAGATCGCGTAGCCAATGATGGTGAAAATAAAGCCGCCGAGGCCGAAGGCTGCGCGGTGGTTGAGTCGGTCAGCGGCGTAAGCAGTTGTAAGACATGCCACAGCAGCCACCACGAAGATGGGAACAATTTGCGCCTGCACATCTGCAGCGCTGAGTTCCGGGTGAAAGGATTTGACGAAGGACGGGGAAAAGATGGAGACCGAGTAAGCGGTTGTGGTCGTGAAGCAATAGAGGGCAGCCCAGCAGTAATTCAGTGGATTTGTGAAAAACATTTTCCACTCGGCTACAACACCAATCTCTGTGCTGCGTATCTCGACCAAGTTCTTGATAAGTCTCTTCTCTTCTTCCGTCAAGAACTTGGCCTTCTCCGGAGGTCCAACATTAGCAGGAAGGCAGGCCAGAGAAGCTACCACAGTGAAGATGCCTTCAATGATGAAGATCCTGCGAGATGTCAGAGCCGTTTCGAAACATGATCTGATAATTGATATCGTACCATCTCCACCCTTTGAAATTCTCAGTGGTTTGGATATTGGCAATCGCGTATGCAAGGAAGTTACCGGCGATATTTGAACAGATATTGGCGACGGTGATCAGTCCAAGCCTCCATTGAAGATGCCTTGGAGGGTAGTAAAGAGAACATAGGAAAACACAGCCAGGAATGAGACCTGCATCAAAGACACCAACGAAAAATCTCGTGGCTATCATCTGATCGAATGTCTTGACGAAGCCTTGGCCTATTGTGATTATACCTATACTATTCATTAGCACATCCATCTACACGACCCGGCCGCGGCAGCAGAATCTTCTAAGGACAATGCTACCCTACCCCAGCGTCACCCACGACTCAGTGACAAACGCAGACTTACCCAGTAATATGTCAAGAACACACATGTACCACAAGTATGGGAAGTTGAATTTGCGGTTCAAGAACCGCATAAGCAGATTACTTGGCACTTCAAAAAGAACCAACGGCGCCGCTGGCATTGTGAGAACGATGAACACCTTCATCGCATCGAGATGAAGATCCTGTGGAAGTTGCCGGATCAGTGCGGCTCCGATATTCGTGCGGCCCATTAACGACAAGAAGTTCAGAAAGAACATGGCAATCATTAGACGCATATCGAGTTTATAGAGGAGCTTCTTGTCGAAGGTTTTGGCGCCGGCAGATGATCCGTACGAATCGCTTTGGACCGACTCGCTTCTTGAGACAACTGGTTGCTGGTCTACCACCCCCGCGACCTTGATCTCGTCATCAAACTTCTCGATCATTCTGGAGTTCCTCTTCGGGTGATCGGGCTCCAGCTCAAGAGGGTCTGACATTGTCGTGCCGGAGATTTCGATGCAAACTGGAGAGGAGGTTTATGTCGCATGGGTGTGTTGATGGAGCAATACCTCGAGGGGCAAAAGAACAGCAGGACGTGCCCATATGCAGTACCAAAGGGATCTGGTCAAGCGAACGCTTTGAAAGCCGCCCACCATTTTTATTCGGCAAATAAACCCCCGTTTCGGCCGACAGACTTTGCGCATATCTTGCCATGTCCGTCCGCGAGTTCCTCGTCTACGGAAGACTATCTTGCAGCGGAGGGATCATGCCGAGCACAGACTGGTGCTGATGAGCGGGAGCCAGATGTCAGACGTCTCGAGGGGTAGGTAATTGTTAGACTCTGGTAGCCGGAAGTCCCTCAAGTTCGTCCGTGCTCGAGTGTAAATGCCAAACGCGAGAACGAAACTAAGTTCCCGCATCCTTTTGAGTCGGGGAGATCGCGATGTTCCCGATGGGATGAGCTAAATTTTTATCCCCTCACTTGAGTGATGAGTGAAAAGACGATCTAGTTAGTTTCTAGAAGTTGACGAGTGCACTTGATCTCTATATGTCAATCAAAGTCTGTCGATTGAAGACCAACTTGCCTCTTCAAGGTGATTATGAGGTCGGCCTCAAGTCATACATTCGCTCGATTTTCGGCCTTGGCTCTCGGCGCTCAGTCATCATGGCGGCCTCCCAAGGCTGTCCTGCGGGCAAGGTGGGCCCAAGGTTCGTTGACTTTGGAAACTTCGGATCATTATACAAAGCATGTTCCTCGCCAATTGAGAATCCTGCCATCCTATATGTGGTTTAATCCGACTCGGGTCAGCCTCCTGTTAGATAGACCTTGATAATTTAATTTTGAGGATGCCCTACATAAACGTTCATTCGACATTTGCAGAGGATGTTGTTACTATTTCAGGTACTAGAAAAGAATGCTATCATCGAGTCTTCCATCGTATACCTCCTCAGATACCTTAGCTGAACAAACCGTGACTCAGCCTAGATGCACCTCCCTACTACTGAGATCTCTGCAGGCGCAGTCACAACACCCAGTCAGAATGACCGCCACTCAAACTCATCGTGAGACAGTCTCATAGCCCGCGTTCGGCAATGAGATCCCTGACGTACTTGATCAGCAATGGACCGACTTGCCGGGCTATGACCTGGTCTCCCTGGTCGTTGGGGTGTACGCCGTCTCGCAACATGGAGGTTGTGAACCCGGCAGAACTCGAGCAGTCTGCAATTTTGATTGGAGAGTTGGTCGAGTTCTGTTCAATGGCCCAACCCGGGATTCGCTGGTTCAAGGTATCGATTCCACCACCGTTGAAGGACAACGGGATCAAGCGATCAACCTGCGAGGTATACTCATGTCAACAGACGCACATATTGAAAGATGCTGCAACAGTACAAACCAAGATCTTCATCCGCGGGTTGGATGCTCTCATCAACCCTGTCATCTTCGTGTACGAAGCGATAATGTCGTTGGTTGTTCGCCCTTGCGCTACATCGTTGGTGCCAAGCATGAACTGCACAATATCAGGCTTAGTGCTTGCCAGCCATCCTTGTAGGTACTGGTTGGCGATGTTGATGGAGAGCCAACCCGAGTGGCCCTCATGATGAAGGTCAAAAGAGCCTGACTCTGCTCGGCAATTTTGGGGGTTGTTGGTCATGGAGCCAACGAATTGCACCTTATCGGCAAGATTTTCCTTGACAAGTTCGTCCCATACTAAGGCTCTCCAGCAAGTTATTTCCGTGATGGAGTCACCCAAAGGCACTCCGAGACTGTTAGCTAGCTGTCTTCAGGCCTGTCGTTCAAGGGCTTGGACTGACTGATCTTGATCTTGGACTGCGCAAAAACAGTTGCGAATAGACCTAAAGCAAGAAAAACGCTGGAAAGCTGCATGGTTATAAACCGATAGATCACTTGCTTCTCTGAAATTGGCTCTGAGAAAAACAGAAGAGGCTTGCAGGCAGCCAGCCCAGAGACTCTCAGTGATAGGAAACGATATCATGGCTTTTTAAAGACGCTGTCAGTGAGTCTGGCAATTCCATACCCCTCATACAGAGCGCTTGCCATTGGCATATTTGGTAAAGAGATCCATCCATTCATCCGAAACGAAATGAAGGCGTGATAATATGACGGGAGTCATATTGACGGACGGAATGAAGAGATGAGTCTTGACTCCGAGTTTCTCGGCAGCGCGCCGATGGTTAAATCCATTTTGAAGTTGAGAGAATCCACATTGCTACATCATCAGGTCTTTCGTATTGGAGCAATGTGACCTTCTGAATAGCCGGAAATTTTGGCAAAGTGTCGAGTGGATTATCCAAATGATGTTGAATGGAGGGGTAAGTCTTTGATCTTTTGAATGAACCAGCTTTACCGAAAATTGGAGGCTCTCAAAGCCATTGAGCTTGGCGGTGTGGGTAGATAGAAAATGCCACAGTCGTGCAGCAAGATGCATGTAGAACAAAGAATATGTGGTCACTGTGGCGCGGATAGTCCACTGCATTTCTCTCCTGAAATTCGACAGGCAACGACAGGCTGACAGACGACGCGGCCCTGACAGCTCAAGTATGTTCCTGCTTCATGCCTCATGCTTCATGCCCGTCATGTCATGGGTTCACTATTCGTGCGAAGCAGTGGATTCTGGGGCCAAAAGCTGCATCAACCCGAGAGGTATCCGCCGACAACCGGAGCTGCGCACCAACATCATGGCTCTAAGCAGGAGTTCGCGGTTATCTGACACAGAGGTTCTTCGGCGAGTGATCGATTGAATAATCATTCTGACTACTAGCTCATATATTGGAATCGGGCAAGTTGAAAGGTAGACAATTAGTCAATGGGACTTGAATCACTTCTTGGCGATTTCTAGTTCACCGCTTGATGTCTGCCTGCCTAGCGAGGCCTTGCCCTCCGGGCTAGGCGCGGACGAGCACAGTACGGTTACGAAACCATTGCGATGACGTTCCCAAGAAGCCGCCAACGGCCCCGCGCCTGTTCGTCCTCATGTGCGTCTAGTCCAGGTACCATATGCCTTTGCAGGGAACACCTAGCACGTGTGAGCTTGATGATGCAAGGGAGTTTATTCGACGCCCGCCTGACCGCGAATCCATCAAAGGCGCGGGCCGCGGGCGAGGACGGGAGCTGCGGATATTGCGGGAGCTCGCACCTCGGCAGACAAAATCCAGCACCGATCTACCGCAGTAGTTGGAGGAGTTGAAAGAGCACATCCTACTTCAGCTTAGTGAGAATCGAAAAATACCGCAGTTGGACTGGATCTGGTGATATACCATGCTCAGATGCGATGTTGGTCCGAGTTGTTTGGCAAGTCAAATACGGCGGCACCCTCGTTCGTATTGAATCTTGGGCTTGATTGCTATTCGTTGATTCACCGCTGTTCACCGCTCACCTTCTCTAACAGGTGTTTGCTTCAAGACCCGAGAATCCGGGAACAAACATTTGTGCAGGAACCTGGGCTATGCTCATTAAACATGCGACTTCGCTGTATGGCACCTGGGATTAAAACAGGTCACAAGGCGTCGCGTGCGGCGTGGGATTCCTACTAATGCGAACTGGACATGGATTATGGTCAGGAGCCGCTCATTTTGCGGGGCTTGGACTGTCACTGAGGTTTACAACGGGCCCAGACTGCTGTGCAACCAACATGAAGGTCTCTTGGTCTGAGCCCCGCTAGTCCAAAGCTCCAGTGCGAGGACGCGGGGCTACAAGTCGACGATCCTCGCCATAGTCAGCCTCGCATGGTGAACAAGACCTTTCATCTTTGTACCCTGGTCTGAAACGAGGCGAAGTAACTAGTTCTTGTGTCTTTCTCCAGCTTTCCAGATGTCGTTATTCAGATGAAGGTGGGCGGTCCTCTCGCGAAGGCACTTTGCCGTCTCGCTGCGGGTGACCCATGTCTGTTGGATACCTGCCGATTGACCGAGTAACCGCCTGGGAGCTCGGACACAAAGAGACTGTTCTGTTCACTACCGCTGATGACATGATGAATCTGTCTACCTGTGGAGAGCGCTATCAAAATGGCCATGCCTGGTGTGGCTCGTTCTGGCCCAAAGGCCCCAAACATTACCTTCACTGTTCGAACTCCAGGACGCCGTGGGACCGCCGATGGACGATGCTCCAGGCACGAGGAGGTAAGACTTTGTTTCTTTCATCCTCATCCATATTGGTGACAGGAGTTCCGTACATTGACAAAAAAGTCCCAAGAGCCTACCCTCCATCATCTCATACCCCCGGACTCGGCCCCGGGGGGGACCTACACTGCTGTTGGTTGCGCTGTTGACTGTGATAGTTGACTACCAACAAAGAGGTGGACCTAGCCCCCGAGTGCCAGACTGCAAGACTCACACGATGGGCCCGGAAGAAGAAGCAATAAGCGCTTTACTTAGACGATGGATAGCGCGCTTGCCGCGCCATCCTGGTATGGCAGGTCGTCATTGATAATCACTCAAGTGTTGCGACATTGCCATCCCAACTTGATCGACCCTTGTCGAATAGTTATGGAGCCCGGTTGGAAGCTCTTTGAGAAGCCATCGCAGCTGTTCAGTGAACAATTCCTTGACCCGACGCCATCCTGCCAGCCACGGTGAGCAAGACAAAAGGGAGGTTGACCCCAGGTTATGTTCGCGGTCAATCGTCAATCATTAACCACTTGACGAACTTCTGCCCTGTTCTTTATCGTGTCATCAAATATCCAGTCACCATGTTCAGCGAGTACAACCAGTTCGTGTTGAGGAACACCGCCCAGATGCCTATTACCCGCTTCACCATGCCCCGCGTTCCCAAGATGATTGAAGCCATCTGCCCTGGCTGCTCCAAAGGGTTCACCAAGATAGGCAGCATGCACCGCGTGAGTCAACAGCCATGTTTTCCCTCTCATCTCTTCAAGACAAAACTTCAAGAACACTAGACTAATAAAGTTGCCATTCTTCAGCACGTATATGAAGACCGATGTCCCCACCCGATACCGCAATTTGTCGCCAAAGTCAAAGCTGAGCACAGAGCGCGGGTTGCCGCTGCTGCTGCCCGGTCCAAGGCTCGCAAGGCAGCCCGTGCTTCACGGGCTGACCCGCTTCCCGCCGCCCCGACCCCGGCCGTGAGGGATCACCCTAGCCGGGCAAGGGAAGCCAGCATGGGCCGAAGTCCGGGCTTTTTGCAGGATGATTGCGCCTCGCACGTTGCTCAGCAGAGGGATCTGGGGATGGTATGTTTGCTGTGAAAGATCCACTCTGGGGCAGGTCAGGACTGACATTGAGAAGCTGTCACAGCAACAACAGAACGACTTCTGTCCTATCATCAAGACTGAACCGGACTTTTCTGCTTTTAACTTCCCGAGTCTCATTGCTAGCTGGGATTTGCACGATGTGGGCATCAACATCAAAACCGAGTCTCAGTGGTCTTGAATGTACGTGTAAAGTTGAAGAAGGGGTTGGAGCCGTAGGGGTTTAGTATGTTTTGATCTTGTTTTTATTCTGTTTCTTGTAATTATTATTGTCGCTCTTGAAGGATCACGAGAGCCAGATTACCTTGTATTCACTCACATAGGACCTCTACTCAGATTATGAGACGGTATCTATCACACCAATCTTATTATATGTTGTACCACCGATCCACTCCCACTCGACAATCTCAACCTTGGTAGCGTTGCGCTGGACGAGACCATATACTCTCCCAGCTGAGTTGGCAGCAATCTTGAAGGGCCTGTCCTCGCCGGACATGGTGGAAATTTCCCCCACGTTTGTCCACTCTCCTTCAGCGTACGTTGTCAGTACAGGCGCTTTGTCCGCCTGTGCCCCTAGTACGTGCATGACCAGGTTGTTGCTGCTTTCGTATCCGCTCGAGAAGGCCGCGATTGTCGCATTTGTTTCGAGCGTCGTTGGTAAGGTGTTGTTGGTCCAGTCATTGTCGTTGACGAGGGTGAGGTGGATAAGTGAGCCAGTCTCAGAGGTATAGAACATGGCCATCCTCTTTGTGGTCGCGTTGGTATAAATGGGAATCATAGACATCCCGGTGCCCTCTGCAGGCTTGCCAAAGTCGGTCGAGATCCCCACTGCAGCCCAATCAGTCGCTCCGTCGCCCGTTCGGCGAAGAACGCGGATGGTGTTTCCGGCGTCCTGATATAAAACCAGGTTCGATAGGTATGAGTCGGGGGTATATATGCCGTTGGACAGCAGATTTGACTTCGCGTTCGCAGTAAAGGTGTTTGAGACGCCGGATTTATCCCAAGTTGAGCCGTAAACGGGGTTGGCGTTGATGATGCCCGCGACCTGGTTCGCGTCATTGAGGTAATAGATACGAACATCGCGGATCTTGTGAGTAGGATTAGCAATAATTACGCAGATTCAAGTAGCCGATAAAATGATGGCAGCTCACCTTATCGCTATGCCAAAACAAACTGTTGGAGATGGGGGTGCCCTCCTTAATCGTGCTCTCCCTGTTGGCAATTGTCGAGCTCCACACTTTTGTTGACGAGTTATAGGACGACATCATGAGGTTCTTAGACCGCAGCTGGTAAAACACGAGGTGGTTCACGTAGCCATAGTAGTCGGTGAAGTTGAGCGCGCCTATGCTGGTGGTGGGCAGGATATCCAGCTCATTCGTTGTCGTTGTGTTGTTCGAATCGCCGCTGCTATCACCACTGCTGTCGCCGCTTCCACTCCCACTGCCGCTGCCCGAGCCGGTACCACTGCTGCCGCTTCCGCTGTCACTTGATCCTCCGGAGCTGCTGCTTGATTGTTGCGAGCTGTTGCTTGCCGACAATGCGCCACCGACGCCTCCTCCTACCGCAGCGCCAATGACAATAATGAGCGCCACGGCTAGCACAATCCAAAACGTCTTGCGTCGCATGCCGCATATTGTGACCGCCCTCTTCTTCTGCTGCTTCTCGTCGATCTCTGCTGTCACGACTTCTGGCGGGTTGTCTTCTTTCGGAGCGTAGTACCCGCTTGAGTCATATGAACCGTTTTGGTACTCGACTGGTGACGCGCCGCCCTCCGCCGGGTGAACGGCCTGAAGCATCGAGTAATCGTGGCCGTACGGGTGCACGGCTTGTGGAAGATCGCCGTCGTGACTGTGGACTTCGGGCAAGTTATTCTGGTCCGCGACGCGGAACTTGCTCAAGTCTTGATCGCCATATCCCCCCGGCGATCGGCCCGGTCGGCTGTCGACCTCAAGACCGCTGTAGTACTCCGGCGGAGACGCGTTGTTGTTCGGAGTTGTCATGATTCCGCGCTCATTGCTCAATCGCGAAGCAAAACAGGACCAAAGCCATCTCCAGCATTCAAAGGGGCGGAAAGATGAACGATTTAAAGCATCGTAGCCCAGACCCAGGAACCCGGAGGGGAAATCCACAACTCTATGGTCCTATGGAGCCCCATATTGACAGGCCGCAACGTTGAGCGCCAGAGGTTGTGGATTCTCGTCGGGACTTTGGCTCTTCTCGAGGAATTCATGGCGGTTGACTGGCGCCAAGAGGCAGTAAGGGGTCTGAAGGATTGGAATCCCTGCCCACGATGGAGCCCTTCAAGGCAGCTCTTTTCTTAATAGGGATAAGCGCTGACGGGGACTCCATTTCCGATGGAGCGGGATCCCGCGAATGGCTTCCGCTTAGGTGCCCGCTAGCTTCGGTTGTGGGATTACCATAATCAAAAAAGAGGGCCGTTAGGTGGTCTTCGTGGGGTCGCAAGTTCTCAACGGCGGGCCAAAGGGGCTGGACTCTGGTGATGATTCCTTCTTCCCGGAAACAGATCCATGCCATCGCGTGGTTCTGGTCCTTTGAGGATCCTTCGAGGCTTCATTGGGCTCGAATTGGCGAAAGCTGAAGATGGGACGGCGGCTGGCAGTCGCCGGTGTGGCAAGGCCCGGAATCTTGGAGGATCAAACCCATACACAACCTGACAACACAGCCAAGATCGATATTGTTGAGTTGAAACTCGGGTGCCTGAAAAGCCAAGATGAGCGAAATGATAAGCGTCAAAACGGTGAATCTCAGCCTCAAAGGAGCGGCTGCCTTGACCGGAAAACGTGCGTTCGTAAATCGAGTCTTTGATGTCCGCACATGAGATGGATACACACGATTGAAGAGAACCGAATTTGGCATCATAACTCCTCATCTGGGTGCTTGTAAGATAGCGCTGCGTTGGATCACATGTCACAGTGCAGTTGTCCAACTCGCAGCTTACAAGCGAAGACGTTATTTCCGAACCCCGTCGTTTCCGCAACACAAGCAGTGCCAAGTCCCTTTAAATTTATGGAAATTTATGGACGATGATTTCTGTACATCAAGAACATTGACCTCGTTGCGCTCGCGTCCCCCTAAATGTGTGGTGGCGAGACATTGTTTGATTTATCGGTTCTAAACTAGCATGTAAACAACGGTCATGTGCTTCTGCAAGTACTAACTTTAGCTTGGGTACGACACTTTCCGTAGTTGGTGTGTGAGGCCTCAAAAGCCACTCTAAATAGCGATCGAAGAACCTCTCAGTAATAGGGAATACCGATCAGCCACGGAAAGTGCTAATATTGCAGTTGTTCAACCTCGACTACTCTATGTCGTCCGTTCGTTCTAATCTTTGGCCATTACATCCCTTTATCCGACTCCTCGTATGCATTTTATTCCATCAACTGCGGAATGGCGACAGTACATGCGCTCTCCAGTTTTCTCTATATCTGCGTCTATACAAATCTTTTTGTTGAGGGAAACAAGGGAAATAGGGTCGGATTAACGCATGATTAACTACTGCCCCTCATAGGAATATGTACCGTCACTATTCCGCAGTTGATGGGATATTGGTACATCCGACAATTCATGTGTCATGGGAAAAGCCACAGCGGGCTGATCTCGCATTCTTGTCTATGATCTCTCTGTGCCGCATTGATACACGCAACAATATCTCCGAAGTGGAATGTCTTGCCCACAATGCCGGGACCGTAATGAGCATATTTGGCTGAGTTTGTCATAACGTTTCTTGCTTTCAGAGGAGCCACCGGCTCTTCTATCATGCACCAACACGTATCCGTTATAAGTCGGGCACCGAAGCTCTCGATAACGTCTAGATAGCCAAGGTTCAGGGCCTCTTTGTATGTATCACGGCCGGTGGTGATCATGACTTCGACATTGGGTGCCTTGTTCCTGCCGCGGCACACCTCGGCAAGTTGTGAGAATTCTTCTAGGGAAAAATGCGGATTTCCTAGAGAGATGATATCGACTGAAGGATCCTTAGCCGTATTGAGCTGTCTCCAAGCTGACTGCAATTCAGAAGTTGTCACCTCGATGGTCCCCAAACTAACGAGTGCATCTTCAAAACTTGCAGCCTCTGGCGTGATGCCGCTGATGTGAAACATTGGAGCAGATGAAGTTGTTGCGAACCCTGCCCCAAATGCCTTCAAATCTGAAATGCTTGGTTGGGTCGTCTCCATACCAAAGACGAAAGGAATCTTGGCGGCAACCACATGACCAATGCTGTAGCCAACGAGAGCGAAAAGCGACGGATCAAATGCGTCAAATTGGGGGACCTTGATTATGACTTCTGGTTTCCTCCCCTCTTGGACATGACACCCGGCATACGGAGCCCTTCCAGTCAACGCAATGAAAACGTCCATGTAATCAGGATACTTCTGTGTATGTGCTCCTAGCACACTATTCGCGAACACTACGGCATTGGATTCAGACCATCCGACTTGCTCTCCAGCTTTGGGCTTACTCTCGAGCAAGTACGGAGCGCACGTGAAGCTCAACTTGGCCCCCAGCTTGAGATAAGTCTCCCCAATCTTATCAGATATCTGAGAAATTTCGGGCTTGGCTCCCAATTCCTTCCACCTCTGGCGGTCGACATTCAGGGAGTTGCAGGTCGATGGTACGACAAACTTTCCTCCGAGGGAAAGCAGGCGCTCAGGAACGAGAAGACTGCTTTCGCCGACGTAGGCACAGGCGTCTACATGGACTTGGGAAACATCTATCAGGCGCTGTGCCCCTTGTATCGTGGCGTACTTTACGATGATTTCCATTGCTATACGAGAAGCTTCGCCACTCTCGCCAGACAAGATGGCTTTGTCGGTTGGACTCAACTCCAGCGCCTTTGTGCTTTGTGGCACCAACTCAATCTTGTGGCCGCCTGGTGAAACCAACAAGCTTGTTTCGTTGATTTGCACCGTCGAAGCTTGACGAAAGACTTCGAAATGTGATGCGTCTGAAAGAAAGACAATCGGGATGCGCCTGCCGAACATCTTCTCGGCCACCAAGACGCCCAAAGTAAGAATCATCTCCACGTCCCTGAAGATGAGAGCCGCGGGCGCATTGCCGGAGAGTATCAGCTCTGCAATTGCGCTGCTACCGGAACAAGATCCGCGACCAGCAGGGATGGCGAGAATAGAGTCTTTGAGAGATGTGCCACGGAGGGGGTGGTGGGCATCGGCGACGATACCGGTCTTTGAGTCGACGCCCATCATGAAGCTTAGCGGAACGTCTGAAAAGATGACCTGGCCCTGGGCTTTCCCCGGAACGACGGCAAGTGCCTGGCTTGGGTTTGACAACATTGATTCTGCAATGTGACAAGGAACATAGAATTATTTGCAAATGAAAAGGAAGTGTGAATCTGTGGGACAAACATGAAGATCTGCCGTTCTAAAGATTCAGATCATGCAGCTTCACAGAGTAAGAGTTAGTTAGGTGAGCCCGAAAACCCGTGCCGTCACTGTTTTCCAGGTTTTTACTTTCTTTGCCGATAAGCGGCTCGGACAGGTTTCCGCGGCCAGCATTCCGCGGCGACCCCTCACCGGATGTCCAGGAATGATGCCGGTCCGGGACCGCAACGGCCTCGTGCAAAGTAAAGCAGTGTCTCGGCCTCATTTTGCAAAGCAACACCTCTAAGAAATACTGGCACGACGGTCATTCGTCTAAGCCCAGATTTGTGGCGACCTTTGTCGGCAGTCATCTTTTTGCTGTCAGGGCCAGCGCCGCGTTTTATCTCGTCAGTCCTGCTCGACCGTATCAGAGCCTAGCACATAATGATTAATGGTGGTCATCCGCGAAAGAGTACATTCATAATAGATTAGAATGACAAAAGCTGAACATATCGCGATTCCCAAAGGACTCCGTAAATTGCTTCCATCCAATGCAATGTAAATGTTAGACACATTCGTCAAAGAAACCTGGAAAAGCCTGGATTCTCATATCCTCAGGCGGTTTTAAAAGCTGCGCATATCAGACTGACAACTCAACACTGCAACACTGATGCGCTTGAGCATCCATTCGTTGCCTCTGAGAAGAACGCGCAATTATAGTACACCAGAACATGTAAGTTCCACTGAAAACTGAGATTGCGCTGTTGAAAAACATTTGGTTCCTTTACTGTGCCACGTTGTTCGCGATATACGCCCACTCCACATCCTCCCAGCCTGGCCTCCGCCGAATCCTCGCCAACATGTTCTCCTGGACGCTCGTCAAGGGCTTTCCAACAGCCTCAGCCAAGTTGTTATTGATTTGCGGAACTTCAATTCTGTCACCAGCGGGAGTCTCAATCTCGAATCCTAGCAGCAACGCGGCCATCGCCCCCAATATTTCCGCGTCGGCAAAAAAGCGTCCGGGACAAAGGTGTTTACCGCCTCCGAAAGGATTAAAGGCGCGGTTTTGCGCCCGCTCTCTTTCTCTGTCCGCGGTCATGAACCGCCGCGGATTGAACTCGTGTGCGTTCTCGCCCCACGCGTCGGGGCCAAAGTTGGTGATGATGGCAGGGATTTGGATGTTTGCACCCTTCTTGAGGAGATAGGTCTTTGTGTCGCCGCCGTCTCCGGATGGTGTGTAGCTGATCAATGTGTCCTCCACGACACGACGTGTGCCCGTCGAACGATTGGTCAAGCGCATGACTTCTTTGTAGGTCGACACCAGCAAGGGGCATCCTGTACGAAATTTGGCAACGGTGAAGGTACACTTCCGAGACGGACGGCCCCCGGTAGTACCGCCGTCCTGCTGCTGTATCACGGCGAGGGCAAGAAGCTCCTTTTGCAGATCTGCAACAAGATTGGCATCGCGGAACACATAACACATCATCCAGAAGAGTGTTGGAATGGCGTTTGTGACGCTCACAAAGAGCATTCCAAACTCGTGGTCAGCGATGTCGTCAATGGGCAGGCCCCATTTTCGGTTGACCGCCACGCGCCGCTTAACGACACTGCTGGCATCGGTGATGTGATCATAGTCTTCGCGGAAGTATTTTCGAAGAGCCTTTTGCACCTTGGCACGGCCGTTGTATGCCTTGGATACTGTGATAGATGGTAGCGGTTTCATGAGTAACTCCGCTTGGCCACCATCATAGTCCCTTCATTTGACGTTGTAAGCAATCGGACTCTGGAATTCGCGAGCCGAAGAGGTACCACTTACCATAGGTTCTTGCTCAACGTCGGGTCCTTCATCAAAGAGTTCTTGTCGCCAAATAGGGAGCCTACTGTGGCCATAGTGAAGGAATCTCTGAACCACATGTACAGCTTCTTGGTTTCATACTCAGTTCCGATGGAGTTAATGGTCTTCGAAATTTTGTTCAGAACATAGGTGTTCATCTCTTGTAGATCGGGACCAGGAGCCAGAGGTGCGAAAGATGGATGTTGATCCTCAATCCATGAGATGGAGCCATCGGTTGGTGGATTGTGGAACAAGTCCATGACGTTTGGTCCTAGGCCGACCATCTTCTGCGCGAACTCCGCCATCACTGGATAAAGATTTAGAGATTTGTTTTTCATTGCAACCTGGATCAGCTGCGGTGCCGTGATGATGTAGATCTTCTCGGATCCACCCATCGAGATGGAAAAGATTGGAAGTTTCGCATTTTCAAGGCTGTTACGCTGTCATTAGTCTGAGTTCTGGCTTTTCTCGTCATGATGGAGCCCTGTTTTGTTCGTTAGACTCCAATGGCTTTGCTTTCAACGTACCCGAGTTGGCGATAGTATTTCTGCCTCGATCCTAATAACCCAATGATATGACCGACAAGCGGTATCTTGGGCTTCACTTCTCGTGGTTCTCTTGGATCTACAGACTTCGCCCGAGCCTGACTTCCGCCGATAAGGAAGACGATGCCCAGCAAAAAGAGCCATAATAAACCATTGCTGTCGCCAGCAAGCATAGTACCCGTCAAGTCGGATAAAGCCATGGTGATCCCGGCGTTGAGGTGAAACTTTCAGAGCATCGAGCAATGCGCAACAAGACGTGCCGTGATACTCTGCTGTGAAAGTGAAAGACGCGCTAATGACGATGATGCAACAGCCACAGGTAGAGTGGAGCAAGAGCCAGCTCGGGTTTGTAATGCTGGAAACCCCGATGGCCGGAATACGCGAATGTGACTCTGGCTTCTAAGTTTGAAAAAAGTCCACTTCAGGCTTGGTCCAGGCGGCAGCACGAGGTGGGTAGTATCTTCGGAACCATCTTCGGAGGGATTCAGTCAAGCAGCCACAGCCGCTGTCTCTTAGTTCGCGCGAAGGATGACACTACCGTCACTAAGGTACTGTGATGCACACCCATGATGCAGAATGATATCCATCGCCATCCTCCCATACTCCGTACTTTCCCGCCATTGCTTCCGTGTCTCTGAATTGTTGCCCCGTACGGTGGATGTGCAGATCGCGGACACGGTGGCCCAATTCGAGCACAGTGCGCTGTTTTAGCGCCTCAATCTAGATGCAGAATGACACGAACTTGCCCAGAGACAATGTTTGCTAGGGTCCAATAAACCAAAAAATACATGGATGGGCCTAGGGATTGAATCCATGGACCACGGCTTGATACAGCATACACCCTGTCCGTATGTTGTGCAAATATCAGCACTAGGGAGCATGTCTCGGTGACTCGGTCTGCTCACTGAGCATTGCCATCTATCATGTGCAAACCGTGATTGATGTGTCATCAGTGGTGAGAAGACCTTGAACCTCAGTTGAGACCAGCATTCTTTCTACTTTCATCTCTCTAGACTTCCAATTTGTAGACTCACTATGGTCCAATCAGAGAAGATCCCTTTCTCGGAAATCTTTCCATGGGCCACCTTCCGCCGACAGGCAAAGGCGGATCTTGCACCCCCTACGACAAGCTTCGCAGGAAAGACAGTCCTCCTCGTCGGCGCCACCGGCGCAATTCTCTCAGAAGCGGCACGCATCATCACCAGTCTCGATGTGTCGACTCTCATATTGGCGGTCCGGAATATTGCAAAGGGCGAATTGCTGGCTGGTGAACTGAGAAAAGCGATCGTAGATGGCTCTCCCCATCAGCCAATAATTACGGTGATGGAAGTAGACCTCTTGTCTTTTGATAGTGTCAAAGCTTTTGCGACCCAAATCAACGATTTTCAAAACCGAATCGATGCGGTGGTTATGGGTTCTGCCATCATGAATGATGAGACTAGATTGACGGCAGATGGGTGGGAAGAAAGTAAGTTTCCCTTGATAGATACAGCTTTTGAAACCGAAATAACCGCTGTCTATGCAAGCTCGATGTTTTCTGACTTGAGAAACATTTCCCTAGCTTTGCAACTCATTCATATTTCATCTGCACTCCTGATTCTCCTTCTCTTTCCTAAGATGCTAGCCGATGGAGAAAAGCAACCAGTGGTGCTTTGCAGTCTAACTAGCGCGGCGATCCGCTCCGCTGCCCCGATGGTCGAGCTCCCAAATGATCCCAAAGACTGCTATTTGAAGCAGGTCAGCAATGTCAAAGACGCCGCTACACAGAAGAGCTACCAATATGGGCTTGCAAAGATCATCCACGCATGCTGGATTAGGGAGCTTTGCGCACGCCATCTTTCCGGCAGTAACCCGAGGATTCACTTTCACCAGCTGGACCCGGGTGCCTGTTTCACACCACTTAGCTCACAAATTCTTATCGGAAGACTGCTGCTTTGGTTCATTGGTCGACCCGTAGAAATGTGTGCACGAACCGTTGTGAACTCATGCCTACCACTGATAGGATCGCATGGGAAGTTGCTGGTCGATTACGATATTGCTCCGTAAGTTCAGGTTCTCCTCTTCACTTTTCCAAAAATTGCACAGACAAAGGTTTTTGAAAGCGCGGCGATATCTTCTTTACAGTTTTGCTAATTACCTGGTCATGGCATAGGTACCCTGAGTTCATGGACAGGTAAAAAAGCGTCTTGATGACCTGTCGAGGAATCCCTCTTTTCGCGTCGTCTACACGAGAAATCGTAGACTCTAAAACTTGGTATAACCTATGCTAATACTAATGTTCGATGACAGGACACTCGGGTTGGAACTCCAGCGTAGGGTTTGGCTAGAGACAAGCCAGGTATTGGAGAGCTTAGTCCATCCTCAGGCGAAAAGTTTCCTCTTTAGCCTAAGTTCATGACTGACTTGCCCCGTCAAATGAAAGACCGACGGAGTTTTGCATCTTAGCAAAAGCTAGGTCGCGATGGAAAAAACTGAATTAGATTTGCGAATGGTCCAGAGCAGGTAATGACCAAACAACTACCTTATATGGATTCAAAGGGAATTATTCCCGTCGGCGTTCTCCACCTCAAGCCCCTTTCCCGTGCATCATACAAAACTCAATCGTGCTTTCAGAACGCACAGATCTCTATGCTCCAGTGGCCTCTGTCTTGGGCGCACTGGTCGAAGTCACGGGAGTGTCATCTGGAGTATCAACCTTAGGTGGTCGGTCTTCCACCGGGTCGCAATCCGCCACCTTCGGAATCCCCGCAAAGAACCTCTCCTGATACGCGGCATCCATCTGAGCTTGGAAATTGGCGTCGTTGAAAGGAACCTGGGTCTTCTCATACTGAACGTCGGTAAGAGCATCCTTGGCCAAAGTTGGCAATGACTCCCAGCTGATCAGGGTTCGCTCGATGATGTTCTCGTCGTCAGCGCCCTTGAAGGCCGAGATGACGTTGTCGTGGATTTGCATCTTGGGATGTGTTGCCATGTCTAGGCCAACACTTGCGCCACGGAAAGAGATGTCGCTGATGGTGGATGGGGTACCCCAGTTCAGATGGTCAGCTGTGTAGGAAACACCGACTGGCCAAATACCCGTGATATCCTCCTCCTCACAACCCCATCGATTGACCCAGACTACTACGCTGGCCCAGTAATGGCGATGTCCGTTATTTTTCCCATCGGCCCAGCGGACCTTAGGAGTGTAATAACTGTACATGATGCCATTACGACCCTGACTTTGGCCGCGGCGGGCGTAGACTTGGCCACTACCGCCAGTTCCACAGCCACTTCTACCACCGCCTGTCGGCTTCAATCCAGCTCTATGGATTTTGGTCAGCTTTTACTCCATGAAAATACACTTCTCGATGAATCCCCTCGAGGTGATCATGCTTCAGGTGGTTTATAGTTACTCCTTACCCAAGATTACCGTTCTCATCCACGGCTGGGTACGGATCACAGCCTCCAGAAACCCAGAGGTAGGGGTTGAATCGTAGTTCCAAACTCCCTCCCAATCCGTCAGCTGCATTCTGGGTGAATGGGACTACAGCGTCGTGGTTGATCCATTGGTGTCCGTTCGCGTTGTCGCCGCCTCTTGGCAAGAGTGAGCCGTAAGATGACGCCGTGCAGCCTAGCAAAAGACCGAGACTTTTCAGCATGATGACGAAGAATAGAACGAAAGTGGAATATTAGAACAGAAGAGAAATAACTTCGGGAAGTATTCTATCTTCTCAAACCAGAAATGCTTGATACGGCCTTTTGCTTATGGAAAAGAATTCAAGTTCAATAACCAGCGTGGGTATGTGGGTTGTCTCTTCTTTAGATAGAAATAGAGCGTAGGAACACATTCAGACCGCCTATTTATAGAAGATTAGTCAATCAGAACAGACAGAAAGATCTCTGAGCCAAGCCTGATACAACGAGGCCCTCTAACGTCGGACTCTTCGGCCCCCATCAATCAATCATGTCATCTTGTATAACTAGCGACCCAAGAAGATGGAGCTCGTTGCGGCGATGCCGATCGACAATACTTAGAGTTCGAATCACTTGGAATTCATGTCGCTCAGTTGATAGACAGCAACATATATTGGGTTTCTCTGCGCAGGGACAGCCTCGGTGTTGGTGCCTCGGATCGAAACATTCAGTCCTGGGCTCATGTGCTTGAGTCATCTCCAGAATGATTGTTCATCGAACGACGTAAATGGAACTTTGACGGATTGATCGTAATTTGTATGCCTGCTACACGAAAGTATGATTCAGGGCAGAGTGAATGTAGATAATGTGGTGCGGACATCTTGGTCTGGCTTCCCTATTGGATAGCTGCAGGTAACCACATATTTTCGTAGTGATCCCATTGGCTACTAGCTAAATGAACTCGGCAAGAGAAAGAACGAATTATCCAGAGCAATGTAGCAACAAATGACAAATTAATCCGTCACGCTCTCCCCTGGATCCTTGCATCAGCAAGAATTACACTGAGAGCAGGATCATTGAAAACTGGGGACGTACATGTTGTCGCTGTAGATATGTCAGACCAGTTATCTGTAACAGGAAGTGTAATATGGGTTGACGTGAGTCTGCCCACTGGTTCAACACTTGAGCAAGTTTAACAAAATGCTTAACAAATTATCTCTTCAAGACATGGCTCTCGGGTTCGGTCTTGGCTGGAGCGGAGAACGGTGGAGAGTGTCGCCGCGAGTTCCGGGACTTGGCGAGGGTCATGTACTCCGTAGTAGTCCTGGTCGGAGACGTAATTAACAAAGAATCTTCCGTTGTGGACTTGAGGGTCAACCAACACAACATGCTAAGCAACCTGACTCAGTCATAACATGTCAATTATAGCAATGGAAACAAGTCCAGTAACTTGACTCAGTCAGAGGAACTCATCGCATTGTCGCGAGAACAGTTCCATCAACCTGACTCGGTCCCCACAACTCAATTATAGCGATCTCGAGAAAACAGACCAAACAGCTTGGCTACGGCAAGTCCGTCTATCCAAGAATCAATCACGGCGAGGTCAAGGTCTTCAAAATACTTATAAGCATTGTTGACTCTTCGCCACATTCTTAACATTAGATCAATTCGATTCCCAAGATCTCTCGGATTACAATAATTGGGATTCAAGCCATCCCCATGACTTTTTTCAGTCGTCTTTTCTTGTTATTGACCCTGGGATACCTATTCGTAGGTACTCAGGGTAGAATGGTGATTGGATATCGCACAGCCGCCGAGGTAGGTCGCCCCCTGCCAGGGCCAAAGATTAACTGTGTCGCTTTCACTAACAATATCGCCAACTTGCAGGAAGAAGCTGTGCAGATCAACGAGAGAAACACGCCCTTCAGAGATCCGGCCTTCGACAACTTGCCAGGTGGCAGTCAAATCGGAAATGGCATTTACCTAGGTAAGAGCAAGAATAGCTTCCACTAACTCAAACGCCTCATATCTAGGTACTTTAGAACTAACTCAGCTATAGGCTCCGAACCTGCTGGATGGCGAGGCTCGCCGATCAAGAAGAACTGGTACTGCGTATTCAAAGCAGATGAAGCCCGCTTTAATGCAGCCTCCAAACTCTGGATCCCGCAATTCTACACAAGCAAGAGCTTCTGGGGAAACTCGAAGTCCAAGGAGCTCTGGGGCTATGGCGAGAAGTTGATCGCCAAGTACATTGCAAAGTTCGGCTTCAGTGCGAGTTCAACACTTCGCTTCTCGTACATTGAGGCACATGGACGCACGCTGCAAATGGTCATTCCCACCAAAATGGCCAACGCTGACACTTTGGACATTTACGCCAAGTGCTTTGAGACCAAGTCTGAACTAATTGCTTATGAGAGCGAGTCCGTCAACTTCTGGGATTGGGCCATTAAGGGAGACCCTGGAAACCCTGGCTAATGTGCCGGAGATGATTCTACGTACCTCAGGGATGAAAGCTCCGACGGAAGCATTTTGCGGCATCGCAAATATCTGCCTAGCTACCTCACCTACTTCGCAAGTATTTATAGTACACAATCATGCACTCAAACTAAATCTTTTGATTCATGTGTACTCACCCTATTCGTAGTTCTCTTTCATTCGCTTGACTAGTAACTACCTCAGTTACACTCGTTGCCGTTCGTCTGATCCATAGAAGTGTCTATTGTGGAGTTTAAATCTCCTTCGAAGCATTTACTTCTTGCTCAAGGCGGTCTCGATTTTAGCCCAGTACTTTTTCCTCAGCATTCCCTGGATCCAGTAGTCTCCGTTGGCATCGCGGCCCAAGATGGTAAAGATACTCATCAGAAATGCAGGAGTACCTGCGGTAATCAAGTGCATGTGAACGCCAGTCGGTTTTGCCAACACCCGAGGAGCAACAGGAGCATCCGTGTGAGGAGCGAGAGACGAACGTAACGCATGCTCAGTCTCCCAGAGTCCATCACAGCCCATGGCGTCCTTCATTACAGTGCCACTGCCAGCGCCAGCATCCTTGAATGAAACCTCCGATAGACGAGTACGCTCGTTTTCGAAGAGCCCATCACAACCAATCTCGTCAACCACCGCAGCGGAGAAGTCAACGTTGAAGAACTCGGCTTTGGCCCAGTTAGTACACACAACCATGTGCATGCCCGCGTCGCCGAAGAGAGCAGGCAGTCCAGCTTTGCCGTTGCCCGTAATCTTCTTCTTGTTGGCGTTCTCGTCAACCTCATCTCCATGCGCACGCCGTTGTAATGCCAAGAGAGCTTCAACCTGCGGCCTCGTGCTAAGTTGCGCGATAGCCTCCCTCAATGCCTTTGCAACACGGCCAAAGCCCAGTGGACCTTGCTTGATAAGATCTCGCGCGGAGAGTAGGGCAGGAATAGGCAAGATTGCGTTACCAACCAGTGCTCCTTTCTCGGGCAATCGCCCTGCTTGTGCCAAAACACCGCGCAGACCCATCATGTTTAGTATAGCGATGGTTTTGCGGCTCTTGGTGGAATTGCGGATGCGTGAGCTAACAATCTTGCGTGTCCACCATGAACAAAGAATATCACCATCACTCAGAAACGTGGCTGGAGTCAACTGAGACTTATGATCCTTCTCTGACCCATGAAGGCCAGACGAACTGACGTTCTCGGCTTCGAGAGCTTGGAGTGCGTCCTTACGCAAAGACTTGACGTATGCTCCGGGCACACACACTGTCCTGAACTCCTCAGCCGCGTTCCTGTTTAGCAGCTTGTCGAGTGCTTGCCGAAGACCAAGCGTAACGAGTTGAAGAACTCCAAGTTGTCGATTGATGTGCTGGTATTGTTCGGGAGGGGAAGTGGATGCAACTGGCTTGCTTGCATTATCCTTTGATGTCATCTTGGTTGACTCAAGTGAGGTACCCAAAGATCCAAGAGGATCGGTTCCGATCAACGGGATGACCTCTCCATGGCGTCCCTGTAGAGTGAGGGACCACGCATCAAAAAGATCTTTGAGCCCCATGCAATCCCACATGATGTGAGAGAAACCTAATGATACCAAAGTCGCGTCGTTGAACGTAGTGACTTGCAGGCCTATCATCGGTTTATCGTGATAGACGTAGTCTTCAAAACAAGTCGGATCACCTGGGTGTCGCATCAAGGGAGAGAAGTCCACGCCATTTCCTGATTCCACCATCCAAGGAACAGAGCTGTCATGCGAACCGCCAGAGGCTGATGGAACTCTGCTCCGAAGCCGAGATGCTAATGGATGCTGTTTGATGCTGATGTTGTTGTGACGGTTGTGATGAAAAGTGATTGCAGGCCGCTTCTCAGTGTATGTTTCAGGCACATGCCAATACAGCTTATTCGAAGGCTATAGATCCAAGTTAGTCAAGCGTATCGCAGGGGGAAACCTGTGTCGCTACAGGGGACTTACACCTAACCGCACCCTCGCACCTAGCCTGCGCCAGCCATCGCGTCGGTCAAGCAAGTTTTCTAAAGCTCTTCGTAGTTTGAATGCATCGAGCTGGCGGTCAAAACGCAACATTACGTTGAGGACAGCATCGCGAGAGTGGTGGTCCCAGTAGTCGACCGGGATAACCTTATCGGTCAATACTGCAGACGGAGCCAATCTCGTCACTTTGCGTCGAAGAATGGACATCTTTCCGATAATTGAATGCAAACGAAGGCCTCAAGCTTCAACTGTAGAGCGTCAACGAAGTAGTCACGCAAATGGAGCGCAGTCTTCTTGATCACCTCAATTTGGACAGCCGCGGCCGAGGTGAAGGACACAGTTGGAATTGAAGACAGATGACTGTATGTTGGACAGGGGCATTGCGAGTTGTCTTTCGAATGCTCCAATCGGCGCGTACCTGTGGGTTCCCAGATCTAGAAAGGGACGAAGGATCTAGTTGCGTCTTCAGCGGCCCGGGCTCATCCTTCATACAAGGTGAGGTAGCATTGGTGAACCCCCACAATCTTGCCGATCACTGAATTGCCGTGTAAGCGGACAGTGCGAATCCAATCCAACCTAGAGAAGGGCGAAGGATCCCACGCTGACAGCTTGGGGAATAGACCTTATGGAGATCCTGGTCATGTTCCGGATGCCGTAACCCCACACCGAGCTCGTGGTTCAGACGAACACGACCCGAGCCGAGACGGAGACGACCTCCGTCGGCCGTTGACTAGATCATACATGAAGATAAGACTACCATGTGGATAAATTGACAAATTAGGGACATAGCGCTAAGGTTTAGATGCTCCGCCTGGCTAGATGCTGACTCCATGTCCGTATTCATTGAAGTCTCCGTTCCATCAGGCTTACGAGAGTGAAGCCAGGCCCAAACAAGCATGTGAGAGCGATATTCCAAGACACTTGTCTGCCAATCGACCAAGTATCCCCCTTTACCCGCATCGCAGGCTGGAGAAATGTCACCCAAGCGAACGCCGCGGCGGTACCGATGTAGTAGTCATATCGGAGAAAGTTGAATGCGCCTTCTGTCATCCCACTAATCTGGGTCTCACTATCCCACCTCTGCGGTAGCAAAAAGTTGGCAGGTCGCAGCTGCGCATGTGGCGAATGTTGTGTAGGCTCCAGCTTGCCCATGGCAGCGGAGAGAATGGGTATGAGACCCAAGACATGGATCAAGGCCGAGACTACGGCAGTAGCTTTGTACAATCTTTGAAGAGCTGACGTGTTACGGCCGAGATTGCCGTCCTCGGTAGTGCGTTCTTCCAGTTTTCGTGCCGGGATAGCTCCTACCGAAGACATGGCAACCACCTGGACTATGGCCATCCACGCTGGAAAATTCTGCCAGATGGCTACAGCGACCTGTCGTGACTGACCAGAGAGATGGTTGCTTGGCAGACACATAATCGCTGACGGGATCACAAGCCCGATCAGCACTGATGCCGGGACAGCTTTAATGGCAGCCATGGTCGGTAGTCTTGCTTGACTCCTAGGTGGCCGAGAGAGCAGGGATACATAACAGTACATGGGCATGATGATGAAGTACCCGGCATACTGTATGGCAAGACCCCAGAGTGCGAAAGGAATGAGATCCCTGGCGCGTCGCGTTCGTAAGCTCTCGACTAGCATGACGGTGAAAACGGCTATGAGAAGCCCCATCCAGTGCCACCCTAGGAGAGACAAAGCCTGGGACGAGCCATCGACTGTAGGAATAATGCTGAACTGCAGGTTGGCGAGATACGAATCCAAGGGCGGGACCCCGGTATAGACTGTCAGGAGAGGTGTTTTGTTGTCTGGGAGTAAGGGCGTTGCTGATGCTCGCCTATCGGTGAAAAGCTGAGCGTGGCCAGAGTTGATCATGAGATTTGAGACCGCGTAGAGTCCAGCCAGTGTGATGAACGGAAATACAACGTGTGTCCAAGATGGAGCCATGATTGCCGTTGTTGCTTGCCGATCAAGTTCTAAGGTGAGGGAATATGTTGCGAGCAGGAGCCTGGACAGTGGTGTTGATGCAAAAGCTTCAAGATAGCTAGCTACACATTGAACACACGAATCAACGTTTATGTAGTAAAAGAATCAGCTTACTACTTGAGACATGGTCCAATACACGGTCTAGTCTACCACCCTAACGCCATCTCCGTCTAAGACATTCTTGTGGCTTGCTTGATCCTGCAAGGATAACCGTTGTTGGGCTTAGTGCTTCCATGAATGATCTGATAGGCACGATCCCCTGCTACTTCTGTGGGACCCGTCCTGCCCATCGTCTTGTTGAACTCGACGTAAGCATCCGCAAAGTCAAAATCCCGCAGCACCATGGCCAAAATGACCTTCACCTCCAATAAGGCGAGTTCCTGGCCGATACAGTTTCGCGGGCCTCGCTCAAACGGCCGCCACGCCTCCTTGTCCGCGGGGTACAGCTCGTCACCCGGAGAGGCCAACCAGCGTTCCGGGACAAAATCGTCCGGCCTCACCCAGTGCTCTGGTGCCCGGTGGATAGCGTGGTGCACACCCCAAAGCATGAAGCCTTCGAGACCCGTCTTGTCGGTTTCTGATACCGTGAAGCCTGGTCCAGATGCACGCGTACTGGACACGGGTGGGTACAGCCGGAGAGCCTCTTTGATGACGGCTGATGTATATGCCAGTCGATTGAGTAGCTGGGGGGTTTCTGCGATGCGAGTTCCAGTCTCCTGTACAGTGCTGTCGGATCCGAAGACATCGTCGTGCTCTTGGCGCGCTCTTGATAGAGTAGATGGGTGAAGCGAAAGGAGGTGGATAGAATAGACCACCGCAGCGGCTGTCGTGTCGTAGCCAGCGAAGAGAAAGAGTTTCATTTGTGAGACGGCGTATTGCTTGAACGTTGGATCCATAGTCATCTTCTGGCCAGAATTTTCACTGTTCTTTTCCGAGAGTAGATATGTTTCCAGTGCCAGGTCGACGACTGCCTTGCTTCTTCTTGGGACTGCCGCTGTCTTCGCCGATTCGAAATCTCCAAGCTGGGCCTGAGATCGCATTGCTGCGAAATGCGTCTCCAGCTCGCTCGAGACATACCTATCCATCCTCCATCGATTGTAGCGATAGACCAAGTGCCTGATCGGGTTGAACTTTCTGAAGAGATTTGTCTCATTGGGAGATGGTATCCAGTCGGCTTGGCTGCGAAACGCTGATACAAGATCACAACCCTGCCTCTGGGCGTTCAAACGAGAACCTCTGCAATACTAAGTTAGTACTATATTTAAATAGCTGCAATGTATTGCTTGAGAGATTTTGGGCTCACAATGTTGCGAGACAACTCATGTCCATAGTCAACCGCGACATAGTCTCAAACAACGAGAAGACCTCGCCGGCAGCTGCTCTCTCTCGCAGAATCTCATGCAACACCAGCGTGTTTTCAACGAGACCCGGTACTAGCGTCACAAGATGTGCAGCGTTGAACCCAGGATTGAACACACTCCGCCAGTACCGCCACTCATCTCCCTCCATCGTGACGAGACCATGGCTTCCGATGAGAGGCTTCAGGAATCCCAAGACGCCCTCATGTTTAGGAAGCTGCGGCTCATGCGCCGTCACTCGAGCTTGATCGTGACTTGTGGTTATCACCATCAATGGTGGTCCGGTCGGCCACAGGTCCAGGTAGAAGACAGCAGGGAGGTCAGAATACGCTCGCCTGATCTCGCCCGCCAGGTAGTGCCCGTGGAAATCGCTTGGAAGAGTTTTCGCGATCTTAGCCGCAAGCCCTAGATGGCCGAGTAGGAAGTCATGAGGGGGCATTGGCAGGCCCTGTCGTTGGAGGCGCTGGAACATGCGGCGATGGCTGATAAGCTTCACGAGGAAGCGCACTATGAGGATGGCTGCGAATAAGGCGGTAACTTGCGCAAAGTTCCAGGCACGAAGCCTTGACAACCCGGCGACGCCATACTGGTGTTGCCAATGTTCGAGTGATGAGTTCATCGTGGATATCGCACGAACAGGCAGGCCCGCGTTCTGAAATCGCTGTATCGGCTGTTGACGCTATTCAGAACCCTCAGCCTTCAACGTAATTGCCAGACTTCACTGCGAATGCCAGAAGAAAAAGAGATCACATGCCAGAGCTCCTCACACTCACATTGCATTGCAAAGATTCCCATTACATCATGCTGGGCAATGAGCTTCACGACAGCCTTCCCCATTCAACTAGCTGAATGCCACACCGTGTCAGAAACAAGGGAAAGTTTGATCTTTTCGGTCAGTTGTGAGCACTAAGCTGGAATTGGGTCTTCCGTAGGATTCCTGTTGGCCCGCTGGGAAGGATTTCCCGCCGCTGGCGGCGTAGTAACACCCCCACTCATGTCGGTTCCTTCACCCCTGCAGAGATGAGAGGGTGTTGCAGAATTACCAGCCTCACTTCTTGGCGCTTAGCTTCAATTCTCACCATCCTGTTCAAGTGGGCTGCTTCTTTACTCACCATACGCTTCCCGGGAGTCTGGACTCATGTACAACTCGCCTCGGCAGCGGGGCTTAGTGGCTCTTACGTAGTCATCTAAGACAAGGCACCAGAGCGTCCAGCTCGGTACAAAATCGACTAAAATAGTCTTAGGCAGAAACGTTCCATTCGGAGAAACAAAGAGCGATGGCGGGGCGAGTGCGATATCGTAGCGAGACCAAGGCCGGTGGAGAGATGTGTCAGGTCTGAAAAGTATGTTCAAGAACGCAGACGGGTGTTGCTGTCTACATGAACAACGTGGGAAGTTAAGGTAATCGCAGGGCAGCTCTGTGTATCTTCTCGTGGAGTTTCGCTCCAAAAGTAAGGCGCCCAGGGCTATTCGTTTGTATCGGCAATTCAAAACCAGTGAGAATATTAGTTCATCCCAAGCCTACATGTAGTGAATTTATGTCTAGATGGTTCCAGCTACTAGTCGAATCTACTATAATATCCAAGAAGAAGAGCAAACGCAGCCAAGAATGAAGTAACTATCCATCCCGTTTTCCGTTGTCTACAAAATCCTAAGTTGTTCTCTCGAGTTCCAACCCCTGTAAATGCGATATCCCAGTGCTGCCATTTCGGATGTTTGCACATCCACCCGAAATGGATTTGGTTGAAGCTTTGAAAATGCCACATCGTCAGTTTGTCTTTTTTTTTTTTTTTTGAATAATTGAGCAATTGGAGTGAAAGTGATTGCGTGACTTACGGACATATCGAGCTGTTCCAACCACCCTTCTGTATGTAGCCATTGTGACAAGTCTGCCAGACTTTGTCTAGCGACCTTCTCTGCACATCAGCCGTGTAACTTTGCTCGGCTTCTAACAGGATCTCAGCGGTACGGGCCTGTCCACTCAGAACAAGCTTGAGGAAGTTCAGAGCATATCCTGCCACATTTTCACTTGCGAGTATGGCTGACGAGTGGCCGCTGACAGAATTTGGTCCCAGAACCATGAAAAAGTTGGGAAACCCGTGAACTGCTGTGCTGAGGTACGCGCCAGGGCCTCCGTTTGCCTGCCAGACGTCGTGAAGAAATGTTCCGTTTCTTCCTTGGACTTTCAAGCGATGGAGGTAAGTCGACGTCTCGAACCCATTCGCCAAGAGGATGACATCTGCGGGCTTCTGGATGATTTCCTTGTGGCGTTTCTGGTCGTTGGAATTTAAGCGCTCTTCTTCTGGTCGAGGACCCAAGACGACGCCCTGTGGTTCGATTGATACCAGAGGTCTGTTCGTGAGTTCCACGTGGGGTAGACTGAGGCTTTCCAACCACCCACAGTCGACAATGATCCGCCGACACCCAACACCAAAGTGCGGTGTGAGCATGTCGTGATATCTAGATGGCACCGTCTTCCGCAAGTGAGTCAAGAGTCTTTTCTCGAACCACTGTCGCCGCTTCTTTCCGAACCAGCCCGTGCCGACATTGAGCCATGTCGATTCAGCGTACAAGAAAAGGCAAAGTCGGAGAAACAAGCCAAGTCCAGATATGTTTCTGAGCAACTTGGAAACAACCTCCATCAACCGCGGAGGAGGTCTCTCGGGTCGAGCCATAACCCACGGTGGTCCCCTCATGAGCTGCGTGATTGACTTGGCAGCAATCTCTGGGCTTGCCAGCGCCGGAACGAGCTGTGCTGCAGTGCAACCCGCCCCGATGACGACCACATCCTTTCCTGTCAGGGAAACTTCGTCTTTCCATTGCGCTGTGTGGAAGACCTGTCCTTGAAAAGACTCAATTCCTGGGACATGCTGCGGCCAAATGTTGGGCTCTACAAGCTCGCCGGCACATGTGACCAGGACCTTACACCGAAGGGTCACTTCTTCTGGGGTCTTGTCTCGAGGATTCAGATAAGTCACCTTGACTTCCCACTCGGCATCTTCGTCAATCCATCGAGCACTTGATACCTCAGTGTTGAGCTGGATGTTGCTTCGAATACCAAACTTGTCGCAGACACCTTCCAAGTACTGCTGAATCTCCTGGCCCGGAGGGAACAAGGTCGTCCACTCATAGTTCGGGGCGAAAGAATAAGAGTAGAAAATCGCCGGGCTGTATCAACAGTCAGACCCGACGTCACGATCAGAAAAGGCCAACCATCTCGGCCTCCTGGTACACATATTCCACTTACATATCACAGGCTACGCCCGGGTATCTGTTGGCAAACCAAGCACCACCAACACCGCTTTGTCTGTCGAATATCCGAAAGTCGTCGGTGCCAAGTTTTGTCTTGAGCATACAGCCCACGGCAATTCCAGATTCTCCTGCGCCGATGATGATAGCTGAGAAACTCTTTGGCATTGTGAATGAGTCTGGACTCTCACTCATGGCTTTCTGGATTTTCCCTAGACTTGCCCAACAGATCATGGCAACGATGTGATGATTCTCCCTTCCTTCACTCCGGAGGTCATCTCCGTTGACCTAGCTTTGCCTTATCTGGGCCTATGGATCATCGACAATCCGGAGCGCCCTGAATCAGTTCTAGACCCTGCAATCCTAGTCTAACACAGTGCAACCCAATACCATTATGGCGCGATTGACTTTGCGGGTCCATCTGGCTGTGCTCACAGTGCTTATGCCAAGTATCGTGATTCTGAATGCAGGGTTGCAGACTAGTCTCGTTGTCTCAGGCAGCAGTACCACTAGCATAGCCGCTGACACTAATTAGCAAGTGCATCCATCATACATATCCACATGTACCCATGTCAACTACTATCTTGGTACTTTAGACATCGTTACATCGACATCTCATATGGCGATTTCTTGCACCGTGTAAATCTCGCCCCCTCCTCTACCAGGATTACCAAGTCCAGAACCACTCCCATGGTTCTTAAGTACGTATGACAGAGGTGGGTCGGATTTTCGGCAAGTCCTCTTCCCATAAGGGCCATACCTGATTGGTAAGGCTGATAGCATTGTCGTACTCCAGGAATCCTTCGAGACAAATGTACTTCGTACACGTGTATGGCTTCCCAAACCACTCGGGGCAATTCGGCCACTTTTGAAGTGATTGATCCAGATCCGTTGCAATAATATCGAACCCTCTGACAGGGGATACAATCCTTTCCGATCCGGGGGACACAGTGCTTCTTACTCAACAGCAAATGGCCACGATCACATGCAGCCCGGGTTCCACTATGTATCATCCTTCAGCAAAGTCTGGGCAGCATTTGTGTAAGTTGTCGAGCTCAAACTTCTGCGCGGCAGAACGATGACTGAGTCCACTGAAGTACTGGGAGACTACTGGAAATGGAGCTGGCTCGGGGGTTCGAGGTGACTCGACAACCTGTCAACATCACGAGATTTCCAACTTCCACCATGAACGATCAGGAGATACCGTTTATCCATCAAATCAACCCGATTCTACTATGGCTCAGTTCCTGGCCTGTAGTTCACGCTTTCAACTACTTTGTGCTGGCCACTTGTGGTGTATGCATGTGCACCTACATCTTCACATCCTGCCGTTTCTACCTCAGCAGTAAGAAGAACCGCCAATTTCGAGGAAATGAGCCGCCTACCTTGGCATATTGGTTGCCATGGGTTGGGAATGGCATTCAGATGATCAGAGATCCCCATAAGTTCTATGAGGAAACACTGTACGTTCATTCTTGAGTTTTATACGTTGAGTTTATGGCCAACATGCTAATCGAGGTTGCCGTAACAAAAGTGCCAAAAGACCAACAAAAGGACCAGTGACTATGCGCCTCGGCCCCATCTCCATGTACCTCGTTATGGGTGCCTCGAATATCCAAGCAATCTTTCGACAGTCTAGCAGTCTATCGTTCGAGTTCATGCAGTTGCGTATTGCACACAAAGTCAAAGGTCTTCCAGCCAGCGATGCCGCCCTTTTGGGGATGGACGACTCAGGTGCTGGCACTCTCAATCAGTCTGAGACCGGCGTCGTGGGAAAAGGGCGCATTTGGCACATACTCCATGGGATATACCTCAAGAACCTTACGGAAAAGTCTGCCGTGGACTTTCTGACGGCCAAGTTTGTCTTCGAGTTTTCCGAGCAGCTCAAGACTTGTCCAGAAGGCGCTTCTGCCCCAGCAGTTGTTGGTCTGTACGACTTCCTCCAGACGTACCAATTCGCCGCATCAACAACCACACTGGTCGGTCCGCGAATTCTCCAAAAGGGCTCGTTGGAAGCCAAGACATTCTGGGACTACGACGCTGCCTTCATGACACTCATGCAGGGGCTGCCAAAACTAGTGTGTCGCAAAGGCTGGGCCGCGCGAGACCGCACTCTTGAAGCTACCAAAGACTGGCTCGCCGCGGCAACTACTGGTTGTCCTGCAGACAGCGATGCTGATTGGGAAGAGAACTTTGGACACAGGCTTGTGCGCGAGCGAAATGCTGCACTCGTTGACTACGGTATTAGCTTCGAGGGGCGTGCAGCTATGCATATGGGCCTGATTTGGGCGTGAGTGATGTCCCTTCTACCCTATTTTGTTCCTGGGGACTTATTTGTTTCTTTCTACCATGTCCCTATGCTAATTCTTGCCGTTGAACAGCATCAACGCCAACGCCGTTCCCATGACCGCGTACATGTTGTTCGAGATGGTCCGAGACTCCCAACTCCTTTCACGAATCCGCGCCGAGGTCAAGACCGCCATGGTCGTCGGTACGAATTCGACATCAGTACTCGATATCGATATTACAAAGCTGGCAGCTCTACCTCTGCTGAACTCGGTGTACAACGAGTGTCTGCGTTTGCGCTCGAGTATCCCCATCTCCCGGCGTCTGCGGCAGGACATCGAGATTGACGGATATACGCTCAAGAAGGACAACTTCATTCTGGCACCTAGTTGGCTATCACACATTGACGAAGTAGTATGGACGTTCCCAGGCCACCCAGCGCGCGACTTTTGGGCGGAGCGTTTCTTGCAGCCAGAAATGCGCAAAGTCAAGCTGGGCGACTACTGTCCGTACGGTGGTGGGAGCGTCATCTGCCCCGGGCGATTCTTCGCCAAGCATGAGATCCTAGCAGCGGTTGCAATGATGGTCACCACTTTCGACATAGAGTTTGTGCGCTGGTCGCGTTTAGATGGATCACCGGCGAGCAGAGGTCCGGGAATGGAGGGGGCGGAATGTCGAGGTGTCGTAAGTCTTGATAGAGATGCTACGGTGAAGATGCAGAAGCGGAAGCTGGTATGAAAGGCATGCCGTATTACTTGAGCTTACCTGGTCGGCTATCTGATTATTAAACGTACATGGATTATCTTATCTTGATGTAGAATCTGAATTACCAAGATCGAGAGCGACCTGTTCCATTATTCGCCGATGCATCGTCTAATACCTCAAAGTATGAGATGGCAGAGATGATGCGATCGAAGTACGCACAGGGTTGCCCCTTGTTTAAGTGACTCCTCAGTTTCAATTATCTTTGCGCATGTATCATCTTCCATCTTCTTGTGAGACAACAGAACATCAAACAAACTTTTGAATGCTCCGATAATTAAGGTTACGGCAGTCCTAGCGTCCGGCCGTCTCAGCTTCTGACATTACCATCCGGCCACGACTAATAGATGGCCGACTCCACGAGCTTAAAATATAGTACGCTCCCACGACCCTCTTCTACGGACGAACAGATGTGATCGGTATATTGTGTCATTCGCTTTAGCACTCACCTTCTTTACTTGAGATTCGTGGCAAGATGGTCCGAAATTTCTTCAATCGCAACGCCAAACATGCACAGGCGCAAGCGGCTCAGTCTGAGGCCCCGGAATTTGAACCAGTTACGTGGTGGAAGGACCCTGGTTTGAGGAAGTTGTACTTCTGGTGTGGTATCTTGATGATGATGTCTGCATCGACAGGCTTCGATGCGTAAGCTCCTCCTGCACATGGAGTCCATAACCTCGGTGCGCAACAAGATACTAATGACGAAGGCTTGCAGGAAGCTCATGAACACTTCGCAAGTCATGGATCAGTGGCAGAGTTCCTTCAATCATCCTGCAGGGGGGAGACTTGGGCTCATCGTCGCCATTCTCGACGTCGGATCTCTTTCCAGTTTCTGGATGGTGTGAGTGTGATCACAAGACTCCAGCTGTAGTGTAGTGCGAGACTTTTGCTAAATCTGGATTCACATAGGCCATATTTCGCAGACAAATACGGCCGAAAGATGCCCATCATTATCGGTTGCATTATAGAGACCATCGGCGCTTTCATAGGAGCTTTGTCAAACAGCGAAGGAAGTGAGTCTGCCTTTTGAGTTGCAGGTCCCGTTGATTAGTCCTAGTATTGATCCTTGAATGAAGTGTATATGGCTGGACGCTTTATTCTCGGCTTCGGAAGCTCTTTCAACGGCGCCGGCCTCCTGATTGCCGAGATCGCGCATCCTCAGCACCGAGCCAAGATCTCCGCCATCGTCAACTGCATGTACGGAGTCGGATCGACCAGCTGCTCCTGGCTAGCTCTAGCAACCATTCGAATCATGGGCGACTGGTCTTGGAGGTCGCTCACCATACTCCAGGCGTTCCCCGGTATCTTGGTTCTCTCGCTCATCTACTGGATCCCGGAGTCACCTCGCTGGCTAGTCGCCAAGGAACGTTACGAAGACGCAGAGAACATGTTATCCACGTACCACGGCAATGGGGATAAAACGAATGCGACAGTGATTTTTGAATTCCGAGAGATGAAGCAGACTTTGGCTCTTGAATTTCAGGATAAAAAGTCCAGCAGTTATCTCGACTTTGTTCGGACTGCGGGCAATAGGTACAGGGTTGTTCTGTTGATCTCACTGGCGATGGTGTCTCAGTACAGCGGCACAAATCTTTTCTCCAACTATGCCAACAAGATTTACGAGGGTGCTGGCATTCGCGATCAGACAAACAAGGTTCTGGTAAGTATCTCACTCAGCATGAGCCTCTGTATTGACCCATACTGACATATTGTACCAAAACTTAACAGCTCAGTGGTGGCCAGACGCTCTTGTCTCTCGTCGTTTCGGTATCATTCTCATTGTGCATAGACCGCTTCGGTAGAAGACCACTATTCCTCACAGCCACCACGGGCATGGTGCTCATGTACATGGGATGGACCATCATCAGCTCCCAGTTCGAGCGGACTCACGATCTTGCCCGATTTGGCTACCCCCAAATCGCCTTCATCTGGCTCTTCAGTCTCTCGTATCAGATTGCTTGGACCGGGGTCATGGCAGCTTACGCGTTGGAGATCATGCCGTACAGTCTCAGGGCAAAGGCCGGCGTCATATCAACCATTTTTGTCAAGGGCTTGATCGTCCTAGGAAGGTGAGATCACCTAAGGAGTGGGGTCCCCAAGCTCGTATTTCAATGCTAATGCAACGCGTTCTTTAGCTATACCAATCCCATAGCGTGGGATAACTTCACAGCAGCCGGTCATGCATGGACACTGGCCATGTTCTACACCGTAAGTGACCCTCGCCTTGTGGTCTGCTTCATATATTGCTTCAACTGATTCGTCTGTAAGATCCTGGACTTTTGCTATCTCTTGTTCGTGTATTTCTTCTATCCAGAAACAAAGAATCTCACTCTGGAAGAAGTCGCCAAAGTCTTCGACGGCGATGAGGCAAAGGTTGCAAGGATGGACATGGAAGACGTCAAGAATCAGGTGGAAGAAGAAAAGAAGAGGCAGAGTCACGTCGAAGTCGTCGCTCTCTGATGGATCAAGAATTTTAAGGAGATTGGCGAAGGGTCTTGATCAAGGTTTGAATGATTTAATCCAGTAGAGAGTACTTTTCTGTTGAGGAAAAGGTGAAGAGGGTTTCCTAGCGTGCCCGGGAGGGGCAGCAGTGATTTTGTGCACCACGGCCCGCGAAAGTGTCCGAGATCTCCGGGAATCGAGGGAACTGAACAAAGAGCCAAACTAGCCGACTTAGCTCAAGCGTTAAAATGCACTACGGCCATAAGAGCAAAAGATAACTTCGAGCTCGCAACGGGCACTGCGTCCCTTACTAGTAACATTCTTCGATCCGGTCCAGGCCTGTCTGTGACTATTCGGGCCGTGGCCTAGACCACAGCGAGATGAACCGCACTCATAACCCCGAGGAATATTCCGATCTTTACGAGGTGATGAAGGGCCCTTACTCACAGCATCACAAAAGGGAAGACGCCTCCCTTGGCCTCGAGCCTCGATTAACCGCCCGGGAAACCGATAGCCGAGGAAGCCACTCTTCCGTCACACAATAACCGTGGAAACGCAAACGGCCATGCGAGTACCTCGCTCGCATTCGTACACAGTACGAATAAGTCGAAGTCCTCTATCAATTCCTAAAAGAGCTAGAAGAACTCTGAACACCTTTGTTAATTAATTCTTTTCAATTGAAGCATTATTCAAAGCTCCTTCTACAGGTGCCTTCATGTCGAATCAACAAACATAACTCGACTAGTCAGAAAATCACGGTCTATTGTTCACTCGGCAGCGGATGTTCTTATTGTATGGGCCACCGGTAGATTCCGCCAGTAGTTAGTGACTTTGACCGGTAGAAGCTTTCATAGTTCTTGCCTTCAATGTTGTCAAGTTACCTTCAACGCTTGAGGGACATGTAGGCTTCTCTATAGATTCACTACGTCTCTCTGCTTACTGAATCGAGTGCTGCTCTGTCTCAAAACCAGCCTCTTCATGTACTGGCAACAATAATCCATTCGTCCTCGCGAAATCAGACCGAGCCTTCTCACTCAACCAAATACTATCAACCTTGCTGACGTCCAATCCTTCAGCAGCTGCGGCAGCTTTCATAGCCTTCAGCTCGTCCTCGATCCTCTTCTCCTTGAAGCAAAATTTACGCGGGTACCAAAACTTTCGCTCGCGCGTAGGCTTGAACTCCGGGACAGACTCTCGGTCCAGTGCTCGAAGAATGGCCTGTTCCGCAAGGGTCTAGAAAAAGTTAATGTTGTCCCAAATGTAGCCCTCATATGACCTACATAATTATTGTCAGGTCGATCTAGATAAAGATGATCCTTCAATGTGACATGGGTGTTGGTGATGACGCGAGCATAGTGGTGATAGTTATAGTTCGCTGTGTGCGGGACGAGACCGTGAAGAATAAAAACGTCGCCCTTCTTTGCCTCAATAGTCTGGAATACTTCGCACTCGCGCACGCCGATGGTCAGATCATTGGCGGTAAGAGCAGGGTCGAGATCTTCTGGGTGGTCATAAAGTCGCTTGCAAACCTCTACAGCAAGGTACTAGGTCAGCGAGATTTCACTACGCTTCAAGGCTTACCAGTCAGGTGTGATAAGTTGTCACGACAGCGTAAGTGAAAAGATTCGTACCTCGTAATCCATCCTCACATATCAGAGTGCCTCCACCCCCTGGGGGAATATCCGTGAAGCAGTTGATGACCGTCAATGTCGTTCCCGAGGAGTCGAGAAATTGGCGGAACCAGTCATTGTCGCAGTGCCACCCGCCCTTCTCCTTGGGTGACTTGACATTGTCTGACTCTCGGGACCTGGACTCGGAACCAAAATTAACCACAAAGTTGTCCCCCACCCAGCGTTCTCGCTCGTCGTCCCAAGCTTCGACACCGCCGATGATGTCTGTGGTTTTGTCAAATGCCTTCGGCGCGAACTGTTCGTAACGAAGTTGCCGGTGGAAGGGCAGGTGGAGATATTCCTGTGCCCATGTGGATTTGTCGCCAGCTTCATAGCCGCAACGGACCCAAAGGTCCTTCATCCACCGGTCTATGATGTCCGGATCAATTGCGTTTTCGACGCGTAGCCAGCCATGATCCACAAAGTGTCTGGCTTCCTCATCTGTCAAATGGCGGAAAGGTGGGCTGGGTGGTGCGTAGATGAACCTCTCCCCGGGCTTAGCAGAAGATTGAGGATACGGCGCCATATTGAGGAAAGTTTGGACGGCACGGGAGTGAGCTATGCTATGCTTCTGTGAACCCGTCTTCATTCATTTCTATTTCTCTAAGCGGCGGGCTATTGATCATGAATTTAATCCCACCGGCAGCTACTTGACACGAATATATCGGTCGAGCATCATCCGAGTGATCAGGTTCTCCTCACGGCAGCGCCATACTTTCATCCGAAGCTCAATCATGAAGAGTGGCCACGATCACTACTATAGCCCTACTTTTGAGGCAGGAGTGGTCATGTTAAAACTCTAATACATAGCGTGTCGGCCTATGCTCAACCGAGGCCAGATCCTACGATAGATAACTTACTCTGAACCTGAATTTTAAGTCACTGGGACGTGATTCAGGGGAATCTACAAGTATTCTGTGACCAAAACGGATTGTATCACAAGCAACATGTTCAGTATAACGTAAATGGCCTCGGTGTATATGAAAGCGCCTTTCTGAAGTTACAACCTTAACTTCAGTACACATTCCAGCATAGAGCATGTATCTAGACAGGGAAGGTACTGGTCGAGAGAGTCGAGACCGTTCTGTATTCAATCGGGGACAGGGTACTAAGTACCGTAGGCATCAGCAAACCATCAATGTTGTACGCGTCCATCGGGGAGTTTTGCGCCGATGGGTATTTAAATAGCTGCGGGGTCTTGATCCTCCTCATCGCGTACTCGGCATTGAGGTATATGCCGAAGGTCACGGTAGGGATATATGTCTGACTCATCGCCATTTGGCTGCCTAATTGTCGGACTGTACCGACTAGAGTTGGCACAGTCTCGTGAAGACTTTTCTTGGAGTTGACCCCTCGTGCTAGTATCCCTTAAACAAGGTAGTGACTGTAATTGTACCCCATCTGACTAATAGTGTTCAACAGTAATGAGAGAATGCTGCAATAGTGCGATGATTCGATATGTAATTGTGTAGAATTCTCGTTCTTTTTTGGCCATTAAACATTAGATGGACGGAGGCGCAGACGTCACAGTATCTCTCTTTCTGGCCAGATCGAATTCAGCCGTACCCAAACGTCCACCGGCGCAAGAGGCGACAAGCCTCTGGAGATCCCGTGTGACGACCAGCCATGCCGTCTTCCGCCCGCACGAAATGCCTACCACTACCGTCCAGATCCCAAGCCTCAAATCACCATCACGCGCATCTTCACTGTTCTGACGTTGGTCAGCTGCAGTCAGTGTGGTCGCACACTAACGCTGAACCGAAGCAGGTGGCCCCGCATTATAAGCATAGTCTTTGACGACGCCGTCCGAAAGCAGCCCGCCCGCGTCCGCGCCCTCCGCCCCCGTCACACCCGGAAACGGCGCTGCAGCATCTCGCACAGGAAGGGGACTGGTCTTGACGATGGCTTCCGGCCCGCCTCTTGCGTAGCAGGCCAATCAATTTCCTCTTTCCTCGCAGAACTGTTGCGATGGGGGTTTAGCTCCGTGGCTTGAGGCTCCCGAGATTCGGGTTAGTCGGTGTCTGCCTCTGGTCGAGATCTTCCCTCCCAGAGGCGGCGGCGGTGAGACATTCTTTTGGCGAAGAGGGTATGTCTCGGATAGACTTGTCTTGGGCGGGCCAGATTTCGTCAACGGACGGGGTTAAGCTGAGGAAGAGAGAAAGCGGGAAGGGACGGGTTGTGTGACATCAAATGGCGAGGGTGTCGCTGAGATTAGAGGAGAATAAATACAGACGTTGTATCCTCCTTGAGTCTAAAAGAATCCTCAGCACTCAACCACTTGAGCAACGGTCTTAGACAAACAAGCATTAATAAAGACACTCTCACCTTTTGTTTCTACACCTCCCTCAAGTCGACAGCAATCTCACTTCACTCACCCAACCTCTACTTCTCAAACACATCACAATGCGTTTCTCCTCCATCATCGCCGGCTTCGCCGCCCTCTCAGTGTCTTCAGCAACCCCGGTGCCCCTCAGCTTCCTCCCCTTCGGCAACCTGCCTTCCCAATCAAGCACAGGCGCAAGCATCATCGCCAACCTAGACACCCTCCAAGGCTCCATCCTCAAGCTCACCACAACCCTCAATGGCCTCGACTACACCAACGGCAACTCCCTCAGCGCCAACAACATCCTAAAACTCCCCGCGGTCCTCTTGAACACAATCGGCCTCAACTCGGCCTCCTCTTCCGCCTTACTCGATGCAAAGGCCCTGACTCTAGCCCTCAACTCGACCGACTCGACCGCCATCGTCAATAAGCTCACAAATGATATCCAGCCTGCGCTCAAGACGGTCACGGATCTGTTGAACAAGGCCAAGACATCTGGTATTGTCGCGTCGTTGACGCCGCTGGGTCAGACTGATTACCTCAAGCTAATCCAGACGAATCTCGGCGGCCTCGGGACCGCTCTGTCGCCTTACATCGATACTACCTCCCAGTCTGGCTTGACTGGCGTAACTGCCACTCTCAGCAACCTCTTGAAAGCTACTGTCAACGTCTACACCTCTTGAGTTTACTTGTCAGGAAGGCGGGCAACGGCTTGTATAAGAGAGATGAGAATGAATGTCGGACTGGAATGGATAATGATTGGACACGGCTGGAGAAAAATGAGATTGAATCGTGTGGGACTTGGCCAGCATCTTTATTTTTGTTTTTGGTTTCAACGATCTTGACGACCGGATTTACAATTCCTCCGGTACACCTTTTAATTCAATCATCTTCGCTTCACCTTCTGGCACTACATGTACCTATCTCGTTGACTTTGAAGCGCCCTACGAATAAATAAAGCCAAAGGCCAAAGGCTAAAGCTGCATGTGTGCCCCATATATTTCGCACAACTCAGCGGCTACGTACGACTCTTCTTCAATAGTGTCTATCTGCTTTGTGCCTGCTTTCGCAGGAAGTATTCTCGGTTATATATCTTAGCCACTGTTATGACCGTTACCCTGACACTTCCGTCCATGTTCAGGACAGGTCAGAACTTCTCTTGACTCTATATCTTATCTCAGGAGAGAAACTATGAATAACGAAGAAGAAAGTAGCATATCAATAAGTTCAGCTCACCACTGGCGATGGTGTCATTAGGAATGACATAATCCCGTCGAAAAAGAAGGACGGGAATAGGATCGGGTGTCATATAATTCGACATAACTCCTCACAACAGTATGCACATGTACTTCCTTTAACTCGCACTTGAAGGGATAACTGACATCTAACAATAAGGAAGTTGGAACCAGTTCGCGACGGGGTAGAAACTCGACTGGCATTATGACGTCCGCCGGTACATGACAAAAGATGGCGATTGATACTGCTGCAGATGGATGCATGTTGAAAACTCGTCGTGATCCACGCATTTACGTTTATAGGGCCTTATTTGCACCACGGCAGTAGATTCATTCTTTGCATAGGCGGATAACTTGATCAAGTAACTTCTACATCTCACCTATAATCATCAAGCTAATAACACGAATCATTCTTGTATAAAGAGCATTTACTACACTTTCCGGTTCTGCAATCTCGGGCATCATGTTGTCTTGTTTACAGATATCTTTTTATAGAAGTCCAACCCAACATGATGTCCCATCCGCTCAGCCCATCAGCAACTACACCATGATCGACTTGTAGTTGATTTTGGCTTCATCAGAAGATGTGAGAGATCGAAGCCGAAGCCAGAACGGCACTGAGGACACCCACACGTCAAGCTACTCGCTGAAGCTTCGCTCAGGAATTGACATAGGCAAGAGCCATGTGATGTGACCTGAGCCAAGTCCAATCCTGACCGCCAGCATCAAATGTGTCAATGTTCTAGGGTCGAAGAAATCATCGCAAATTGCTTCGTTCGCCCATCTCCGCCATCGATCGGCCGAGATATGCGGAAGAGCACCGTTGCCACCATCACCATCACATCACGGATCATGCAGTCCCAAAGTCTATACCACATTCTCAACACAACAGGATCTGCTCAACACTGAGATGGGTACATTGACGGGCATTGAGAATACAGGTAGATCTCGCGATGCGGATCGGTAGCTCAAGTACGAGCACGGTCCGGGTACCAGTATGCGTAGAAGTTCGCATGGACTATCTTACCATCTGCAGCCTGCAGGTTAATTTGTTAATCGTCGTTGGTATATTCTCATACATCTGTGTTAGTCCCTGTAACCGACATGAGCTTCCATATTGGGACGTGAAAAGAAGATTAAAGTGAGGCGGACGGCATCTGGGGATGAGAGCGGATGCGCTCATCTCGGAAGCATTCCGTTGCCCAACAGAGTTGATGCGCCTTGTAGGGCTGGCAATGGGAGGAATCTCCAGACATGATGGTCAGTGTGATGGACTCACTCGGCTCACCCACATCCCGCGACAACTAGCCTGCGAGGCACGGCGAGTGAAGAGTAGAAACTGAGTCAAGCCCACTCAGCATCACCAACGTACCTTCCAAATCTGCTTCGATACTCCATAGCAAGAAGCTATGTCCGCACCATGGTAACTCGCTGTGCACAGGAAAATGGCGCGATGACTGGAAGAGGACTTAATTCTGCAAATTCCGGGCGATTACATACCGATTTGCTCGGCGGGCCATATCAACGCGTGCCAAGACTTGCGGTGGGTGTCTGGACAAGGCACATGATTCGACTTCCCGGAGCCATACATGATGGCAAATTTTGGGCAGCAATTATGCTCAGTATTTCACGGGAATACTCAACAAAAGTCAAAAGACTGATTCTATCTGTACCTTACGGTGCGGCGCTGTATCTCACTGTGTAGCAAACAAGCTGAGGTCACGGAAGGTAGTCGAGACAACTACGCGCATCCGGTTTCGCTTCTACGATAAGACGATACTTAGTATGTGAACCGAGAACGAGGTACGTAGGCACTACTGAGAATGAAGTCAGATCTGTGTGTCCAATTACCTGGGATCAGGTACGGACAGTAGAACACTTCGGAAGCTCGGGATAACTCCGCGACGAAAGCGAGGGGTTGGGAAAATGCCTGTCGTTACCAGCGCCAGATGTTCCTGGCCACGACCTTAAGCTTAATCAAGTCAACTGAGCCATCTCGGGGGTATTGGCCCCATGATCCGGTTAACTCCCACAACGAGCACCATCACTGACTAGCCAGGCATCGAACCAGGAATCAGATTAGGGTTGAGTCAGCGGCTGGGCAATGGAAAGATAAGCAGCGCTTGCGCGCACACAAGGTTCGCTCTGATTCTGGTATCCCGTCCGGAGGTGGATGTGAAAAGCGATCAAGTGCCGGTGTGGTGCCCGGGTTTCTTTGCGTTGCGCTGGTCACAGTATTTCTTGGCGCGCGGGGCAGTGGTATGTTTAGTTCTGCACTGCTGCAAAAAGGTTGCAATAGCCGTCGTTGGCGGTGGAAGGGTGTTTGCCTGCTGAGTCGTTTCACCAAAGGTCCCAAGACTTTTTCAATGACTTCTTTCTCGTCAGCCGCAGGGAGCTTGAGGCTTGCGCTTGTTGGCGAGCTTGCTGGCCTGCTTGCGGTCGCTGCTCGCTCATCTTGGTGACGGGGCAGAAATGAAACCATTTCGTCATTGTGGCAGGGGGCATGCTCCGAACCGATCACCTGCGGAGGCGGTAAATTTGACAACGGATTGTGGGAAATAAGATTGGGCGTTCCGCCAATTCTATCATCATGGCAGCATCGCTAGCGAGGTCGGGATGCCGTTGAGTGCCACCTGGGTCCGTTGGATCGGCAGGTGCCTGTGATGAGGAACCGCGACCTTGTGCCTGTGGTACTGCAGACAACGCCGGCCTCATTTGAACGTCGACCGGAGCCGTGGAGGGGAACTCGGAGGCCCGAGTCAGGGGAGGGCATGGGGCCCGAAATCGAGCATCTGGAACCTTTCGAGGCAGCGAGACGGAACGACAAGAACGGTCAAGACGGTGGCCAGAGGGGGTCCCATCGGGCGACAAGAGCAGCAGAGCTTGGCTCAAACGCCCAGAAAAATGAGAGTCTGGCTGGACGTATCCATACGGAGTCTGAGGAGAGGATTCGAGGAATACGTGGAGATGTTGGGAGAGTGCCAAAGTGCTGGGCAGAAGTCTTGGCCTTTGGAGGAGACGGCGTGCCCGAGAGAGGAGTGACCTTTGAAGCGGAGGCCTCTGGCGGAGTCGCAGGAAGATCTTGCACGCTTCCTGGAGGACCCAACCCCCGCTTTTCCTTTCCATCCGGTGGCTCTCTTGCGATCTTGGCGGAATGTTGACCTTGGACCTTGGCGGAGAGTCGCAGACTTGTCCAGTGCGAGAATGTTGCACACCACTGCAACCTGTGACCTGCGTCTGCATCCTGCTGCAGCGCTTTGTTCCGTTTTCGACAATGGTGCTCCTGACTCCTGAGTCCTTGGGCCAACTCGCTGCACCTCTCCATTCCCCTGCTTGGTTCGACACAGGACCGGAAGGTTTGCAGCGAATGGCCTGTCTGTCCTCGCTGGCCCGGCGGCACAACCTTTGATTTTGTGGATTGAAGGGTCCACCGATACATGATGGGAACGAAGAGCCTGAGGGGTCGTGGGGAAGAGACATACACCGCGCTCCATGGCGAGAGACTCCGATTGACGGCCGGGTAAAGACCGACCTGCTGGCATTTGCCGGTCCCCTCAGCGCGTGGGCAGCGCAGCGGAACCAACGGAATTTCGAGCTCGAAAAGATTGCGAATGAGGAGCAGCCGATTCTCTGCTATGAATTCAAAGAGCTCGTCGAGTGGTATCTGATAGAAGACATAACATCTTGTACCATCTAGGCGGGTGCGTGACAAGGTGCTAGAAACATGGCGTTTGAGCTGCAAAAGAAGAAGAAGAATATCAATAATTCTGTGGCATGCGATGCAGCAGAGCGGCCAGGTCCTCATCAACAAAAACGTTCTTCTTCTCCGCTTGGCAGGCATGTCTCAGACGTTGGGTGAAGGTGCTGATGATGGGCACCACCCCAACCTCTCGCGCCTCTCTGGTGCCACACCCAAAGTATCTAGTGTGCTAGTGTGGTTTACTGCGTATGTGCCTTGCTGACTCTCTCCACCGCTTTATGAGGTGATATTCACAGAGTGATTTGCTAGAATGCATTTTGCTATGGGACAGGGTGGTTTCGATTATCGTGGTATTACCAGTTATATCCGCGCTGATGCGTGTATCTTGAGTGTTTGCGCGTAGGTAGGGCGGTATCTAGTGTAGAGGAGCCGCAAGAGCCTGAAAGGACGTCTTCAAGGGCGGGCGCTCTAAGCGCATGCGCGATGGCTCTTGTATCTGGCGGCGTTTCCTGGGCAAATTACCCACATCTGTACAGAGTAGGTCTCTGTCAGCGTATCTGTACTCCGTACACTGCTCTGAACCAGATCGTATCGGGAACGATGGGAGGGTTCGTCAAGTTGCAAATCCGAGGAATATTGATATCAGCTTGGGTTGGTCCGCAAAAACGCCGTACCAAATGCTTTCTCAGTCGGTGGCGGCGAACCAAGTCGAAGCTACGGGGGTTTTCGCAGCGGGGACATGGTTGAGTGAGCGGAAAGCAAGGGAACGACTTTAGTGGAAAGCCTGGAGGCGCGATATTGTATCCGTAGTGTACGAAGTAGTGTACGGATACTGCCAGACTGCGTGACTGCGTATCCATCGATCCATGATGCGTCGGTGGTTGTGCCACGGGTGCATGGCTCTGCCACACTGGGGTGGTGATCAGAGGCCTGGACAGAGAGCGATACCGTTTGGGGCGGCGCTGGGTGGACGAGGTTGAGGATGATTGGGCGGGGAAAGGTCTTGGAAGCACACGACCGGGACCCTTTCGAGCGGCCCACCCCTCCTCCTCCTCCATCCATGGGCCATGGGTATTGCTTCTGCAGAGGCGGGACATGGGCTTGGGTGGTGAGCGGATTTGATGACAGACCGGGATGGACAGCGACCTGAAGCTTCTTCCGGATGTTGGGGGCAGTGCTTGGCCCTTGGACATGGGGATGGTGGAAGCTTTTGTTGGAATTCGGAGGTACTCATATCGATAGCGTTGAATGTTCGAGGCTGATGAGATTGCGCTGGCGAGTATCTCATGGCGTGTCTTGTGTTTGAGAATTGAGGAATTGAAGCTGAAAGACGAAAAAAAAAAAAAAGGAAAAAAGGTGCAAATTGACGGTGACAGCGGCAGAGAAGATCATACGCTCAGATGGCTGGAGCTTGCCAGGTACGTATCTGGAGTACCTCAGTACATAGGTGGTCGAGTGCCGGGTGTTCCTAGCCCCGGAAAGATACGTACTCCCGAGGATGCGTCCGTCTGGTCATTGGACGGTAGGTGATCTCCTCACTAAGGTGCGGTTCGTTGGATTTTCCCGACAACCTAAGGTAACCAAAGGCAAAGCGGGAAAGCAGGAACGATGGAAAGTAGGTAAGAGGTATTCGATGACATAAATTACAGCCAAAGATACTTAGTAGAAGAGGCGGGTCTGGCTACCTACGCAGTAGTATCGAATCATGACGTCCCAATTCAGCCAGCCGCTTGGCGTTACGGGGCATGTAATGACGCTAGCCCAATGACAACGGCCGCCTTTCCTCCTCCCCGCCGACTTCCATCTTTCCTTCCCAAGTTTCCTTCCACATTGGATTTTGTTTCTTTGGTTTTGGGCAGTTGCATTTCTCGTTTCTTGCCATTGAAGACACCATGCCACGATAGTCTACCTGGCACGTGCCTGGCTACATTACTTTGAGGTAAGGTACCTAAAGTAGGCTAAGGTACGTATCTGATGTATTTTCCTGAGAGGAAAACAGTGGGAAAGAGAGAGAAGCAGAGAGAGAAATAAAAGGAGCAAGAGACAGCAAGAGAAAGCCCCCCCCCCTCCTTCCTCTTGGCATGTTGGTCCTCGTGGAAGCTTGGCATTTGGTCTTGGCGCTGTGTTTGGTTTGATGGAACCCGCTTTATTGTCAACGGGAGTGATGATTGGATAAATCCACTTATCGTCATTGACTCTGTGGCTCCAGGTTTTTTTTTTTTTTTTTTTCCTTTCCCCGGCCACTTTTTTGCGTTGCTGTTGGATGCCACCATGGCCACGATGCGATGCCCAGCACAATCCAATACGGATGGATACCTACTCGACAGTCGAAAGATATTCACCCTACAGAGTACGGATATACCATGTATTATGGTCAACGGCCGGCAGCGGTGTTCCGTTTCATCCTTAACTGCACATACAAAGTACGGTACGGAGACACGCTTCGGTAACAGTACAAGGTGACGGAACAAACAAGCAAAGCCTGGCCACCTCCAATTTGTCCATTCGCCAAAAGCATAGCGAGCCGCAGCCGTTGTTCTCTTCAGATCAGGTTTTTTCCTCGGCGCTTTTGCCTGCTGTCCCGTCCCATGTCTATCTCCTTATCCATCCATGTTCCTGTTCACTCTTGAGAATGAGAAAGGATTAGCTTCGTGCCTGTCTCTGCCTCTCTACTCCGTACTTGTACACTACGGAGTACTGTGGTATGTATCCGTTCCTTCGCGTCTGCCTCTATCCTTACCTCTACCTGCTACTCCGTACCAGTAGGTACGAATAGTGTATCTCGAATCCTTGGCTGGTGAGGTCCTGGTCCTTGGTTCATGATCCATCCATCTTCCTTTGTCCTCCAATCCCAAGCCGTGGTCCCAATTTCCTATTACCCATTGACCACTTCCCCATCACATCCATCATCATCCCCATCCCCCATCCCCATTCCATCCGCCCACACACCCATTTGCCGACCTTTCCCAGATCAGATCAACAAGACGCTGGATACAGGATTGACAGGAAGCCTGCCGATACTCTCCGCCCTCTCCCACCACCCGGACACTAGGTAGAGTCCTAGACCAGAAGAAGCAAACCACTCACAGACGAACAGGCGTCAACTCTCGTCCCAAATAACGGGCCCTAGTAAAGTAAATTCAACTCATCTATCTCACCACCTGTCAACATCAAAGTGTTTAGACACAGACAGAAAAGGGCGGAACAGACGAAAAAAGCCACAGCGCCCCCCGGCTACCGGTGCCAACCTTCTTTCAAGCTCCAGCGATCAACAATCAGCTTCTCTCTCTCTCTCTCTCTCTCTCTCTTGCACACACCTGAACCGTGGTGGACGCCAGAGATTCCCAAGCACCCAGGTCCCCCCAGCTTGCCAGCCAGCTTACCAGCCCAATTCCCTCTGATCGGACCGGGACACCCCCCTCCCCCTCTTACCGTCTAGTTCCATGTACTAGGCTCCCCTCCCCTCCATCCACACCCCCCAAGCAGTTGACCGTCCCAAAAAGACGTTGCCGTTGCATTGGAGGACCGGAACGAAAAAAAAACATTTGCTCAGTGCGCTCAGCCCTTAGCCTCCGCCATTCCACCCTTTGTGACGTCGATTGGCGAAAGAAACACCACCGGCTACTACCCAGCAAGCAGAGCACCTCACCTCACCGAGCACCTTCAAAACCACCACAACCGCAACCACCACCAACACCAACACCCACCGCCATCTTCACCTTACCGCCAGCTCGACCCTGCGTTTTTTTCCCTCTCGACAACCTCACGAACTCCCGCGACTGTTGCCGCCAACTACGAAACGTCGAGACCGATAGGCTCCCAACTTTCCTTTAGCGAAAATATACTTCTACGCGCCCAACATAGGTTCTCACACACCACCAGTTGCGCCGCCCCCGGTATCGACCCATCCCGAAAACAATACTGTTCGTGACGAAAACGACGACAACCTTGATTCGAGTCTAGCCACTAATAACGACCGCTCTTCCCATTCCACCACCACGACGTCGTCGCCACCACCCCGCGACCCCTCCCCGTCGAGGGACGACGTCGCGACCGAAGATCCGGTCGACCCCAATTCGATTCCGCTCACCAACATCCAACCTGTCGCCTCCAATCCGCCATCACGACGGCCCGACAACGCCCCGTCTCCTCGTGAGGCACCGGGTCACCCGACGAGGACCCAGTCCCCCGAACCTGAACCCAAGGGGTCTAAACTCCTCGCATCCTCGCCCATGTCTTTTTTGACCAAGAACATTTGGCCCAAAGATGGGAGGAACCGCTCTCATGTTCCGGCCATGCCGGTTTGGATCGCAGGCGTCAGGATTGCACAGCTTGTAAGGACACCAGTTCCCGGCCCGACTACACGAAGAGGGAATCGGCTCCCATGAAATGACTTGGGCAACAAGCTGCTGTACGAATATCATGTTGACGGTTGTGGAATTTTAGGTCCTTGCCATTGCGACGCTGGGAATAACCGTCTTTGGGCTCACCACTATGCAGAAAGCCACGGGCTATCGCAGGATAACGGTATGCTCGACAACCTCTTCGCTGGCCTCTAATCCGGCTTCTGCTTGGGATCCCGCCCTTCTGGTTCACTTTTACTAACTGTTTGCGTTTTACGATGCAGTCCTTTAGCGGTACAGAGGGTTTCCGTACGTAACACCACCATCCCCGCCTCTACCTACTCTTGTGTGCCATGACTAATGTCGCGCGTAGCATTCTCATGGTTTGCTTTCGCCTGGACCTTCTCCTATCTGACATGGCTCGGCGTGGCCGTCATGTTCATTCCCGTCATGTACAACTGTTGGGTGCATCTGTAGGGAATCCTAACCATGAGCTTCGAGAAGTGCCCCGACTAACATCCTTGCGCAGCGGCCTCGAGCTACTTACTGTCGTCTTCTGGTTGATCACCATGGCCTTGCTCGCCAGTCACGCAGACGATCTTGACTCCCTCGATGCCTTTATCGTAACGTTCGGCCCCAAGTACGAAGTTTACTATAAAATGAACGTTGAGCCGTTTGCCGATGGCTTCGTCGCCGCAACGTTTGCCGGCACAGCCACGTCCGTTGTCAACTTTGTGCTCTTCATCATCACCATTAGTGTCTTTGGTACATTTCGCTCTTATATCTACTTACCTCAAAAGGACAAGAACCATTGACTGATTATGACAGGCCGCGCTCTTCATGCGTTACGTAAAGCAAAGCTGGAAAAGGCACCTAGCACTACCGACTCGCAAAAGACTATCCAGGCCGAAGGGGACAAGATGGTCGCTTCTCCGCAAATGACTTCCGCCGTCCCGACGTACATCCACTGGAACAACCAGTACCCTCCTCCTCAGCATCCCCACGCATACGCCTACTACGGCCAGCCGTACGCACAATCACCGCACTCGCAAACGAACCCGTCTCCGCCGAACTCTGTGCCACCGCATGGTTTCCAACCGGCGTACTTCCCCGGCAGTAATTGGCCTCCGCAGCCACCTCAGCAACAGCCGCCCCCCGAGGGCGGTGTCTGGCCGGCCCAGAACTACGGAATGTACCAGCAGCAAGTGCCCATCGGACCTCAACACACGGGCCAGTCTGGCAGCATGATGGGCTCCCCTCAGTTCCCCATGGTTCAGCCAATGCAGCCCAGCAAGGCGGATCTACCAGGTGTTTACCCAACACCACCACCGGGAAGCGCAACTGTAGGACCCGGATACCCGCCTCAGCAACCGCCACCTCCGCTAGCACCGGTACCCGGCACCATACACTCGCCGGTAGAGTTGAATGATGGACGTGGGGACGAAAACATGCCGGCAGAACTACCAAGCAACCCTCCAAGATCACCCAGATGAGCGCGCGCCTGACATTTACACCAAAACGAAGAAAGCGGAATTCGCTTTGGGGAGATATACAGGGTATACGGAGTAATGATGTTTAAGGACAAATTTTCCGGCGTTTTTGTGTTTTCTTTTTCGGATGCGACAAGACACATGCATAGAGAATGGCGTTTTGGATGGTTCGGCGTAACCGGCCCTTATGCACGGATAGCATGACTGGGGATTTGATCGTATTTACTTCTCTGCCCACCATCATTTTGGGCCAACTATCATGACGAACGGAAACGGGGCATACCGCGGCCAAAAAGCAATGAGACGGAAGGCTCCGGTTCTGGCGCATGGCTTATCAGATTGTATTTCTAGCTAGATGGCCATCCCTTTGACGGGATGTGCGGTTCATGTTGCATAATTCATGATACCCCGATGTATGAATCGATCGGGAAGACATTTGAAGCATTTCTGCAGACGTTACGTGATTTCGTGATTTGAGCTCTCATTAGCATTAGTCTGTGAGCTTGGTACTACACAAACGGTGTTTCTACTTGTCCATCCCGTGAGTCTGGAACTTGGTTCCAATCCAAACAGATGTTTTATGTTATCTTTTAGAAAAACAAGACAGATTACTAACTTGTCAGTACACGTAGCGGAAGTACGGATTCTCCTTGTCCGTCAAATCCTGAAAGGCAAGCTTAGCCCGCTCCTCCTCATCAACAGGCAGCGCATCGCGGCGCTTATTCTCCCTCCATAGCACATAGTACAGCGCACCGGATGCGAGAATGCAAATCACATAGCAGATGATGAGCCCGAGCCACAGCTCCGGGTAATGCGACGGCTTGCTCTGCGACTTTACGAGTTGCGGTCCCACGATGTTGCCGACGCAGTAGGCGGCAAAGATGGTCCCCGCCATGAAGCTTTTTTTGGTGTGGCCCGCGACGTTGGACATGCCGAGCGTGATGACGAGACTGACTACCCCGCCAAAGAAACCCGTGATGGAGTAGCCTACCACAGGCGCGGCGGCGTGGTGCGTCCAGTCGGAGCGCCAGATGAGCGCGCAACCTGCTATCACGGGCAGACAGCACGTCACGAGCATGATGATGCGGACGTTGGTGTAGCGTGTGCCGAAGTATCCCGTCGCGAGGATGACGAGGAAGCAGAGGCCGCCGAGGGGGAACTGGAAGAGGATGGATTGCAGTGAGGTGTAGCCGAAGGTTGAGACGATGAGTGGGCCGAAGCCGGAGACGGCGCCGTTCATTGTGTAGGCGGAGGCCATCATCAGCGCCACGAGCCAGGTTTTGGCGTCGAGGAGGGCTTCGCGGAGCTGGTGCGGTTTGAATTTCGTGCAGCGAACGCCGGTTTGGCCGTGGCGGAGGCGTTCTACGGCCGCGAATCGCTCTTCGCGGGTGAGGAACCATGCTGAGACGGGGGAGTCGGGGAGGAGGAAGCAGGCTAGGCCGAAGAGGAATGTGAGGCAGCCCGCGAGGAGGTAGATGTACTGCCACGGCTTGAGGTCACCGCCGCGGACCTGGGCAAAGGCGTAGTTGAGGGCGCCGCCGATGATGGTGAAGAGGCCCGTGGCGCTGAACCACCAGCTCTGGCGGAGTGATTGCTCGGCCTGGGTGTAATTTCCGGACACGATACACATGAAGCCCGTGGGGATGACGGACTCGACGAAGCCGAGGAAGAAGCGTTGGGCGTAGAGGCCCTGGTGGGAGGTGACTGCTGCTGTGAGCATGCAGATGCCGGACCAGAGGATTACGATTGTGCCGAGTGTGCGGCCTAGGGAGTAGCGCTGGAGGGCGTAGGTCATTGGGTAGAGGCCTGCTAGCATACCGAAGTAGAAGAGGGAGGTTGCCCAGGAGAGGCGGGATGTGTCGACGCCGGTGCCGGAGGGGAGGGGGACGGAGAGGTGGAGGTCTGTTGTCATGCCGAAGAGGACTGCTGAGCCTAGGATTGCTTTGTCGTAGTAGACTAGGCCGTCTGTTGGGTGTTAGGGATGAAAAATGCTTGAAGCATTGAGTGAGAGGGGGTGACGAACATCCAAAGATCATGGCGGGGATGAGGAACCAGTCTATCTTCCGTACAGCGCGGGCGGCGACGGCGGGGTCGTAGGGTTGGCTGTGTATCCCGACCATGGCGAGGGCGTCGTCATCGCCGACGCGGTGGTGAGATTCATCGGGGCCGGGCGTTTGGGACACCGGCGCGGGGCCGGCGGCGGCGGTGGTGGCGGGGAGGAGTTCCTTTTCGGGAATCATATTGCGGGATCTTATCGCGTAGAACGATGGATAGCGGGCGGTGGACGAGAGGGGGGTCACCTTGCCCCGTTGCTGGGGATGATGAGATGAGTTTCAGAGGGCTGGAAAAGGTTTACTTTCTGGAGGAGAGGGAGTGAGTTGAGTCTCGACTGGACAGGGGGGATGAGTGAGCTGAACTCTCTCGTCGGTCGTCTTTAGGGCGGTGTCATTGGAGGGTAGGGCGTAGCCGATGCGCGGATTAAAACGGGAGGGAAAAGGCTAATGATGATTTTAGATCTTAGCCTTCTTGGTAGCTGGGCTGGATTGGAGGGTGTGTGAGATGAGTCTAAATGTGAGTGAATGAGAAAGAAAAGATCTCACGAGCAAATCATCTTGGCGATAGATGAGCGGTTTGTTCCGCGTAGGCTAAACCTCCAGCCATAAGGCAGGTATTGTGGAATTGGCTACGAATCATGATGGAGCTGTGAGACTATGAGTGAAATAAGTGAAATAAGCTCGCAGTCGATCTTGTAAAACTTCGTAAAAGCCCCCCACGCACGTCGTATTCATCGTCTCGAAGCCCGGCGACATTGGGTCCCAGTAGAAAGGTAAGGTCAACGATGAAGCCGTCACCTCATGCCCCTCATTTGTGCCGTCTTCTTATTTCGATTGGTAGAACTCGGAGACTAATTACATAGTTCGCAGAGATTTCTCAAAGCCCGCCAGGCTCAGACCCGATTAGTGGGATTGGGACGGGAGGGAATCCGGACTGGAACCCGGGTACAATCGGGAATTGGACGCGCCCCCGAGTTCGGTCTCGTCGTGGGAGACTTGTTGAGCTGTTTGGCGGGAGGCAGTGGGGGGCGATTAGCGGTGGGATTGCCGTGAGTAAATTACAATGTGTGATGGTAAAGCCTTCTGAGATGAGCAGATCTTTTGACGAGTCAAGCTTTTCATTGTATGAAGTTTTCAATCGATGCGAATTTCTCTGAAGTTTGTGTGAGCTGTTGAACGAGGAATGTGTGAGGCTTTTGGATGAAGAAGATTGAATCGGGGAGTTCCATCCGATGCGGCTGAAAGAGCAGCTGAGTGAGACCCTCTTTCGAGTAAAGATGAGAATAGAGTGAGACTCAAGACGACTTTGAATCTCAAACGCCAATTCAACTTCACTTGGATAATAAAATATCTCATCTGAATATTTCTTTCGCCGCTTCGGATCTTCGTCTAGTGTACATGTTGGGCTGTCTTGGAAAAGCATAGCTCATGATGGAGCAGGGTCTCTGTAGAAGCTAGTAGCTATGAGTGCGCTGGAGATGCTGCGGTGAGGCGCATAACCGCTTTCATGATTCTACCCGCTGTCATGATTTGGCGATATGTCGAGGTGCGCATAAGCATGTTCATCCCCAATGACTAGCACAGCTGAATGAGACGGTTGAGATTTCTGGGTTCTTGGTGATAATGAGAACCGTGGGCATGCTACAGTCAAATTACATAAAATGTACAACTCCATTTTGTGCAACACCGCCACGAAACATTTACAACTCCAGTACGTACCCGCTAATGGTTGCGAGACGATTTCCTCTTTCAATCATCTTCGCCTCATTCGAACGGGAGTCCAGAGCTTCCCCCGGAAAATCAGCATTGGGGGACCCGACCGCCGTCCCGCGGGCCTCGAGCTGCCTCGATCACATCGCGACATCCCACGAGACACCACACCATCTTTCTCTCACACGTCCACAGAAGCTACTCGCCCCCGGGTCCCAAAACTCTCTTCCGCTGTGCGTCTCGCGGCCCATGCTGCCACGAACTTGGGAGCCTGGGCCAGGCTTGGCTTTCTAGGAAGGCCGCCCTTCGCTGTTTCGAGGTGGGAGACCTGCTCACTTTGCCATCTCGCTCACTTTGTAGCTGAAATGAGCGCCATCGATGGATGATTGCCGGCTCGTGTCGATAGACGTTCAGTTGATGCAATTGAGACCAGTTATCGTGTATTTGGTTGTTGAGATCTAATCAGATCATAACCGCACACAAATGGAGAAACTACTGAGCAATGTCTAGAAGCAAGAAATGATTTACTTATTAATCGCAAAAATCCGCCCTCTCGGTATCTTTCTTTTCCTGGGTATCCAGGCTCTCATGCCTTTGTCTTGTCAGTCAGAACCCATGCCTCCTCCATAAGTACATGATCTTGGCAGTGCCATTATTAACACTAGGTTACAGTAATGAGCCACTCCCTTTCCCCTCTCTCTTCGCCACCGTCTGACTCCTTCTCTCTCTGTTTCTCTCTCTCGTTCTCACAAGGGAGGGCTCAACTGTGATTAAACACTAGGCTCATTGAAGCTTGGCCGCGTTTCTTTCGGCCTTGTTCTCTTTCCACCACTTTTGCTCGCGCTTGATCGCGTACTCGATCCAAAATCTTGCAGTGACACCCCAGATTATAATCCACCCAAACAAGACGCCCAACGTCGTGCCAAACGCGCGTTCAAACTCCAGGTTCCAAATGATGCCGGCCACGTAGCCAATGTACGCCGTGCAGCCGCCGATCCAGAAGAGCGTCAACTCGAGAATCATCTTACGGAACATCATCGACTTGTCGTACCGCTCGACATACTTCTTGCGGAACTCCCTGTTCTGCGCTCCATCGACGGCGAAGAAGTCTTCGGCCGCGTAGTAGACGATGGGCTTCAGACGTGTACCTTTGGGGTCCGAGTTGATGCGGAATGGGATCTTGATCGGAATCAGCGTCGCAAAGGCGATGACGTCCAGGACCATGAACATGAAGGCGGG